CCCCCATGCAAATCAAATGCCAGCACTAGCGGAAATCGTCATCGTCAATGGTAGGATGAAGCTCGAATCTTCTTTTGCTCTCTCTCTTCACCCATCCAATTCATCATCATCATCATCATCATCACTAACATGCGAACCTTATTACTATCACCTGCCAACCTACAGACCATCCCCGTCCCATCGTGCATGTCTGCCCCGGATGCAGCCATGATCCGATTCGATCCGCCTCTGCCAAATTTGCCTGCCCAGTAAATCCCGCCTACTACATAGGTACCTTTGCCCTCTCGCCCGCTAGCCGTTTCGCTGGCCTCTCTCGCGGCCGCCCACACCCAGATTCGAGATTTTGCTTCACCCACTTCCATCACCACAAGGGATCAATCATGTCTCGCCTCGATTCTGTTTCTTTTTCTTCTTTGTGGCTTGCCCCCAGGAAACACGCCGCGGCTTCATCAGCGCCTCCCACACCCACTGTAACAGAAAAAACCATCGCCTAGCCAAGCGGCTTAGTTCCAGCAAGGGAGGGGCCCCAGGACAGGACAGGCACACCGTACGCCAACACTGGCTCCCACGAAGAGCCGCCTTGTACCTCCCATGTATTGAGAGCAAAGCCCTAGAGGCTATTAATTGGGGGGAGAAACGGCGTTGGTACGGCTGAGGCGAGAGACTTTTTTTTTTTTTCTTTTCTATTCCTCCTTTGCCCTTTTGCTGCTCCAAATGCCTCTTCGCTCCTTCTGGTCTAGAATTTGATACACGAACCAGCTAGAAGCTCGGCGCGGCTCTCAAACTTTGAGGGTTTTCCATGGCACGCTAGCTCGCAAGTAATTGAATGAAATGATTACTTGCAGTGCTCCGTACTATTGTATGATATTGGGATCTCCAGGACGGACTACTCTTCTGTCTCTGGATCTAGACTGTTTCTGCCTTATCCGCGATGAAGCTTGACATCATTGTTGTCTGAAGTCATCATGGTAGTCCAATCACATGGGGGTCTCAATTCAGGTCGGAGATGATGCCTTGATGGCGATGCAGACAGAGTACAGTACCTAAGGTACGAGTACATCTGATCACCGCTGCGACACTTTTTAGGCTCACTGTTAGTGACGGGAGTACCGCCGCCGCAATAAGCATACGCGTAGCTACATCTGTGCTTGACTCCTTCAGTCTTAGTCCCCGCTTCCAGCAAGTTTATCACTGACTTTAATTGCTGGTACTCGTACCCGTCAAAGCAATACACGTAATATACTAGGTACGTATTACATATACTCGTATGTACTCGTACAAGACTCGTAAAAGGCCTTGACTGATTCAAAATACGCGGGCCGTGATTGGCAATGACAAGGCACCAATTTGCTGTTTGCGGTGTCTCAGCATCCCTGGTGTTAGTAGCGCACACATACCAGGTAACACACGCCCGCGATATCTCGACCCTTCAGCTGTCTGTCTGCCTGTCTGTACCAGATACCTCAAGGTAATTACATGTACGTCACGATTGCTTGGCAGCACATTCGTCGTGAATATCTCGCCTCGCCTAAACCAAGTAAAGAATCCCGGATTATCATTACTCGACCACCGAAAAGCAGAAAAAAGCAAAGACCAAGCGGTATCAAGGTAAAAGCGACGCCTCCCCAAAACAGCAAAATGCCGGATCCGCGAAGCGCCGTTACCGACGTACACGAGTAAAAGCAGTACTATCCAGATACGTAGCTCTCCCCATATCACCCCCCTCCTTTACCCCATCCTTCTGGATCCAGAAAGCCGCGGAGGCGAGGAAAAAAGAAGCAAGACGGAGAGTCATGAAAGTGTCTACCCGACGTCGTGCAAGTGGGAGCCTGGCCCCGGGGTTTGCAGGCAGGCTGGGGATTGGAAGTTGGCAGCCGGTATCCGGTTGAAGGAACCGGCCCCCAGGCTCTCTTCTTTACCTATTACCTAGTCTACCCCCCTCCCCCGATGGGTGAGTTGCTGCGTGTGAATCGGTACTGTATCGTGATCGGTTAACAGACGAGCACGAGGGAACTTTGATGGGCAAGACAAGACAAGACAAGGCCTGCACATGTTCGGTTCGTTGGAGTGAAGAGTGAGCGACAAGACATGCACTACGTCATCGAGTTGGGGGTGGTGGCTATCAGTTTCGGCTTTGCCGTTGGTGTCATGTCGTGTCGTGTCGTGTCGTGTGGCATTCTTTTCTTCAATGGCCCGTCCAATGGCGAAGTGGTGTGTCGTCCAGGGAGGGCAACGCATCTACTATGTACAGTCCAACGAAATCAAGCCACCACCGCTACTGCAAGGATGCACTGGCTCGCCATAGGCTGGTTATGCACGATGCTTCTCTGGGTGGCCGATGCAACCCTCGCCAAGACATTCTGCGGGCATTCTAGAACAGGTTCTTGTTGCACCGGGACTGGGCGAGAAGAAAGCAAGAAAAACATCTCAGCTGGTTTTTGCCTGTCTAGCGCTGTCGGCGCTGATATGAGGCTATTGCGGGTTGGGGACGTTTGCCGCGCTTGGCATCTCAGATGGCGAATGCAAGCAATTGCTCACGGGGGGGGGGGGCCATGTTCCCTTGGCTGGTTCTATGTTACGTCTGTAAGTATGTACATACCGATTCCTTGTCCATCTCTTTGGGGGCCCTTTTTCTGTTGTGTGTCCATGTGTCTCAGCAGAGAAAAATGTCGCCTCCTTACATTGCCGTTCTGCAGAGTGTCGGGCATCACGAAAACAACCCGACAGGACTCCCTCGATGCCACCTCGTGGACAAAAAACTACTAGACATGTTCATCCACGGCTGAATCGTAATACCTAATACCTACCTACTGCTACTGTACTGTACGGGGGGGAAAAAGACCAACGACAAGCAGATCGCCACGCAACCCGTGCGCTGCCTTCGGCATCAGCGTCCCGTAAACGTCCCTCGTACGACAATGCTGTTACACGTTGTACGAGTTCCAGCAACGGCAACGAGGCTCATCTCCAACTTTGCATCACAGACGCCCACATAATACATACTAAACACAGACGAAAAAAAGAGTCCATCACGACCGCCTTTCCCACAACTGCTCACCGACGGCTTCAACATGCCGACCCCAGAAAGTCCACCCCCAAAGTATTACAAGTCCTAGTAGTACTACGAGGCATTTCTTTTGGGTCAACAGTGTGGGGGGGCTTGGATTCAATTGGCAGCCACAGTTTCTTGGCTCTCTCTCTCTCTCTCTCACACACACACACACACATACACACACAAACACATACTCTCCAATGTCTCTCTCCCCAGGCTAACGTCTGCAGAAAAATCGCTGGCAACATTTCGAATGATTCCAATTCGCTGGCGAGACCGCTACTTTTGCGTGGTGCCCCATAGATGGCGACTTTCGCGCTGCAAGATACGACTCGGGTAGATACTAGTAGTACTAGGCATCCACGAGAACCCCAAGCTGAAATGGGCTTGCCGAAGTCGACAAGTCTGGAGTTTGGGAGGCTCCAGTTTCTCCATCTTGGGCTGCGGCGACGGCGATGAACTCCATATTTTCTTTGTCCTTTCGAGTAAACTACTGTATGTACAGCGAAGCCAAACAGCATCTTCCATGCGTCTGGAAAGGGGCGCATCTCCATAGCCTGGTACGTGGCATTGACGATGAGAGGGTTGAAGCAGTGTAAGCCTCATGCAAAGGCCATACATTGTACTGCTGCTGCCCGTAGCATTACTGAGCTGGTCCAATGGTTCAGTATGAAGCGTGTCTCCCTACCGTTGATGCTCGTCATACCGCAGATATCCTCACGATTGGACCAACCTCTCAACTGCCCATGTCAAGTCCCCGAGAAAAAACTGCGATCGTCCATCATCAAAGACACAAGCCATGCGGAATCAGCAATAATTACGGAGAAAAAATAAACCGCTTCTCCAAAAGCCCATCAGTCCGTTGCCAGGGGTGCATGGATGGGTTCAGGTCCCTTCCCCCTGGCTAGTGTCCGCACGTCCCCTGCCTGCATCGTCAAAGTCCAGTCTTTTGCCAGCGAGCCAGAGAGAGAAACTCCAAGCACTGTGTGGTTCTCCGGTGCCTGGAGAGAGCGCACAAACCCATGCTTTTCTGGTTTCCCCCTTGTCGTTTATATCCCTCCCCTAGCCGGCGATACCATGGGATTTTGCTTGGATACTTGGATATAGACCTGGTACGAGGGCCAAAATACATACCTACCTGGTGGGAGAGCAAGGGGTTCCGGGCTCGCAAAGGGGTCATTGCGCCAGCAGAGAGGCGATGTGCTGGCATCTTCTTCATTTTTCTCTGCTGCCTGTCCTGAGGGGGCCCGGTTCAACGATTCTCCACGATCGATCATTGTGTTAAGAGAAATTGCAGCTGCGCAAAAGGGCGATTAACGAGACCGGTGACGGATGTTGCCTGTAGTAGTACCGACCGGTTGTGTAGCGAGAGATGAAGGCTGAATTGTAGCATATCAATACCTATTACTAGGTGAATACCAGATATTGGGCCATTACCGCTTGTGTAGGTAGCAATAGATTCTATTCTTCTACTACAAGGTATCTTGATAGGAGTACACACCAATTGGTCATATTGAGATAGTACTACATAGAATATCATCTTGAGGTGAGCAAAGTCAGCATCAGCGTCGCGAGTAATTTACAGAACGCGCAGCATCGCTCACAGACGGCGGTCTGTCTGCCGCATTATTACGCCGTCGGCCCAATCATACCTAGGTACCTAACAGCAATACATACTACAGGCCCTGAACAAGACAAAAGCCTTGTGCTTCTCCCCAATTACCTCATCAGCTTTAGCTCAGTTGGTAGCTCCGTGGAAAAGCCGCTCGCCAAGAAACAGCCTTCAGGGGTAATGCTATACTAGTATACTAGTAGTACCTCGAGAGAGAACAGACCAGGCCAGGGGGGGGGGGGGTTCTTCTCATATGGAGACCAGCCAGCTCAGCAGCAAAGACCCTCTCTCTCACAGGGATTGATCCCCAGAGGCGATTGCTGCGTTGTCCAAGAAATGCTGCCCTGCCCTGCCCTGCCCTGCCCTGGCCTGGCCTGTCTAGTCCTGTCCTGTCCTTGCTGCTCGCGTTACCGCGAACCGATTCCGCCAGAGCCGACAGCAACCAAGGCGAGGCGATCGGCAACTGGAAGAGCGCTGCCCGCCGATTCGTATCGGATGTACATGACAGACGAGCATGTATTATGTATTATTACGTAGAGACAGGCGGGCGGACAGACAAAGCAGACGGACTGGTATCATTGTTACTGTAAAAATAGCTGGGACATACATGGGAGCCAGATCCCGTGATGCTGCGTTACAACTTACTTACAAGAAGAGACAGACGGCAGGGTCGTCGTCAGTCGCCGTCGTTGCACATCACGAACCCCTGAAATGCTCGTGCATAAACAGTCCCCTGGATCAGTATGTACCTATGCTGCTTTCTGCGGCCGACTACCGACCGCCGAGGAGAAGACGAACCAGAAGACGGACGGACCCGCCCCTTTAGCAAGCTGAGAACTTGAGGAGAGGGCCTTGATTGGCTGCTGTTGGAAGCAGAGAAGCCAAGCCCTTCTAGAATAGAAAAGGCGCTCGTAGTAATACTCCTCGTAAAGTGGTGGTGCGCTTTCAAGGGGACGGATTTCGGACCCGAGGCATATGGAATGGCCTTTCTACAGTACTACTACGTGTCGTATCGTATCTCCACGGACTATGCGGATATTGGATCATGGAACTCGTAATATCGATGGTTCAGTTTACGGTGATTGACAAACATGATAACATGGAGTAGACAGCATGTAGGAAATAGGAGTTCGAGCATCATCTTCTAGCCTTTCTGGTTCTCATTGCCGAGGTTATCAAAGCCGCCGTCATCATCATCTACCTACATACATCAAACCCAATCCATGGATGGAAAACCCAAAAGTAAACAAGGGACACATTCGCCATCTCCGTCGACCGGCATGAAGCATCATCACCTTCCGTCAACCACATCCCCCCTGTCGACAAACTCCCCGTCCCTGTGGCAAATTCCCTCCGCGGCTCCTCGCCTCGCCCTCCATCCCCTTCGGCAGCCCACTTGGAACGCAAACCAGCTGGACGCTCTAGAAGCCCAATAGAAGGTCTTTCCCATACAATCCGCCTCACCTCTTGCAGCTATTTCGCGTGTGTGGAGACAAGAGAAGACGCAGGCTGCAGGCTGCATGTGCAGAAGTTGATGCTACTACTACATATCGTCCATCGTGCAAGTTGGGTGTAACCTTGAAGTTTCATTGTGTCCTCTCTATTCCGTACATAGCAACGGTACTGAGGGAATTGCGTGTCGTCTCCAAATTCGTGCATCGTCTATTGTTACTGTCCGACAACCGGAGAGACCATTGAAGCTCCCTGCTTCGTCTCATCTTCTCCGTCCATGACTTTCTCTGTGCCAAAGCTGAACCGACATCCCGCGGCCCTTGCGCTGTCAAACAAACGCAAGTTGACCAACGATGCAGCACAATCTCCCCGACGCTCAAAGCACACTCGGACACTCCGTACACGAAGTAGATGGCCGTGGCCAAAGCAGTGAGTGATATATCAATGGTTTGACCTTTTCCGCGCCATCAAGCACCACCGGGCAAAGAAGGAATCCTTGAAGATCTTTGCTTTTGAGAAATGTCTCACCAACTAGTACCGATGTTTCGACTTCTGCACTGTTCTTTCTGCGATCCCTTCATCATCAAGAGAACCCCGAAGATGCCGCAATACGTATTACTAGGGGGTCCTTTTCGATTGAAAGAAGTCGACGACAACTGGCGTGCCCTAACCGAGCTGTTCCGCTGCTTGTTCTCGTAGGAGTTGTCGAGAGAGGCAGCCCTTTTCTAGGTAGTTGATATGTCAAATCTCTCATAGGTCGAGACAAGCATCACCCAACATCCTATCAACCTCCTAGTGTCGTCACGCAAACATCAGCCCAGCGTCAGTGCTCTCAGGTAAAAAAAAATAAAGCACAAGTATGTTCGGCTTCATCGGAAAGCTCAAGTCTTTCCACGCCCACATCGACAAGTCATCTTCATCCACTCTTTCTCTGCCCGGACTGGCTGATCCCCCCCCCCTCCTCCTCCAGTTCCGATCATCTCCGCGCCCCCTTTGCAAATACAAACTTTATTTCGCCCCCTCCTCTCGCATCTTCGTGTTTATGCTTAAAAACAAAAGAATGTGGCTTTTTTTTTTCTCCTCTTCTCGGGACGTTGCGAGAAATCTGCCTGAATTGGGAAAAAAGAGAGGCCAAACATGGCGTTTACGCAAGACTCCACATCTTCCCGCAGCTTCCCGGCCGGACAAGTTATGGCATATATTACCTACAGCAAGCAAAATCCTAGATACTACAATATGTACAAAGCCACCCGTCTATTTGTTGGACTTTTTTTCAAAGTTGGGATCACAGGTAGATGGGGTTATTGATTGGGAGACGTGGGGAGGAGAGCTAGAATCGTGGTAATAAAGTACGGGGTGCATATACCCGGGAGCCGGATATGCTTCTTCTTCTCCCAGGCGAGGCTTCATTTCTGCCCCCCCCTTCGGCGCGGCGCGGAAACGGCGTCCATATGCCGATGTTCAAGGAACCAAAAGGTCTAAGAGTTTCAGAAAGAGCAAGCATAATGACGGCCAAAAAGGGGACCAATCGCAGATGACGGTGAGGTTCTCCAGGTAGCACGAGATAAAGGCCGGGTAATAAATAAGCATCCATCATGGGCTATGGACATTCAGGGTCAAAGCCCATCGTTTCATCGGATCCCAACTCCTGCCAGCCGCTTCTTCTTCTTCTTTTTCTTTTTCCTTCCCTCGGCACCTGGCTTGATGGTTATACATACTACTAGTACATACACTGCGCTTTAATCAATTTCCCTTCTTACTTCTTACATGGCCTGTGATTCGCTGGTACTTCTACAGTAGCATCGCCATTGCCAACATCCGTTGTATGTAGTAGTTGTAATCAACTTGTTCTCAGAACGTCAGCCCGGTTTAGGCTTGTGCACAGACGAAGCCGGTATCACGTCAATCAATCATTCCAGCTCATCTTATTTTCTCCAGCCAAGTCAAGAACCCGTCCTTGCCCATGTAGTACGTCTCAAGCAAGGGAGAAAAAGCCTCATACTAGTAGTACTGTGAAATGAAGCACTACCTACCTTATGTACTGGTAATACATACTTACCTCCGGCGTCAACGATCCGGAAACCTCATTGAGCAGTGTTTACCTATCCCTAATAATAATATCCTGCTTGCCCCTTGGATCATAACACAGTGACATTTGACCAGTAATTGCCTCACTCTCTGCCCGACACATGGCAAAGCCAACCGCTCTACTTAGATCCTCCAATTCATGTAACGACATTGTATTTTAGCCCGGCTGAAAAGTAAACAAGCATCTATTTGCGTTCCAGGCTGTCCGTTACCAATTGTTTGGTTGACATAACTGGAATGAACACAAATAATCTCGTGAGACACCACCATCATCGAAAAAAAAAAAAAAAACAAAAAAAAAAACCACCTGACATGCCACGCCATATCTTGAACCAACAGCGTAAACAAACCTCACTGTAGATTCTGTCATTATCTGAATCAGGTTCACAAATTGTATTCCGTGATTGAAGACGTAGCGTAATGGCTGACTGCAGGGTAGACGTCTCTCAAGACTGTTGAGCCGCAACATGTATAGACAAACTACATCTTGATCGCAGATCGAGTCTCTGGGAATTCCACGACGTCGAAATTAGATCTGAATTGTCAAGTTATTTGCCCGTCCATCTGCCCAGGTCTATTGTTCTTAACTAAGGAGGAAAATACAATCTCTGGTCTATAGCTCGAAAAAGTCTACGCGCTGAGTATTGAAATATGAACACATATAATCACAGTCGAGGAATATAGGGAACCGTCATGTTCATAGTAACTTTTCATAGAGACCAAAAACTAAGGTAGCTAGTATCATTCCAGAGCCCGACCTCCGTATACCGATATACCGATAAAAGGGGAAAAGGAAAGTGAACGAAACAAAGAACCTGTATCATCGCAATGACGAGATATACCTCTGACCATGAAAATGCCAGTACAAGGCCAGTTAAAGGCCAGGAAAAACTTGTCAGTTCCACAAGGCCAGCCGTTCGCCAGACGCCATTCATTCCATGCCTGATTGATGCCGCTGTTGCCCTCTGCCAAACCATCAGCTCACATCGCTAAGGGCGTAGAGAAACCAATTATCCCTCCCCAAGTACCACCTCCACAACCGAACAACCTGCTCAAGTCCTTCCGGCAGTGTTGGGGTCCGGAAACCGAAAGCCCTGCGGAAAGTTGGGCATGCCGTTCGGAAGGGTGCCGATGCCAAAGGGGAAGCCGCCCATGCCGTTCTGCTGCGGGTTGTCGAGATCCACATGGCTGGGGCCGTCATCGCGGCCTCGACGCCAGCGGCCGCCGCCGTCGTCCTCGCGGTGGCGAGTAGACTTGGGGCCGTTGCTGCCGCCCTTGTCCGTCTGCATGCGGCGGCTGATGGCCTTGGACGAGACGCCGGCGCCAATCTCAATGTCGGGCTCCTCGACGCACATGCCCGTCTCAATAGGCCGTCCTCCGCTTCCACCGTACGGAGCCGTGAGCATCCACTTGCGGTCGGCGTCGGTGAGCTTGTGAATGGGGATCACACTGATACCCGTGGAATAATCGCTGCAGTCCCGGGGGCCAAAGCCCACACCCCATCGAGTCTGTATACAAAGGTCAGCACACTGCTCTCCGCCACAAGATGCGCGGAAACAAGAGAAGAGAAAGGAGGGAGAACTCACCCGAAGGGGATATTCAAGATTCCTGGCATCTTCCATAGCCTCCTTTGCGGCAACGGCATCCTGACGGGTCAACATCTTGACAAACGCATGGCGTTTATCCTTGTTCACAATGCATGTCTGAACAGTACCGTACCGACCAAAGATGCTTCGCAACTCGGCTTCAGAGCATCTGATGTCAATCTGTTAGTATACGACCTGCCAACATGTGTAATCGGGCAAAGAGTGACGGTGTGATTTGTACTTACGTGACGCCTCCTACAAACAGAGTGCGGCTCAGGACCTTGATGTGGCCGGCTGGGAGCGTCGGGTCGAATTCAACCCACTTCTCCTGCTGAAGTTCCATGGAGGGTGAGTGGCTTCGCCCGTGGCGTCCGCGAGGGCTGCGCTGGCGGTAATCATTGCCTGCTCGTCCGTTGCGATCGCGATCATCCATACGTCCTCTGGGGGGCGAGTTGCGTCCATACTCACGTCCTCCGCGTGGAGAGCCACGAGCGTTCCAGCCCCGTTCAGGCGACCTCGAACGGGAGCGGTTGCGATACCTAGGAGATCTCACACTGTCCTGATAGCCTTGGTCCGGTGCCGGGCCCGGGGCAGCCGTGGCCCATGGCTGTTGGGCCGGTGGAAAGGTGCCTTGAGCGGCGGGGATAGGGGCGGGAGGTTGCGTCGCAGGAAAGCTGCCAGTGGCAGCGGCAGCGGCAGTCATGCTCTGGATGAGGGCAGGAATCTTGTCAAAGGGAACGCCTTGGTCGGCAAGGGCCTTGATCAGCATAATCTGCTGCTGTACGTTCGGATCTAGACCAGCACCGCCAGCACCGGGAACGGGAGGCGCTGCAGGCGCTGCCGCATATGGGTTGGCTGGGTTGCTCGCAGCCGCTGGCATCGCTGGCATAGCATTCTGACCAAGCATCTGAGTCAACGAGAGGGGGAGAGATGACACGTTTACGGGCTGCGCAGCTGGGAGATACGGCTGATGTGGCTGCTGCGGCATCGAAGAAGCGAGGGCCGGCACTGGGGCGGTAGAGGCAGCAGGAGGCATGCTATACGACACCGCGGGAGCCGGCAGAGACGGGTTGCTCGGTGCCGCCGAGGTGTTTTGTCGAGCAATATTAGCCAGGGCTTCCAAGATGGACGAACCATTGGGTGCAGCAGGCTTGCTCTGCGCCTGGTTCAAGAATGACGCTGCCAGACCAGGAGGCGGGCTTCCAGGAGGTGTGGTTGATTCTGCATGCACGTTAGAGATAGAGCTCCTCAGAACAAATTGGCAGTTCTGCCATAGGCTGGCGGCGGACATCAATCACGCCTCTCCGAAGAGGAGGGTGTGACTTGGCCGTGAGTAGAGACGTACTTGGTGGCGAGGGAGCATTGACCTTCTCCCTAAATGATTCTATCATGGGGGCGGGAAAGGTCTGGCCCTTTTCCCAGATATCAATGAGTTTCTTGATCTTTTCCTACACGGCGAGAAACAATGTGTGAGTTACTGGTCCCTTCAGATACGATTTCAATGTGGAGGCTGGTTTCTTCATCGAGGCGGCTGATGACCACCAACAGGCAACGCAGACTTGCATTCCCTCAGATGCGGGTTCCAGACACGAGGTGCAGGGGTCTTGCTCTTGGTTCACCGGATCTGCCAGATATCAAGAACGACGAAACGAAGCGAAGCGAAGCGCACGTTGATACGCCTACGAGCGGGTGCGCTGATTGTGTGCGTGCGTGCGGCTCGTCTTGTATGTTCACCAGACGACCACGACAAGATTAACTCGAATTCACACGTACCTTTTGATCCTCGGGGGCGGACTGAGTAATGTCAGTCATCAACACAGGCATCAGTTCCGTTACTCGGCGAATAGCAGCAGCATACGTGCCGTCCTGGGCAGAGCTGTTTATGGGCTGACCCTGAGCCTTTGCTTGTTCAAGCCACTTGCGGGTTACAGAGTCTACGACGTAGAGAACCCCCAACTTGTGCGTTCCTGGGACTTTCTTGAAGTGTGTGAAGAGCTTCTGGATGAGAACGGACTCGGACTGCAAGGGAGGCAAGTTAGCGGCCAGAACGATGACGCCCAGTGACACGAGCGGGTTGGAGATGACCAAGTGCGAATGTCAAGCCTTACCTGGATGTTGGCCACGCAGAGAGCCGTGAGGCTAGTGATACGAGATCCGGATACACCTGGAGGCTTCAAGTTGAGCATGGCCTGGAGGCCCGCTTCCAAGTCTGCGACTGCAGACGCCATGGCTGGGATCTGGGGCTGGACGCGATCTTGTGTGCGTCTTTCCACGAGGATCCTCTCCGCGGTGAACGCCTCAGCGAGATTTAGCCGGCGCCTAGTGTACGATGAAGTTTTGCTTGCGACGAAGATGTAAGGAAGCAAAAACAAGCCGTCTTTGGTCTCCTCTCCTCCTTGGCTGGTCCGTGAATCACTTGGCGTAGGTAGTCAAAGGACAAGTCGTGCGGCCGACGTCTCTAGTAGGCTGCCTCTCTCCTCCGAAGTACTATCAAGTCTTTTGTTACAGAGACGAAAAAATTGAACAACGCGACACTGTACGGGGCAAGAGATCTGCTGTCGTTGTAGTAGGTAGGTACGGAGTGAAGGATATCTCAAAAAGTACGATGTACGCTGTGACTGATTGCAGCGCGTGACGAGAAAAGAAAGAGTCTTCTACTGCGGCAATGGAGCGCGCGCACGCGAGGATATGGTATCACAGGGGCTGGAGGCGACTGCCCACAAGCCTGTTCTAGAGATATTATCTGGTTTTGCTTCTTTCTTTTTGCTTTGTCTTCTCGGTCGGCCCAGAGGCGTGTTGGCTTGATGCGGGATACGGATAAACGAGGGAAAAAGACGATGGAAGGAGGCCCTGGGCGGGAGGCTGGCGAACCTTTTTTGGGTGGCGATTGAAGATGTTGCAAGGAGGAGAAATTGGCGGGAGGGAAGAGGGGCGGGTCGCGCGAGTTATAGCAGGGAAGTGGCTGCTGCTGAAACTTCTTGCGGGTGGCTGCCGCGTTTGGGGCCTGATACGAGCCCTGCCTTACGTAAGGGACACAGAGGCACTAGTGAAGAGTACCTTGATGGAACGCAAACAGAGGGAGCAGAAGAGGTAGCGCCTGTTAGCCAATCGAGTACCGAGCTGGGCTCAAGGTGCTCTCGCTCAGGCCCATCAAGTGCCGCAGAAGTGCAGTGGTACGAGTATGAGTACGTTTCTCGGTACGTACCGACGCGGAAATGTTTGCTCACGCAAAATTTTCCTTTCAAGATTGTTTTCCCTCTTCGTGATAACACTAGAAGGTACTCTTCGTGCAGATGGAGGACTAGAAGCGAGGTTTATCCGCGATCGTGCTCGATCCAACAGCAGGGTTTTTTTTCTTTTTTTTTTCTTTTCTTTTTTTTTTTTTCTTGCGAAGTGCTTCAGAGCTGTTAGTAGAGGCCAAAGAATGACGCACTTGCGGCAGGTCAGGAGGGCGATTTGGAGAAGCTACCGGCAAGGTGGTCGTAGCTCCGAGCCCGTTTTCTACGGAAAAAAGGATTTTCGTCGGCAGGGCCAGCGGCTTTCGACATCACATGACGTCGACGTCGTTTCCGGCAGAAGGGAGGGCAGTTCGACTTATACAAATTGACGGCTACAGGGCTCACTTGCGATCAATTGTCTCGTAATAATACCAGACTAGATTCCTTCAAAAGGCGAGCTCAGAAAGGCCTCAAGCTCTGGGAATAAAGTCCGAAGGGTTCTCGCCGGTTGCGGTCCTGACCCTTCCACAACGTAGGTAGATGCAGCTGGCATAGCAAGCTCAACCTCACATGTATGTACTCGTACCTTCGACGCGCCTCAGATGCACGCGAAACCGGAGGCTTTGGTCGTCACCCTCTCGTCACCTCAACCAATGACTTGCAGACGACGGCTGACCGCTTGATTGAGTTCGATGTTGGAATTTCTTTGACAACAAGAAGCTCAGATGAATCGTGAAGCAAACAAGCAGATCCTCTGTCTAGTACTGGTAGTCCGACTTACTCGTACATAGCTTGAGCGCACTGATAACTCTGCATCCCGCATGCCCCGGAACTCGTGGGAAAGGACAGGCTCGATTAGGCAATGTGATCTGGGAGCGACATTCCCGAGGCTCCTGATGGCATCAATCTCGGGCCATCTGGCCTCTTGTCGGGGAGATGGAGATGGTTGGGGGGCTTTTTAGTGTCGCCCTGGTGGGGGAGAAGCCCTCCAGTGCTGCGTGAGACTGGCCAGTGGACTGACAGCACCGAGATTGCCAAAGTCCCTTGACCAAGAGGCTACAGCCGTATACCGCGCCCTGGGCCGCACGCGCGAGGTACCTCTGGGTGCCCTACACATTCGACACCCACATTTACTGGTGATGTAACTTTTTTCCTGCCCTGCAGCAGTGCTTGTCCACCTCAGTTCCGTGCCAAGGTCAACGCAACGGACCAGACGGGGCCAGCGTCCGAGGTCTGCTAAAGGAACGGCCGGCCTAATTTTTTTTCCACAGCACCGCGGCGAAGCGTTGCGCTTTTTATAACCTCTGCCTCCCCCCCGATCCGGCGTATCCTCTTTTCTGCCTTCTGCCTCTAGCCTCCCTATACCCAACAGCATCTTCACCATGGCCTCTGTCACCCGCCTCAGCAACGCTGCCCTGAGGGCCTCATTGCGCGCCCCCGCCTTCAACGGCCGGGCCACGGCTTTCAACGCCACCCGCTGCTACTCGGCCAAGTCCCAGGTGAGAAGCGTCCCGCGTCGTTGCTCTTGTGGCTATGAGCGAAAGCTGCAGGCCGCCGTGGCCCAAGCTTCGGACGATGCAATGGAAGAAAAATCTAGGGTGCAACACAAAGCTGACTGTCGCGTGTCTCGCCGTCTAGTCCCTCAAGGAGCGCTTCGCCGAGCTTCTCCCCGAGAAGATTGACCAGATCAAGACCCTCCGAAAGTTGGTGACACCCCTTTACCTCAGCAGCGCCGCTGTGCCTGGCGCTTGCTTGTGCTGCTCGATACTGACGTTCCTCCTTCTCTTCGCAGGGAGCACGGTTCCAAGGTCGTCGACAAGGTCACCCTCGACCAGGTCTATGGCGGTGCCCGTGGCATCAAGTGCCTCGTCTGGGAGGGTTCCGTCCTCGACGCTGAGGAGGGTATCCGATTCCGTGGCAGGACCATCCCCGAGTGCCAGGAGATCCTCCCCAAGGCTCCCGGTGGCAAGGAGCCTCTCCCCGAAGGTTAGTGCTACGCATACAGTCGGATAGCAAAGCTCGACTTTGTCGTTGTTGTTGTTGTAGTTGTTGGCCATACTAACCGCCGGCTCTTTTGCGCCATGCAGGTCTCTTCTGGCTCCTCCTGACCGGTGAGGTCCCTACCGAGCAGCAGGTCCGCGACCTGTCCGCCGAGTGGGCTGCCCGCTCCGACATCCCCAAGTTCGTCGAGGAGCTCATCGACCACTGCCCTACCGACCTGCACCCCATGGCCCAGTTCTCCCTGGCCGTCACTGCGCTCGAGCACACCTCTTCCTTCGCCAAGGCCTATGCCAAGGGCATCAACAAGAAGGAGTACTGGCACTACACCTTTGAGGACTCCATGGACCTCATTGCCAAGCTGCCCAACATTGCCTCGCGCATCTACCAGAACGTCTTCAAGGGCGGAAAGGTGGCCCCCATCCAGAAGGACAAGGACTACTCCTTCAACTTCGCCAACCAGCTCGGCTTCGGCGACAACGCCGACTTTGTTGAGCTCCTGCGTCTGTACCTGACCATCCACACCGACCACGAGGGTGGCAACGTCAGCGCTCACACCACCCACCTGGTCGGCAGCGCCCTCAGCTCTCCCTTCCTGTCCCTGGCCGCTGGTCTCAACGGTCTGGCCGGCCCCCTGCACGGCCTCGCCAACCAGGAGGTGCTCAACTGGTTGACCGAGATGAAGAAGACCATCGGTGACGACCTCAGCGACAAGGCCATCACCGACTACCTGTGGTCCACCCTCAACGCCGGCCGTGTCGTTCCCGGTTACGGCCACGCCGTCCTCCGCAAGACCGACCCCCGCTACACTGCTCAGCGAACCTTTGCTCTTGGTATGTTGGACTGGATGATGATGAACCGATTGATGGTTTCTCGCTAACTCCCCCACAGAGAAGATGCCCAACGACCCCATGTTCCAGCTGGTCAGCCAGGTCTACAAGATCGCCCCCGGTGTCCTGACTGAGCACGGCAAGACCAAGAACCCTTACCCCAACGTCGATGCCCACTCCGGTGTGCTGCTCCAGTACTACGGCCTGACCGAGGCCAACTACTACACCGTCCTCTTTGGTGTCTCCCGTGCCATTGGTGTCCTTCCCCAGCTCATCATTGACCGCGCCGTCGGCGCCCCCATCGAGCGCCCCAAGTCCTTCTCTACCGACAAGTGGGCCGAGCTCGTCAAGAAGCTGTAAGGGATGACGTTTAGGATGGGTGGAGCAAAGGCAAAAATGGTGCAATAGAGGGAGTGGTTTCTTCTTTCTTTGAGGGCTTGCGATAAGGGACAAAAAGTTGAGGCCCTATTGGGCAGGATTTGATCATCGACTAGGATATAGACAGTCTGTGGATGACACAGCGACGGCCAGAACGGCGCTTAATTGTACAATATGCGGAACTGTTGGTTTCCAATTTGATGTAATGAGACAAGATTGACTCCTCACGAGCTTCGAAAGGGTGTATGAGTATGACGCGTGCGTGTTGAACTTGTTTTTGCAATGGTCGATATACTTTTCCATCACATAATACTGTATCTACATGCATCCCAGCAAGACATTGGATGATGTGGTGGGCTCCAAGCACCGGAGATGATCATATAATACACCTCCACCATGGGCCGGCACTTTGGCGTCCATGAGCCGATGTAGAATTTGGCTTCGACGGCGCAGGCGAGGCGTTAGTGAGATGGCTTCTGGAGGGGCTAATATGGATTGAGGTAAGGGTCCTTTGCGGGAAGCGGAAGAGGACGACCAACGGCATGAAGTTTTGAGGTTTAGATCAGGGCAATCCGCTCATTGTTGTTGTTGGGCGGGCTGAAAGTTTGACGTACCGTATAGCAGCTACAAGTACCTACTACCTACCTACCTAGGTACCTTACCTTAGGTACCTAGTTACAGGTCCTCGCGTTAGTACGTCGAGAGGTATTGGAAGTTAGATATGGGGACTCGAGTCAATTCTATTGCAATGTCGAGCTGGGCAGCGCGAATATCTTGAGGTCGCTGTGCATGGAGACGGGCTCTTATTCGTATTCGAGGTATGGAGTAGCTCATCTTCGAAGCTGTGATGAATCGGTGGAGACGCCCTTCCATGCTGTTCAGTCACCTCTAGCAGTACTCAGGCACGGTATCTATTCTACCTAGCATTTCAACGGTTGACATGCCCGGTTCTTTGCTGCTTCTCTTAGCTGATTGGGCAATTCCATGTGTTACATACAAGTGATTCAATTTTTTCTTGCAAACAGCCTTGGCCGCCGACAAAGCAGAAAAAGGGACGCGATCCAGCTCAACAATCGCAAACATGTTGAGATTTTTTGTGGTGAAGCGAATCCGAAACGGTGCAAGCGGATAATATGAGCGCCACGCGGGCCAGCCCCCACAGTTGCGATGGACGGTGGGGGGGGGCAGCAGAGGCCACTTCTTGGGGACTCTGTAATATGAGAGGAATACTATGTATGTCGATGCTTTTTCGAGGGATGAGGAAGAGATTTCTTGTATTTTTATCTTTCAAAGCTGCCGAGTCTATTGGCATGTCCTGGGCAGGTAGCGAGACGCCGTGAGTGAATAATTGTTCATACGGGCTCGTCGTACTCGGGAAGTGTCTGGTGATACGAATTTCGGACTTGGGACGTACAGCTACTACCACCTACCTTGAGGTAAGCACATGTGAATGCTGCATGGGCTGGCTGAGACACACGAAAACGTGTAGGAGGGTGGGAAGCTAAAGATATACTCGTAGGATGGGATGGATGGGTTGAGGCACGGTCGCCAGGGAAAGGGATGCTGTTGCTAATGTACTGTTATCGCCAAGTCTCATCTTTTGTTGGTGAGTGATGCTATGTATTCACCTCCAGATGCCCCCCCAGATAGGTATTCTGTTGCAGGCAGACCTGTAGATCCAGTAGACCACAGCCGACACGCTTCCTCTCTCTCTCTCTCTCGTCGTCTTCCAACTCCTCCCCAAAATTGCACGTGTAAATGGTCAATTCCGGCACAGTTCACAAGGGGCTGCTCGGACAATCACGGATGGCAGCCTCGCAAGCCCCCAGCCCAACCCAGTCCTCGGCCCGGTTCCTGTCCCCCTCCCCAACTTGGGAGACCCCGTGCTGACCTCCCTTGCTGTCGTTCCGAGGACCGCTTATCTGCCCGCTGTGCCTTGCTCTGCCTTGCTTCAAAACCTGGTCGCATCCCCTCCGATCCCGTTCAACAAGCTGCATCTTAGTCAGCGAGCTAAGCCTTATCGCGCGCAATCCGTCGCTCCTCTAAGGCAGCGAGTACGAGTAATAGTACAAGTACAGGTTGCTCTGGCCAACGCCCTCGACTGAACCCCCCCTTTTCCTCCCTCCTTCTCTCTCTCTCTCTCTCTCTCTCTCCTCTCTCTTCAACAACTTTCCAACCTCACTCTCCCCTCCTTTCCACACGCCTTGCGAAGAAGCACCCTATTCCCTTGGTCAGGGCCCCCTATAGCACAACTTCCAGAAGCCATGGTCGCCGCCGCCGCTATCGAAGCCCCCGTCGCGGGCAACAAGCTTGAGAAGAAGCCCATCAAGTTCTCCAACTTGCTGCTCGGCGCCGGTCTCAACATGTTCGAGGTCACCACCCTGGGCCAGCCCCTCGAGGTCGTCAAGACCACCATGGCTGCCAACCGTGGCGACGGCTTCTCGACGGCTCTGGCCCGCATCTGGGGTCGAGGAGGCGTTCTCGGCTGTAAGTCAACCCGACAACTTCATCTGGGGTGTGCAGATTGCCCCATTGGAGCGCTGAACTCGGCTAATCATTGTTTTCTTGGTGTTCTTGCTCGACAGTCTACCAAGGTCTCATTCCCTGGGCCTGGATCGAGGCTTCCACCAAGGGCGCGGTGCTGCTCTTCGTCGCCTCCGAAGCCGAGTACTACGCTCGCTACATGGGTGCTTCTGAGTTTGGCGGTGGCATTCTTGGCGGCATCACCGGCGGTGTCGCCCAGGCCTATGCCACCATGGGCTTCTGTACCTGCATGAAGACGGTCGAAATCACCCAGCACAAGCTGGCCGCCGCCGGTGTCAAGCCCCCGTCTACCTTCCAGACCTTCATGGGCATTTACCGCAAGGAGGGCATCCGCGGCATCAACAAGGGTGTCAACGCCGTCGCCATCCGGCAGATGACCAACTGGGGCTCCCGCTTCGGCCTCAGCCGCCTGGCCGAGGGCTGGATCCGCTCGGCCACGGGCAAGGAGAAGAGCGACAAGCTCTCCGCCGGAGAAAAGGTCCTCGCCAGCGCTCTCGGCGGTGGTCTCAGTGCCTGGAACCAGCCCATTGAGGTCATCCGCGTCGAGATGCAGAGCAAGAAGGACGACCCCAACCGACCCAAGAAGATGACGGTCGGCAACACTTTCCGCTACATTTACTCGAACAATGGTATCAAGGGTCTTTACCGGGGTGTTACTCCTCGAATTGGTCTCGGCGTTTGGCAGACGATTTGCATGGTTGCTGTTGGCGATATGTGCGTTTTCCCCCACCTGCCATTCTTACCCCATCCTGGCCGAAGATCACCATTACGATATAGCTTTGCTAACAATGTATGTTTCTACAGGGCTAAAACTTACGTGGAGAAATTGACCGGCGACAAGGTCACGGCTAAGCATTAGACGGCGTTTGGGTCAGGGCTCATGATTTGGCATGACGGTTCAAAAATTGGGTTCTAATTTACGCGCGAACGATGAAATGACGGCGGTGGGAATAATTGCCAACGGCGGAGCTCGAGACTGCGTTTCTCGAGTCTCTGACCGGTTTTCTTTCTTTCTCTTTCTATTCCAATCTTCCTCAACGAGGAGACCATCAAGCCTTTTCTCCTGGAAGACTTTTTTATCAAGATGTACACGCGTGTGTTGCTATTGTATGCACCGCTTTTTCTTATTATAGATCTACTCTAGAGGGATATCTGCTGAGTGGAGGTGAATGACACGCATGGCCATTCCTGCAACATGATGTCCATTGTTCAATGCTTCTTTCACATGCCGTCTGCCAAGAAGGGGACTATGCATTCCTTTGTCTTACCTACTTGTACTCATCCGTGACTGAAGCCGAGGCAAGCCCACATATTACCCAGGTAGGTAATTTTCCCTTTTGCGTTTCATGGGATAACATCGTCCAACCGGCTCGGTCGACGGAGACGCGGTCGGACGCCGGAGGGAAGCACCGAGTTTGACCTCTAGCAGTAGCCCGGGGATATTGTCTCCATACGGATCCAGGATGAAGAGAAAGATGAGACTGTATTACTACATGCCTCGGCTCTTTGAAATGGTTCTTATTGTGGGGTTTTTAGAATCGACTTTGTTGTTTGATTTGCGGCATGTGAAAAGCTGGGGGTGGACATTTCGGGTGAAGGGATGGGCGAGGCTGGTTTGTGGGTTCGTGGATCGTTGGAGGGGCCCCGGATTTTTTCTTGTTTTGGCAGCTTTCTGGATGTGTGAGATGGAAGAGGCTCCTTGGCTCAAAACGGGTGTTGTGGATTAGTCACTGGGATGGTTTGTGATAGTAGCTTGGTTGGTGAGGTTTTGTGTGAAGGAAGACTATGTTTGTTTTTCTGGATTTGCTTGCTAAATTGAGTAAGTATCATGATGACTCGTTTATATGGAAGAATTTGGCGATGTGGAGGTTACTCTCAGATTTTGGTACGCTGGAGGCTGCGATGAAGCCCTGAGAATCGATTCCGTTTAGTCTGAAAACAAAATATGCTTGCTTCAAGACTGGTATGAATTTGGTAGAGGGAAGCTTTAAGGCTGAGTATCTGGAGCGCAAACAAGATCTCAGAGTATGTAAGTCGAGGGCAGACAAAGGGGTATAGTACTAGCAGGATGTTGTATCAGACTTGGCTTTGACGACAACATCAGGCATGGGGCAAAAAATGCTGCTTAATCAGTGGTAAGTGTCTATTACATTGTAGTCGGGCCTTACGTAAGGGAGTCTCGGAGCTGAAGAGAGATCCGAACCTCTCGTTGATGTAGGGCAAACTGATTTGAATTGGTCGCTTGTTGGTGGCGCCTTGGAGGAGTTATTGGTGAATCGCAACAGCGCTTGAGCCACAAAGGTGGCGATGGTGGATGATTTGTGATTTGATTTGTGGCAGTGCAGAACAGACCTTGTGTGGCTGAGCCTGTACAGTTGGATGCTGGAGGTCATGGAAGCATCTAGGGTCGAGGCTCTGTCACCGTCTTGTTTGTATGAGGTATATGTCCATGTAATTCCAGCAGTATTCCATTGCCCTGAGCTCCCTCAACCGGATCGCCGGCACGCCAAATCCATGCATGCAGTCCCGTGGAATTCGTGCATGCACTTCGTACGTGGTCCGCTGCGCCTCGCATTTCCCACCTGTAGCGGGCTTCCATGAGCCTCTGGCCACTGCTACAGCGGATCCCGTTTAGGGGATTTGCATTGACGGGACCCTCTGGGGATTGACGAGGTGCAAGCCTTGGCGAGCATCACGCATGGTTGCGGATATATATAAGCGGGAGCTGAGTGTGTAGGAGACGTCTAGAGCTGGATTATTGTCATTGTTTGTCAATTTGATTCAAGCCGTGGTCGGTAACAGCAAGCCATCGTCTCTGTACATACCATTTCGCCATCTGGGCTGTTGTGTTAGCAAGGGTCGTCATACGCTAATAACACCACCCCTCCTCCTCTGACAACTACCCAACGCCAACTTCCCCCTCCTCTGCCTCTGCCTCTCCCTCTCTTCTCAACCTCTCTACAGAATCAAACGACTCAATCACCTACAGTGCACACCATCATTATCTCATGGCCGACTACGCACCTCCTTCAGGGCCTCCGCCGCCCAAAGCGCCCGAGGTTCCTGCCGGCTGGGTCGCCCGCTGGAACGAGCAATACAAAGAATGGTACGTCGGCTCGATTCAAAACCAAGATGCCATCTCCCCCCCCCCCTCGACGCAACGATCACTCACGTCTCCTCAATGACAGGTTCTACGTAAACATCTACACAAAAAAGTCCCAATGGGACAAGCCCACCAGCCCCGTCTACCCTGACAACGAAGCGCCGCCCTCCGAACCCCCGCCAGGCTACGACGGCCACAACGCCCCCCACGTCTCCGATACCAAGAAGAACCCCTACGGCGACCACCACAGCAGCGACTTTGCCGGCTCATCGTCACGGCAGGCCCAGGAGGAGGAGGACGCCCGTCTGGCCGCCCAGATGCAGGCCGAAGAAGACGCCCGAGCCCGAGCCCGCGGCAGCAGCTCTCAGCAGCCTCCCGGATACGGATACAGCGGAGGCGCCGCCGACTCGTACCGCCAGCAGAGCACCAGCCCGTATCCTCCCCCACAGAGCAGCCCGTACGGAACGCCCCAGCCCCAGCAGCAGCAGCAGCAACAACAGCAAAGGGGTGGGGGTCTCCTGGGCAAGCTCGCAGGCAAGCTCGCTGGTGGCTCCCACGGCGGCTCTCACGGTGCCTCGCCCGGAGGCTTCCCCGGTGCGCCTGGCGCGGGTGGCTACTCGGGCTATGGACCGCCTCCAAATCAGGGATACGGTGCCCCGGGATACGGGAACCCGAGCCCCGGATACGGAGGCGCGCCCGGTGCCTACGGTGGCGGGTATGCTCCCGGATACGGAGCTCCGGCACAGGGATATGGCCAGCCTGCCTATTACCAGCAACAGGTCCCAAAGAAGAGCAGCGGTCTGGGAGGGGCAGGGCTGGGCCTTGCGGGAGGCGCTGCGCTTGGTCTCGGCGCTGGTGTCGTGGGTGGTCTGTTGGTGGATGATGCCATTGACCACTTTGAGGACCAAGGATATCAGGAGGGCTACCGTACGTTAACCCCCCCGCACAACCGAATTGATCAGGCATTGAGTCAATACTAACGGATACTGAAATAGAGGACGGCTTTGACGATGGTGGAGACTTCGATGGCGGCGACTTTTAAGCAGTGTCTACCAAGCTGCATGTTTGTCGTTATGCATTGCGATGATGCGTGGCTAGAGTGAAAGAGCTGTGCGGGGTGGTAATCTGACTGATTGATGGACTGGTTCTCAGTGCGCTTTCGAAGACAAAGACTTGATTTCGTCGTTGTTTGAATATAATTAGGAGGACGGCGTTGCGGAGTAAATGCCAATCACACGAAGCTGATGATACACAATATGAAGGAGCCGTAAGGCTTTCCCATCTGCATTGCTAAGCCAGGAAAATTGACTCATGAACATGGCTGCCACAATCTCTTCCCATCCCATCGCCCTCTTTTCCCAATACAAGGTCCCTGCCGAATCACCGTCTCACCTCTTCACACCCTCCTTCTTGCCCGAGCCAGCCAGGTACGCGGCCATGTCAAAGTTGCCAAGGGGATTCTGGCCGCCCTGGGCGTTTGCCATGATGGCGTTCATGGGGCTCTCCTTTTGACGCTCTTCGAATTCGGCGCGCAGCTCGGGGTCCACTGCCATGATGTCAGTCATTCTACCACACACAGAAGACGTAGATTACTCGTAGAGCAAGAAAGGACAGAGGGGTGTTATAGAAAATGAGACTTACTGTTTTCCATCAAGTAGGGCATGCCAAAGACAATGCCCATCGTAACCAGACCCATCAGAATCATGGGATTCTTGAAGATGCTCAACACCGAAACTATTATTCACCACCAAAGTTAGTCACCCCACGCACATTGTCAAACTACCTAGTGATAGATATACTACAACAGCTTGCAGGAAGGAAAGGAAACTCACACTTGGCCCTCTCCATGAAGAAAATCTTGGGCCCCGCCGCCTTGACGGCAAGGCTCCTGGTCGCGCCCTCGCTCCGGACGGGCACCTCCTCGCCTTTGTTCCCCCACTCGTTGCCGCGATACGTCTCCCACGCCTTGACCTCGCCGCCGGCGCCGACGTCGACGCGCAGCGGGAGGAAGTTGTCCGTCGGGCAGTGCACGTCGAGGAGGTACGAGTCGGCCGAGACGTTGTGGAAGTCGAAGGTGTTGACGGCGGATAAGGGGGCGCTGAGGCGCTTGTGCAGGCTGGAGAGCGTGGCGTGGGTGCTGGATGGGAGGAGGAACGGGTTTGGCTTCGGCGGGAGGGAGATGCTGAGGGTGAGGTGCGTCTGGGCGGCGGCGAGGGTCGCCGTTAGGAGGAGGAGGAGCAGGTTCATGGCTGGCGGGCGGGCGGACGGGCGGGCTTTGAGCCTCTGAGTGTTGTGGTGGTTCGGATGGGGACGATTGCGGGAGGTTGTGAGGATGGGCTGGTGGTGATTTACAGCTATGGTGGTGAGGTCGGTGGATGTGGCTGATGGCGGATGATGTATGTGGCTTAGTGCTGCTTTTTGCTGAGAAGCTGTGAGCTGGGCGCCACAATAAAGTACCGTCACTGACATCAACCTGGAATCTCCATGTCCAACGTGCTATATCATTCATTCTCTACCTAGATGATTTATACTTCTCTGATTGGAGTCTGAAGGATGGGATTGAGCTGTCATGAGTCTTCGGTTCCCTGAGATGCTACAATCCCCTCCGCTCCGGGGCTCCCTCTGCCCAGCATCGTCAGCGTCTCATCCCTGCTCCTCGAATTGCTCAGCCTAAACACCACAGGCCTTGGCATCTCCCTCGAGGATCTGGATACGCCATCATCCGTAAACCCAAGCTCACTCAGTCCATCCAGCTCGCCAGCCTCGTCCACTGCAACCGGCGGTGGATCTGCCTCAAAGACAGCTTCAATATCACCATGCGGGTTGAAGCCAGTGAAGCGCCACCGGAGCAACTGATTCGACTTGACCCCTCGTTTTGACTCGCCAGTTTTGAATAAGTTGCGCTCATACAAGCTGATGAGCAAGAGCACGGGAAAGTTGAGCACCCGGACGATGGCGACATGGACGCTGTGAAAGCTGCGTGCCGAGACGAGGAGCTTCAGGGGCAGCATGAAGAAGAGCGCCAATACGTTGGACGGGGGCGGATAGGCAAAGATGGCATCGCTCCTCACGCACTCAAACGTGAGCACCGCTCGGCGGAACTGAATCTCGGCGGCTTCGGCGGCCACGATGCGCGAAAAGGTGTTGGTCAGCACGGCGACCAGAATCGTCAGGAACAGCGTGTTGCCCAGGAACGCAAAGGCCACGATGAGGGCTGGGCCAAGGACGACATGGAACTGCACGCTCTCCTGGATGCCGGTGCCGTCCAGCCCAAACCAGATCCAAAGGAGCCATTTCGCAACCGTGTACCACTCGGGCTCCGGTCCTTGCCCTGCCGTCAGGAGCCACTGCAGTGCCAGGAAGAAGCCTCCCACGCACCACAGGGTGAGGAACGTCAACACCAGAAAGTCCTTCATCATGGCGTGCAGCGAGATGAAGACGATGTTGTCCGGCATCAGACTGAAGGCGACACGCGTGAGCAGTACCGGTGCCGCAACGCACAATATATGCAGCCCCGCGGAGCCTGTGCCGCCTGTTGTGCCCTGAGCAACGGGAACCCAGACGTCATACAGTCGCGCAAAGAGATAGGCGCAGAAGATGATGGTGAAGGTCACGTCCAAGAAGGACCACGTCTTTTGGGAGTGGACCGCCCAGCCATGCTCGATGATGGCGGCAAACTCGTCCAGCATCCAGCCCAGCGTGTATACGACGAACAGGCTTTCATACAGCTTCAGAGGCCTTGAGTTGCCTCGGTTCACCATTGTCAAGACGTACAGCCCCAGAAGCACCATGAACTGCATCGACTCGAGCAAGTTCCTCCACCTGGGCACAATCAGGCGATAGTGGTTCAGCAGCGGCGCCTTGCGAGGGTCATACAGCGACACGGGATGGTGCTTGTAATGGTCAGGCAGGATGTCCACGAAGGAGATGGGCGTGTATACCACCTGGCCCTCGTACACGGCGTTGACGACGCGCAGACACGCCGGCGAGCTCATGAGAGCCTTGCTCTCCGAGAGAATGGCCAGCTCCAGCGCCGTGAGCTTCCTCTCGTTGCCGCCGCGCCGCTGCACCGGCCAATGCGTGTACCTGCCGGCCAGGGCGACGTCTTCGGGGGCTCCCGAGAAGGGGTCGAAGCCCTGCACAAGGGCGTTGGCCAGCCGCAGCAGGCCGGCGGCGCCCGCCTTGTCGGGGTGGTTGTGCTCGTGCAACTTGCGCAGGATCTTGGTGGCGACGATTTCGCAGAGGGTAGCCCGGGCGCGGCTCACGCTTTGGTGCTTGGCGGCGGTTTGCTCTCTGAGGAACTGGAGGCGGTTTGCGAGGAGGCAGTATACTAGACCTCGTTCATGTGAGCCATGTGTTTGAGCCTCGTGGAAACGCGCTCCGAGCTTCGGTATAGAGACACAAAATCACAAGAGGCTGACATTGGCACCGTTCGACAGAGCGCACACAAGGAGGTTGCGATGATATGGCACGAAGCAGAGAGGGGGGTTCAGGCGAGCAAACCTATGGACATGTCGTCGGGGTCATATAGCCTGTCGACCAAAGGACGGACGACGAGCGTGTTGATTCGAGGGCTCGTTAGCTGTTCCAACGTATATGGATCCTCTGTGGCCCTTGTGAGTTGTTGCAACCTCATATCGTTAGATGAGACTACATGTAACTTACCAATGCTGGCGATGACAAGAGCTCTCACACTGCACTTTCATACTGGACAATCAGCGCACCCCTTTTACAGATGACGGTAAAGCCGGCTCAAGCAGAAGAGACCATTGGAGACAAAGAATGGCGAAAGGAGAAAGAGAATACACAATGTTTCTGATTTGCTTGGACTGGGGAGGAGTGTTTCTTTCGAACCGGAACTCACCGATGGATCGTTGTAAAGACATCCGGAGGCTCCAGTGCTTCGTCCTCGTCAGCAAAGAGACGTTCGTCCACCTCTTCGCCAGTATGCATGGTAGCCTCCGTGTCATCATCGACTTGACGCATCCCCGTGCCCGAAGCATCGTCACTCGCAAGGGTGTAACTCATGATCCTAACAATTTCAGAGGCAAAAATGTTCAGTCAAGTGTGAAGAAGAAGAAGAAGAAGAAGGCGAGAGGTTGTTAGGGTAGAATATCACTGTATTGATTCTATACGACTGGATATATGTGCACTCGATCGGGCAAGCGGCTTGCTTTGTGAAGGGAGGCCTCATGCTTACAAGAAAGCTTTTGTGAGGGAAATTTACACACCGGTAGAGACCGACAATTACCGGACCAATTGGAAAACACTTGGGAAAGGAAAAGAGAGAGGAAAACATACTTTTGATGGATTGTCACTCTCTGGGAATTGGGGGGGATTTGGATGTATGAGTGATTTACATGGATGTAAGAATGTCGGTAGCTTGTGGCTTGTGGTGGCAGTTGGTTCAAGGGCTTACATATATGCATAGTGGTTTGCCCGGTGCTTAAAAGTTGAAGCATGATGACGATGAGGTGCCACAAGACGGATTCTATGCGGAAGGATGATGGCATATGCAGGATATGCTGGGGGTAAAAGAAAGGGTTACTTTGAAGCTTTCTATATTCAATCAATTCGGGAATCGCTCTGCCGCTCGGCAAGCCGCCTGATGCAGGACAGACCTCCGCTAAATGCATGGTGTAGACATGCCCATCAGGGCATATATACGTATTCACACACAAAGTATGGACATGAGCAGAGCGCAGTGTGTTTCTGCTCCCGGAACGGCGCCGCCTCCTGTCTTTCTCTTTGTCTCCAAGGTATCATTGCTCTCTCTCCTCCGCAGCGCCAGCCAAGATGCGGGCCATCGTACGCTATGCAGCCGAACCCCTGATCGCAAGAAAAGGTTGCGGATCTGTCTGTTTCGTCGCCGCCTCATCACTTACACAAAGAGGCAACCCAAGTCCCCGTCCTTAATTGGCGAGACCAGCGGCCTTGAATGACTGCTCAAAGTCGGCAATGATGTCGTCAATGTGCTCGGTACCGACAGAGATTCGGATAAGGTCCTGGACGAGCCCAGGTCAGCAGACAATACTTTCAAACAAAGAACAAAGCATGCCGTGATCGCCTACCTCGGTGACACCGGAGCTGATTCTCTCGTCCTCGCTCAGCTGCTCGTGAGTGGTCGTCCAGGGGCTATAGTATCGCTGTCAGCATTTCTCCTCTGCTCATCATCATCAGGGGGGCAAGGGCTCGGTTCAACAACTCACTGAATGGCCAGAGTCTTGGAATCGCCAACATTGGCAAGGTTGGTGATGATCTTGAAGCCATCGACGACCTTGCTGCCCGCAGAGCCGCCGCCCTTAACGCCGAAGCTCAGGACGCCGCCAAAGCCCCTCTTGAGGTACTTCTTGGCCGTCTCATGGTAAGGGTGGCTCTCCAGGCCCGGGTACGAGACCCAGGACACATGGGGGCTCTTCTCCAAGTGCCTCGCCAGGGCGAGCGCGTTCTGCGCGTGCCGCTCCGCGCGGAGGCTCAGCGTCTCGACGCCCAGGATGAGCTGCTGGGCGGCAAAGGGGTTGAGGGTGGCGCCAATGTCGCGCAGGAGCTCGACGCGGGCGCGGACGATGAAGGAGACGGGGCCAAACGTCTCCCAGAACTTGAGCCCGTGGTAGCCCTCGGCCGGCTCGATGAACTGGGGGAACCGCTTGCCGTTCTTGCCCCAGTCAAACTTGCCCGAGTCGACAATGACGCCGCCGATGGTCGTTCCGTGGCCGCCGATCCATTTGGTGGCCGAGTGGACAACGATGTCGGCGCCGTGGTCGATGGGGCGGACAAAGTAGCCGCCGGCACCAAAGGTGTTGTCGACCTTTTGGATTATCGAATGTCAGTCTCTGGGATTGATGCTGCTGCTGCTGCTGTTGCTGCACGAGGTATCAAGATGCGTCAACTTACAACGAGGGGAACGCCCTTGTCGTGGGCAACCTTGGCAATGGCCTCGAGGTCGGGCACGTTGTACCGCGGGTTGCCGATGCTCTCGACGTAGACGGCCTTGGTCCTGTCGTCGATGGCGGCGGCAATGTCCTCGGCCTTGTCGCCGTTGACAAACTTGGTGGTGATGCCGAAGCGCTTGAACGTCACCTTGAACTGGTTGTAGGTGCCGCCGTAGAGGTTCGACGTGGAGACGATGTTGTCGCCGGCCTCGGCGAGGGCTGTGATGGCGAGGAACTGGGCGCCCTGGCCGGACGAGGTGGCCAGCGCGGCGACGCCGCCTTCCAGGGCAGCTATCCGCTTCTCGAAGACATCGACGGTGGGCTATAAAGGGGGGATGGTTATCAGATGAGCTTTATGGTCGATAGTTTGGCAGGTAATAGAACTGGTGTATGGTGTTTGGTTTACTCACGTTGCCGATACGGCTGTAGATGTTGCCCTCTTCCTTGAGGCCAAAGAGTCTGGCGCCGTGGGCAGAGTCGTTGAAGGCGAAGCTCTGTGAAGGCGGAAACTTGATTAGTATTCCTGTTGCTTCGCGGAGGAGTTGACGCAGCTGTGCTGCGGGATAGTAGGTTCATGTTAATTTCAATCTTACAGTAGTGGCGTAGATGGGAACAGCTCGGGCGTTGGTTGCCTTGTCGGGAGTGTGTCTAGAAGATGGAAATCAAAGAGATTAGCAACTTCATGTTGTTGGCTGTCAATGACCTTGTCTCTTGCAATTGATGCCCTTTTGTGCGTCATCTCAGAAGAGACACAGGAACTCAGAAGCTTGTAAGACGAAGCAGCAATTGCCGATTGCCCCCCGCGCTCCTGTGAACCGAGTTGTAGTGAGAAATTGACGTCCAAAACTTACCCCGCGTGAAGCTGAAGAGTCTCAAAGTTGGTGCTGAGCTTGTCCGCCATATTTGCAAGTTGTAAGAATTGGATATAGAAAAACACGAAGAAGAAGATAGCTCGATAAGAAGCTGACGGGGAGAGACAAGGACAGAGATTGAACCGAGAATAAAGGAAAAAAGAGACAGGAACTCGGTTCAAGCAAAACACGAGGGAACCGCGGGTCGACTCTGTTATTTATATATCATGCTTTCAGGCTAACAAAAAAGTCGGCGCAACTCGTCTGTGACATTCAGTGTGTCTGCCGATTGACGGCCAGGTAAGGTACCTTAGGGGTCCAGCCAGGTCCTGGACCAGCCACATTGCTGACGCTACATGATGTTGGGGAGATCTACTGCCGAGTCCTACTGCCTAGTCTCCAGCAATCTGCCAAAATATAACATAAAATACAGTCATAAAGTAGCGGGATAGCTGAAAGATTCCCTTTTTGTCTGGGTGAGTTGAGAGCCTCCCACGTCCAAGGGTGGGGTTGAGTTCGCTTCCTAACCCCCCCCCTTGATAGTCTGTCGAGCACGCCATCGCCCAGTTCTCGCGTCATTTGGGAGCGTTCTTTTCTGAATGGCTGCTTGTATGTATGTAGTTTGGAGGGGTAATCATAAGTTGTAGGTGATGGGAATCCTAACCGCGTCTGACCCCTCATTACGCTTGATTTTGTTTGTCTGGCCGATTTCGCTGGAGCTCTTTGTGGTGACTTCGGATGGCTTGGTATGGGAAAGACGAGTAAATACTGTAGTAACATGAAGCTGCGTTCAAGGGTTACCTCAAATTGTTGCACCAAGCCAGAGTATGCTGTTCAAGTAAGTATGTTGAAAACAGCAGAAATAATCGTCTTCTCATACAGACGCTCTCATAGTTGTAATGGCAATTCCTTGTCTCGGCAACAGCAAGGGTAGAGCAACAGTCGTCTCCAGTGACCAAGTGAGCCAAAAACCAGGAAGATGTAAATCCTCTTTGCTCCCCCTTTCAGCCAATGGCCCACGACGATCGAGAATTGCACAGAAATAGCCCCGATTGCCTCTTTCAGCCAAACAGGAAAATAATCGAGAACCGCTATAAACCACTCGGCGGACCCAAACCGGAGCGCGGCTGGGGAAACTGGCTGCAAGTGACGGGTGTGGAGAGAGCTGCAGTATGTACATGTATGTAGGTAACATCGAATCAAGCACATTTGCAGCCTTGCGGTTGCGTGAGCGAAGGCTACCTTGACACTATTATTGCGTACATGAACCATTTCTGTTCGTGATTGGATATTTGCATGTACGATGACAGGTCCCTGGATCTGCCCGCATGTATGATGACCAGATCTGACACTCGTTCACATTGAGGATGCTACATAGTGGTCATTGAGCCATGAGACAGTGTGCATCCATCAACAGTGAATCAAATCTTCGCCCATCATCATACCAAGTCCCTTACTTGACGAGGCTTGCGAATTACCACACTTGGATTGCCATTAAACCGTCTCACCAGTCAAAGCCACAGTTTCGCAAGAGCCCTTGTGTTCGCAATTCCAACGTGATAGTTGCTGGCCTTTCATCCCCCTGCTAACCTCGACAGGTATTCCAGCCTCACGTTCACAGCTCCAGATCTCGGACGCCTCGCCTCGAACTCGGCCACTTCGTCCGCCGCCCGCCCCTAACAAACAGATTCCTCGCTGCGAAAATGGCCGAGCCCATCCACAAGCCGAACTGCGCCGCTGCCAGGACGGCCGCGCCACGACCTGCCATGCACACGGAGCCGTCACAGAAGGCCAAGTCGCCCAGACAGACGGCCACGGCAATGAAGCCGGCAAAGTAAAAGATGCAGTTGGCGATTTCGATGCATAGCGATGCTGTCGGATGGGTGGCTTTCGGGGCGAAGCGTGGCGCCAATTCGAGGTATAAAAGGGAGGAGAGGGCGAAGATGGGGCAGAAGAGGAGGAAGCCGATGGAGGGCGGCGTTGACAGGTGGGAGCCCCTGAGATGCCAGTTGATGACTGCAATCGTTCGTGTGTCAGTCGAGGGGGACGACAGCTCAAAGGGTGGGCGCTTTGGAAGTGCCAGTCAGTGCATGTTGAGGGCCTTACCATATGCTGCCAGGGCGATGCTGGCAGCAGCCATGAGGCCCTGAATGGCCCGAAAGCAGAGGATGAGCATCCGTGACATGGCCAAGACGTTGCGCGAAGAAGAAGAAAGTGCGGAGAAGTCACGAGAGAGAGGACGGGACGTGTCAAGGAGAAAGTTGACGTGGAGTTTCATTCTTTCTCTGGGCCGAGTCTACAAAGTCGTACGAGGAATAATAAGGTAGTCTACACTGCATCTGCATGTCTGAGACATATAGAAAACAGGGGAAAGGGAGACGGGAAGAAGGGCTCGTTAATGGCGTGTTGACAGTCGACTGACGGCATGGCGCGTCGATAAGGGATGTATGAAGGAGTTTCGTCTTTGGAGATGCGAGACTCTTTCGCTCGACTCAGCATCTCGAGGCTCCATCGTGGTGTTTTCGTACATGTAGTAGTGGAGAAGAAGCCTTGGAACGGTACATAATAATGAGCCTGCGTCGATGTTACCTGTAGTTGCAGTAGAGCTGCTCGGTTCACACCATGCTCTCTCGTACTCTGTATGCGTTGCGACATGGTATCAAAGGTTTGAAGCATGCCCAGCTGTAGGAGCTCACGTATGAAAACCCATTGCTTGATTGTGATTTATTCCATTCCCTCATTTTGTCTCGTCTCACTCAACAAGACCCGCTTACCTAATGCATAAGCAGTTGACGATGGCCTCGGCTCTTTGAATCTGGGGGACAACGCGGGGGAAGCAAAGATGCGGAGAAGCCACTATATCGAACAAGATGAGGTACCGCTAAGAAGTTCATACCTACCTAGTGCTGGTCCACGTCCCGTGTAGTAGCCACTGATGGCTGAGGAAAGGACACCTTTCAGCTCCGTGACCACCAACAAAAGAGCACCTACTCACTTCATCCGTCCATCTCAGCCCAGTGTCACATGCCACGGCGAGATGCCATCCGCAACAACCGCCTCTTGATTGGTCGCGCAACAGCCACAAGATGAAAAGCAGCGAGAGCGTCCCCCCTGGGCCGAGGCCCACCGCCATGCATTGAGCGGATTCAGACGTAGTAGTACTAGTAGTATCAAGCCAAGCAGCAGACGGTGTTATTCTACAGTACCCCAGATGCATCACCGGATCCAGCGACTTTCACTGGCCATGACCATGGCCATAAAAGTACATGTACGAGCTTGTTCTTGGGCGTTGCGGCTGGTGCAAGAGAGCAAGCAGCTTTCAATGAGACACGGACGGAAGTCGGTCAACGGAAAGCGATGGCAGCCGGCTCGCCTGAGTCGGAACACAAGCATCGCCACTGAGTGGTTGATATTCCCCGAAACAGCCGACGTCACGACGGGAGGCCGGACTTTTCACGTCTTGTCTTGTGCCACGGAGTTTTGTGCGCTTTCGTACAAAAGTATGGTGTTACAAGTGCTTACGTGCAGTGCTGGAAAAGGCGCTTAAGCAACAAGTATGCTCTCGTTGAAGCACTGGTCGTCATGAATCCTGACAGGTAGGTATGTACATGTAGGTATGTACCTTAGGTTTGTATTACTCGCATTGATCCCTTGTGATGGTGTTTCAGCGCCTCGGTTTGTTTTCTTATGTACCTACATACATGTAGCCACTGTAGCCGTAGACACTTACCTACAGTATCAGCCCGCAACGTGGATTGTCAAGTGCAAGATGCTTCTCTTGGATTCAATCCTTTCAACGACTGTAGAGAAGCCAGCAATCCCACATATGGGAACCACTTCAGCTACCGCATGGCCGTGCGAGGTTATATAGTTCTGATTAATATGCTCATCAACTTCCAACTGTCATCTAACACCAGTAGATCGAGCTCATCTCTCCTCCACTTCATCAATCATCATCCCCATTGACGGGCAGATGCTGACGGGCTGCGGTTCACCGGCCACCTGTAAGAACCTTGAACGCCAGCCGCAGGCGGACTTGCGGGATGTACATGTACCACGCCAACGACCGCAGCGCTCAAGGCCCTTCCCATGGAGCACCCAGGCCGCCTTTTACAGCAACTCGCCCGCTGTATCTCTGCGGGTGGGACGCACTTCAGTGGCTGGCCGCTAGCAGCGTTAGGGCATCATCCCCCCCCATGGTGCAGAGCCTGGCGCGGCGCGAGTACCTGGTACGTCCGTAGATGCATGACCAATGGGCGGCCTGCTTTTTGCTCGGCGCATCAACCAATTGATCGAAATCTGGGGCTGCCGAGGCCCCGCGAACCTCGGCCGTCCCTTCCAAATCGCCCATGCCAATGCTTGAACCTCCACATTTCCTCGCGGCATCATCGCCAGGTTTCATCTTTCCCTTCCCTTTTTTTCTTCTCTTTCTTTACGGCTTTCTTCCTTTGTTTCTTTGCAGCTCTCATCTCCGCATTGTGGCTCTGCGTCGTCTCGCAATCATCTCATCGTCTTATAATCCAGGCTTACGCATCGCCTGTTCTTCCCAGCCGGTTCTCGCGGTCACAAGCGTTTTGCTGGCTCCGTCCTCCACCCAGCAGTGCAAAACCACCATAACACGCGGTCAATCACCAGCTCACCACCCCCCTCCTGCACAAGATGGCGACCAAGGACATGGCTGCGTACATCAAGAGCCTGTCGACGCCGCCCGCGCCCGGGGCCCCTCACGGCGTCCCCATCCCTGGCTCAGAACGCCCCGGCCGCACCGCCGTCTACCGCCATCACAAGATCGGTGACGGCAAGCTCCTGACGACGTTCAACCCCGAGATCCAGTCCATCCACGACGTTTTCGAGGCCGCCGTCAAGAAGCGCCCCGGCAAGCGCTGCCTCGGCACCCGGCACTGGAACGCGAGCACGCAGTCATGGCAGGAGACGTATGAGTGGGAGACGTACGCCGAGGTGGCCGAGCGCCGCAAGAATCTAGGAGCCGGCCTCGTCGAGATCCATCACAGCATCGGCCACACCTTGGACAAGTATCCCGTCGGCCTCTGGTCGCAGAACCGCGCGGAATGGCAAATCACCGGTAGGGCTACCCACCTGCGCGTTGCGTCGCGCCCCTTTGCTCCCTTTGCACGACTTGCAGACCGCCCACTGACACACTCCTGATTGTCTGATGTCTAGATCTTGCTCTCGCATCGCAAGCCCTCTTCACCGTATCTCTCTATGATACTCTCGGCCCCGACACGTCCGAGTACATCATCAACCACGCCGAACTTGCCTGCGTTGTGTGCTCTTTGCCGCATATCCCGACCCTCCTGAAGATGGCCCCCCGAATTCCGGGCCTCAAGTTGATCGTCTCGCTCGACGAACTGGAGCAGGGCGAGCAAAAGGGCCTGACGAAAGCCGCCGTCTTGAACGACATTGCTTCCCAGCACGGCATCAAGATCTACTCTCTCAAGCAGGTGGAGGAGATTGGTGCCAAGTCGGGCCGCCCCATGCGCCCCGCCGGCTGGGATGATGTCTGCACCATCAACTACACATCGGGAACCACTGGAGCGCCCAAGGGAGTTGTCATCACGCATGGCAATGCCGTTTCGGCCATCTCGTCCAGTCGCCTCCAGGGCGCGGTGACCGAAAAGGATATTCACATCTCCTACCTGCCTCTTGCCCACATCTACGGCAGAATGGTTGATCAGGTTGCCCTATCTGAAGGCGCCAGCATCGGCTTCTTCCGCGGAGACATCCTGGGCCTGGTCGACGACATGAAGATCCTCAAGCCGACAGGCTTCATTTCCGTCCCCCGGCTGTTCAACCGCTTCAACTCTGCGATCCGAACCGCCACCGTTGAAGCCGAGGGCACCAAGGGAGCGCTGTCTCGGCAGGTCATTGCCACCAAGAAGGCCAGCATGCGCCTGCCACCTGGAAAGGCACACAACAAGCACTTCCTCTACGACCGCATCTGGACGCCCAAGGTCAGGGCCGCCGTCGGCTTGGATCGAGCCCACACCATGATCAGCGGCAGTGCGCAGCTCGATCCCGATGTGCAGGACTTCCTCCGCGCTGCTTTTGGCAACAACTTCTACCAGGGCTTTGGTATGACCGAGACATATGCTGTAGGAACCGTTCAGCTTCCCGGAGACTTTAGTCTGGGCAACATTGGGCCCCCAACTGGCTGTGTCGAGGTCTGCTTGGAGTCCGTCCCCGAGTTTGAGTACTCAGTCGACGACAAGCCCAACCCTCGCGGCGAGCTTCTCATGCGAGGCCCATGCATTTTCCGCGAGTACTACAAGAACGAGGAGGAGACCAAGAAGGCCATTGAGCCTGATGGGTGGTTCCACACAGGTGACATTGCCGAGATTGACAAGATGGGCCGCCTCAAGATCATCGATCGCAAGAAGAACGTCCTCAAGCTGTCCCAGGGCGAATACATCTCTCCCGAGCGCATCGAGAACGTCTACTTGGGCAATACCAACCTGATTGCCATGGCCTTTGTCCATGGCGAACCTAAGGAGTCCACCCTCGTCGGCATCTTTGGAGTCGACTTGGAGAACTTCCCCCCGTTCGCCAGCAAAGTCCTGGGCGAGACGATCACCGCTGCGGATATCCCGGCCCTCAAGGCGGCAGCCAACCACCCCAAGGTGAAGCAAGAGTTCCTCAATGTGCTCAACAAGATTGCGCAGAAGCACAAGTTCAACAGCTTTGAGCGCGTGCGCAACGTCTACCTCGACGTTGATCCCTTTACCATTGACAACGAACTGCTCACGCCCACGTAAGTGCAAATTGGAACGCCTTCACATACATGGAACCATTGCTAACTTGTAACAATAGTCTCAAGCTGAAGCGGCCTCAAGCCGCCAAGGCCTTCCGCGCCCAGATTGACAAGATGTACGAGGAGATCAACGCTGAAGTTGGTCCTGCCAAGCTGTAAGAATTAGACTATAAGATGTAAATGAGTTGGCATGCTGTTGTTATCGAGCGATAAATTTTTTTATTATAGTAATGTGTTTGGACACCTGGTCTTGTCTCAGCCGTGTTGTGGTAAGAAAGATGAGGTGGCTATGTATTTGCAGCAAATAAAAGGCAGACTCGTCTTTTTTGCTTCGGGTTGTTTGTGTGAGTGTTATATTTGATACTTTGCGGCAAAGACTAGAGCAACAAAAAGACCAATGGAATTGCACTGCAGAAGAGTTGGCACTGATAGACTAGTGATAATATAGCAGGAAAGACATCTTCAGGATGTAGTATCTTTTATATCTAAGATATTAGCTAACCTATATATTATATATTTTAATGTATTGTTTTAAGTTAGAGAAAAATAAAGAATCTTATTTACAACTATAAGACTTGGGATAAAATAAATTTAATTGAGATATTTTTTGAACTGCTTGGGTAAATTTACTACACCTTGTCTTAGTATTATTATCGTATCAGGAGTGCAAGCCACGGAAACAAATTGACCTCTGGACAGAAGCTTGCAATGACATTGCTTGTCACTTGTAGTGTCGCACACAGTCCGTCCATTGTTTAGGATATCCAGTACTTACCCCAAGAGCACTTGTAGCAAATGTTTACACTGCACAAGATACGCAGTGGCATACAATCAATAGTGACGTTAAGGCCTGACAGATACATATATAAAAGATCAGTCCTAGCCTAAGCTGTGTATGCTATTGCGTAAATCCTTATTTAGAGACAGGGTAGTCAGCTATTTGACGCATTCAATCCTAATTCATCTCTAAGAGGGTTCCCCTAATTTTCACATCTGAGATGGAAACACTTCGCATGGCAAGTGTGCTTCAACTGCCAGGAATAGCGTGGCGTTGATTTGCGGCTGCGATTGCGCGGCTGGTTCCGACGAGTCGGGTCGGATCTCGCACGTTCGCACGTTTGCATGGTTTGCACGTTCGCAATTTGATCTTTGGCATTGCAACTTGCCAATAGCACCCCAGATCAAGAGATAGAGTCTGAAATTGGCCGTACTAGTAGAGATTTAGTTGATTGGGCTAACTAGGTAGTCTAGGAGACATGTTTTCAATGTACTGGATGTGTTAAGATATTGCTAAGAGACCCTTGAAGGTAGTTAGGAACGAATTGTTAAGGCACAGCATGAGCGCCTTGAGCTATGCGCATGTTGCAACGCGCGATTAGAGCTTGACAGTATTCGACTTGTTTAGGATAACTGAATTGTCGAGGTTATTTATAGACGCTTCTTGTAATTATGCTTTAAAATCTCTAGGGATTATGCAAGAGATTTAAAATATACATAGTATAATATAACAAAGCACTTTTTATATAAAGCTATATACTGGAAATTATATATTTTTATAATAATTAAAAATAATATATATAATTTTAGTGTATATAGTTATATTTTTAGTAGACTTCAAGACTGGTTAGTAAAACAAGTTAATTACTCTATATTACGTAACATAGCAGCCTGTAAGCTCTAGCCTAATAGCTAAACCTCAAGCCCCATTAAGCCCCCTCCCTATTTATACCTAGTTAATTAGGAAATCTGGGCAGCTTCAACGTCGGGGCACGCGATGGGGTAAGTGACACACCCTCAACCGCGTCGATAGAGCCTTTATATCGCGATATAGCCAGCCTGGCTTGGGATGCTCGCCCTCGGCCGCTGGGCGGGCTGGCCTTTTCAATGAGCCTCGTGCTTACTTCTCCCTCCAGGCCCCTGGTCATCGACCTGACCGAGACGCCGCCGCGCTCGCCGCTGGCATTGGGCCGCAACGGCATTTCAGTCGCAAACGGAGGCGGTGTCAACCACCAGAGCCAGCATCAGCCTCTCGCCCATCCGCCTCTGCCCGTGCCTCCTCCGTCGACGCCTCAGGCGCAGCAGCGGCCGCAGCAGCAGCAGCATGACCCTCCTCCGCACGACGACGGGCCGCCGGCCAAGAAGAGGCGCGTGGACCTCAGCTGGGCCGAGAAGCAGAACATTGCGTGTCAGCAGGTGTCTCCCTACGTGAGCCAGGCTCTGAGATACCTCTCGCCTTCGCAGTACACTATTGATGAGATTGCGATCAAGGTATGCGGCCGGGATGCCGAGTGTTGGGATGCCGAGTTGAGCATGCGGAAAGCTGACGGGTGACGCAGGCCGTTTCGTTGTTCGCCAAGGATCCTCTGTTTGTCACTCGCTTAGATCAGGCGAATGACTACACCCTCCCTCCCAATGATGAGTGGACGACGACAAGAGCGAGGATGATTATCACGGAGCTGGCTAAGAGACCTGTGAGTGCATTGTGAAACCATAAGTTGGCCCTGATGAAAGCTGACTTTATCCTTAAGGAGTTCCGAATCAACACTCCCGCAAGAGCGCCCCCAACGGAGAGCTATTTCGTACCGATAAAGAGCGATATCGAACCAATAAAAAGCGACATCGCCCCAATTCAGAGCGACGTATTTCCAAGAGTGCAGACACCCCCTAAACAAGGCCTGCCGAGACCGTGGATACAGCTCAGACAGCCGGCAAACCCAGCAGCTCGGAGACGCGAAGACACCCCAAAGACACACAATGGCAGCAGGTGGAAGCCAGCTGCCGGCAGTGGCCCGTCACAAAACGCGTGGTTCGGGCTTGAGCGGCGGCCGTACCAATCAGCGGCGGATCGCGTGCTCATTGCCAAAGGTGCCAACCGCCTGTACCGCGAGCTGAGAGAACAAATCACTAGCCCGCTTGTGTACCATGTGGACTTTACCTCTGAGGAAACTCAGCAAATCATGGCGTGTCTCTCGAAGTATCTCCCGCCGGGCGGCCCCATGACCCCTGAATATCTGGCACAGATCTGCCTCCACTTCAATGTTCCATCCATCGTCCAGAACACTTTGCCTCTGCGGACACCTGAAGATGTACGCAATTACTGCTCGGATCTGCTCGCACGCAAGGCAGCGCCGCCCAGCCAAGCGCGGGTTCTGAGCCTCGATCCGAAGGCGAGTAGAGCTCAGCAGCAGGAGAAGAGGCGTGCTAGTCGGGTGGCATCCTTGCTGTTGGCTCGAGAAATGGAAGGTAACCGAGGGTTCGGTCGCATGCGTCAGTACGAAAACTTCCAGAACGAGTTCAGCAAGCTCCACGAAGACTCCCTGACACTGGTTGCCGAGTACACAAACTGCGCCGGAGACATTGCGACGACCACTTGGGTTCCGAACAACAACGTCTTATGCGGGACGACTGTGCATTCGGACAGCCATAATCAGCAGTACAACAAGCCTGGCAACCTACTCCTTCTTTCGACCAAGTTGGGGCAACTCAAAGCATTTGCCGATCACAGGATCCCGCGGCCGGTGGTTGACAAAGGAGAAAACTCGACAACGGCCATGCGCCAAAGCCAGGACCCGTGGCTCTACTCGTCTGTTGTCTGCTCAGACTACGACCCCGTTCTTGGCTTGGCGTATACCTCCAGCTTTGACAGAACGGTCAAGGTGTGGAAGGTCGAGGCGGATGGCAGCACCATGACCGCGTTGGCTACATGGCACTTTGACGGCAACGTCAACTTTGTCTCCGCGGCCAAGGACGGCTCTGGGCGCGTTGCCACTGCGGCTGACGTCCCTACCGAGGCCATTCGCATATACACCGTTAACCTGACTGACCTCGCGAATAGCCCTTATATCTCCTTCTCATGCACACGTACCGACGCCAACGGTTCGGATAAGTGGGCATACTATCCTGCGACAATGCAATGGGGCCGTGGTCCGAGCTGCAGGCATCTGCTTGCTGTGGGATATTCTCCTCGAAGCTTCTCCGGGGATGACCATGATATTCCAGAAGAGAAGCACGACACGGGTGAGATGACGCTCTGGGACGCGGTTCAAAACCAGAGAATCCCCATCACGACGGCGGCAACCGCCAACTATTTTGAAGTGGCCTGGCATCCGGTCTTACCAAGGTTCATTGCCGCAACCTCTCCTTCCCAGATCAAGGCCATGCCCGGGGTGCGATCTCAAATCCACTTGTTTAGGGCCCAAGTGGACGGATTTGCCGAGTACCACAACCTCGACTGCTTTGCGTCTGACATCAACGAACTTACCTTTATGCCCAACTCGGCAACGCACGCATACGTCACTGCAGGGTGTACGGACGGCAAGGTGTATGTGTGGGATACTGCGCAGGGAGACAAGCCTGTGCTCATTCTGCAGCACGGCCGCCCCCTGGACGAATACTATGAAGACCGCGAGAAGGAAGACACGGGAGTCAAGTTTACGGCCTGGGGGAACAGCCTCGATCGCTTTTATACGGGTGCTAGTGACGGGACCGTCATGGTGTGGAACATACGCCAGAAATCCAACCCATACGTGCGAACTCTTTTGGAGGCCCCTGGCCCTATCTCCTGCGGTGCCTTTTCTCCCGATCTTAGAAAGATGGTGGTTGGCGATGCTACCGGCCGTGTCTTCTTGTTCTCTGTAGACAAGGAGGACGAGCCAGAGGCGCACTTTATCAAGATCCCGGGCGTGGACCGGCGGCTGCGACGGCCTACGCCTTTTATACCACACCCTGAGCCAGAACCTCCTTACCAGGATCCATCGAGCTCGAACAGCATGGTTGAAGACGACGACGACGACGACATGCACATTGCCGACTTGGTAAGGCGGATGTATCTGGACACGCAGCAACTCGTCATCCACCCCAACCCTACCATTGGCGCCGTCCAAGGCCCAAACTACGCCTCAACAGGCCTCTTCCGTCGAGAAGCACACCTCGACCAAGACCCCGCAAACCACTTACTCATACCCTTTGAACGGGCCCGGGACCAGAGACTCGCAGCAAGCCGCAGCGGCCAGGCAATCCGCCTGCGGAGACTCCGCAACCCGGGACCGCCAGATGCGCGGCTGCACGCGTCGAACAAGGCGCGCGAGTTTGACGAGGAGGAGCTGCCGCAGCCTGACTTGGCGGATTTCGTTGCGTCCAGGGTGGAGTTTGTGCTGAGCGAGGTGGATTGCGGGTTTGTTTACGAGGAGGTGGTGCCCGAGGAGGAGGGGGAGGAGTGGATGGGATAGCATATCAGCTATATGGAGTATATGAATACAGCTTGACATCATATAATATGAACCCCCTTTTTCTTCGAGGTGAATGCTGAATCATGTCACGCCTGCTTGTCTGCTTGCCGCCTCGGTTGGTGCAATATGCTTTAAGGAGATGCTAACTATATCAATGTAGCATCTTGACCCATTCGATCCACGGCATGGGAGCTACACGAGTTGATCTGACCTGCCTTCCATCAGCCCGGAAAGTTGTTTATAACAAAGACCTATGTTGATGCTGCAATGGCAAAAAAGAAGGGAGTCAGAAAAATAGAAAGATACAAAAGTTATAGAAAAAAAAAGAAAAAAGAGAACAATGCGTCATCCGGAACTCGAATCCGGGCCTCAACTTTTCAATAAAAGCATGGAAGAGTTGAATCCTAACCCCTAGACCAATGACGCTTTTTCTGCAATATACTCGACATAGACGAAATAGCTACTTTATGAAGCTTTTCGTGATGCTACTACATCTCCGCACTACCTAGGTACCCTCTCTCCATCCATGTACAGCAAAAGGACGGCGAAAAAAAAAAAAAAGGTTAAAATCAGCTTCTAGAGCTTTTCTGAATGCATGGAAGACGACGCATTGACTCAACACAGAAGAGAGGGGAAGAAAGACAGGAGAGGGGGAAGAAAAAAGCAAGAAAAAAAGAAACGACACCTGCAGGATTCGAACCTGCGCGTGCGAACACAATGCCTATGATACCTGTCGATAGCAGGGCATCGCCTTAACCACTCGGCCAAAGTGTCTAACCAGTTATGAAAGACACTCGCATTACTTTACCCTATGTCTCTATCTCCCCCGGCATCCGCCAAGATCCAAGCGTCAAGTCTATAATATCCCGTCCAGATGAGAAGATCATGCGAGCAGGTGGAAGCTTGAGAAATGTTTATAGTAGTAAATATTGACTGGTTCAATCGAAACTTCCATTCCCGTCCTAATCCGCTTGGAGCTTGTCGCAGCAACAGCCCCCATCCGCTGCAATGACCTTTTTTGAGTCCCAGTAAGCCAAAAGAGTTCTACCAATCTATCACCAAGAAAACCAACTTAAAAGTCCGCAGCGTGGAACAGAATCAAAAGATGAGGCAGTAAGTAAAAGCAGAAGCAAAGCGACAAGCGTGCTAACAAAAGAAATGCCAAATGTGAGCTGGGCCCCCACAAAGTCCCAGCCTGTTCACTCATATCCCAGGTCCTCGCCGCTTCCTCGCCGCTCGCCAAACAGATATGCGGCTTCGAGACAGAACCGTCCGTGGCCCCTCTCCATCCGTCGCTCGCTCCCGTAGCAGATGAGAACCGCGTCGACAATCCCGCTAAGAATACCTTCCATTGCGCCCATAACCGAATACCCGATGAAACTAGCCATGATGCCGACCACATATGCATATGCGGATCCTCGCACGCCCACACCGTCCGGGAGCTGGATTCGGAGCTGCTTGGCGGTGATGACCCAGCCCGCAAATCCAAGTCCCGTAGCCATGATCAGCCGCGTAGCGACCAGGAGCAACTTGGCCAGGCGGTAAGGCAGCAGACTGTTTGCCTGGCCGCGCAGGCGTAACGCCCTTGGTGTCAAGGTGGTGGTAGGAATCGCAGGCGATACAAACTCCATTTGATCGAGGCCCCTGGCAGACGTGGCCAAGCCCTGGGAGTGAATGGCTGCAAAGGTAATTGTGAGAGGATTGGTGAGAGCCACAACAGGCGTCGGTATCCAGAAGGACGCAATATTTGTGATGATGGCGCCTAGTCTCCTGGGCAGGAAGATCAAGGGAGCTCGAATCATCAGAGACAACAATGTGGATTCACAGATGCTGCCAAAAATGGTCGTCAGGCCGTGCAACAAGGCGGCCATGACGATCTCCTTGGAAGGGGCAGCAGGACCGGCGTTGCGGTGAAAGTACCACTGAGAAACTGTCGCCGCCGTCGCCGCTCGATGGACCGCATTGATGACGGAGAGCGTCCACATGTACATGAAGACGAACGCGGCGCCGAGCCACCAGCTGGAGAGTCGAATGACGAATCGAACCAGATCCTTGGAGAAATAGCCGCCCATGAAGACACGCGTGAACATGGCCAGCCAGATCCAAGTCCATGCAACAATCAGGGCCAGGCAGCCAAAGCCAACCAGCAAGAGACCTGGGTTTTGCGCCAGAATCTTGGACGAGAACTGGAGGATTTCAATGGCCTGCTGGATAGCCCTTCGGCCTTTGACGACGAGCCAGAGCCACAAGGCACATGAGGCCGCAGGGGCGAGTGCCGTCCATCTCATGACAACATCCTGAAAGCTTGCCCCATGCGTTCGCCCCTTGAATGATGAGACGAACGAGAAGACAGAGAAGGAAAACATGATGGCTGGCACGGCGACGAGGATAACAGTTACCAGCGGCCGGACAAAGGACCGCAACGCTGCCAGCCATACAAACGACACCAATACGGCCACCACGGTGTCGACGGCTAGCATGTGAAAGGACTTTTGCAACGTCGTATAAATCGTATCGCCCACAGGACTGCTCCTCGGCGCCGTGTTAAGCCACACCAAGAAAAACGTTGACATCATGCCGGCGAGGCAGATGAGAAATATCCACGCGAAGAAGGGATCGTGCCTGAATATCTCGCCCTCGACGAAGGAGATACCTGCGGGATTCGGATCGACCTCGGGAGGCTCTGTGTGTCGCACGCTGTCCATGTCGGTATCGCTCCGTGCTGATCGATCCAGCAGCGGCGTTCGTCCCGACGGATCCTTGAACCGCTGGAAAGCCGGGGGGCTGCTGTCTGTTGCCTCTTCCAGGAGCGACTCCGGCGGGTCGTCATCGGCATCCTCCTGTGACTCCAGCCCGACATCAACCATCTTCCCCTTGTGATGACCGTTGCTGTGTTCGCTGTCGTCATCTCTGCCGTCGTGCCCAACATGCTCTCCGTCCTCCTCTTCCAGTGTTGTATCCCTTGGGGCAGTAGCCTGGTATGAGCTCCTCGTCCCGTTCCAACTGCTCTTGATGCCGCGACCGAAGCCTTGAGTCTGATAGGGGTGATCGAATTGCCTTGAGCTTTCTTCGAGCGACTCTCGACTATTAGCATCCGACTCTACGCTGTCGGCGAGCTTGCTAGCCGCAGCGACCCGTCGCGACCTCTGAAGGGCAAAGAGATCAGCAGCGTCCCTATCGCGCTCCTCTTCGTCGTCGTCCTCTCGATACTCGTCCAGCGTGCTGTGGAACAGAGGCGCGTCTTGCGCGGCTGTTATGCGAGACCCGAACCCCAGCTGACCGAAGCGCGAACCACCGCCAGCTGCTCCTCCACCATTCTGATAGGGATTTCCTCCATAGCCTCTCCCAAGAATGGATCTCTGGCCGCCCGTTCCTCGGCCGGTGTCTCGGTAGGGTCGGTTCGGGCGAGACGACCAGTCGTTCTGCCGGGATGCATTCTCGTTGTCTGCTTGGCCAAAGCTCGAAAGCCTCGACTGGGACTGCGCAAGGAATCGTGAGGCGTCTGGCGAGAACGTGTCAGCAGCTGGCTCATCGGACGCGGCCTTTGAACGAATTCGATGTCATCACGCACATTCGGAGAACATGGTGCCCCTTCACCTACCGCCGCCCCCACGATAAGTGGCTGGCAGGGCTGTCACCTCGACCGGTTGGTAAGCTGCAGTTATTGCTGTGCTGCGGCCGTCGTTGTTTGAATGTTTGAGGAACTTGTTTGTTCGCTGGAGCAGAGATGCGATGGAAGTGACAAGCAGGTTGACGGGCGATGACGAACGGCGCTTGCACGAGCAAAGAGTATGTAGGTACCTAAGGCGACGCTCTCCCTTGCATACAACAGGGAGAAGAAGCGCAGAAAAGCAATAAAACGAAAAGGACTAAGAAGGGGGAGGACAATATTCGACTGCGCAGGAATATGAGTAAGATGTCCGGCGGGTGTTTGATCGAGCAAACGCACTTGCCCGCCTCGCAACGGTGTTGAACAGAGGAGAAGAAGCAGAATGAGAGCAGAAGCCGGAAGCTGAGGTCAGGCGACACAGGGCGGATGAGTCGGTTTGGTGACCTCTGACTTTGACGCCTGTTAGTGAATGGCTTAGGGGACGCATGGAGTGCAGGTGGGCGTCTCCCTCGCTGGCCGAGAGCCTAAAGGCTGCTGGCGGTCAGCGCCTCACAGAGCCACAGGCGGCTGGGCGGGACCAGGCGGTACCCGGTAGGTTGCGATAAGGAGGTCCGCATGCGGGTGTGCTGCCTGCCGGGACGGGGGCGGTACCTTTGCGATACCTGGATGGCTGGGACGGATGTAGGACGTTGGGTGAGCACAAGGGCGGCGAGCCGTCAGTTGACCCCGGTCACCGTTGAGTACCAGTAGGTACTCAGGCAGGTACTCGTATTGGCTTTCCGAGGGGACAAGCAATCATGAAGTCAGACCAGAGAATTGCATCTTTGAACAATAGCAATGCCTGATGAGGCTCTGGCTTGGGTTTAGGCTGCCATTTGTATGTAATACCTCTCTCCACTGTTATCGTACCTACGCAGAGCCAGCCAACACAAGATGACTATTGATCAGATTGTAGTATTGGCGGTCCCTCTGCATGATGCAGCAAGGCCGTCTGTACCGCCATACAAGATGCCAAACCGACATCCTTCGAGCCCGACTGCACAACATGCATCTCGGGACTCTTTCCGTCCAGATTGGCGCATGGCTGCCTACCTTAGTACACTACTGTACATAGCACAGCACAGGCGACAGCGCCCCGTCCATTCACATGCTTGAGTCAGGGCGGGTGCTGTGACACTGCAACTGACATGAATGTATGTACTTGTACCTGGTCGGCGTCGTCAGTTGCCCAATTCCGCTTAGTCGATGTCGTTGCCATGATGCTCGTCCGTTATCGCCCTCTTGCGTCACCGATAACAGCATCTGCCGACAGCGATCGTGTACATACATGTACCTTGCTTGGGTCCTTTCTTTCAGCTCTGCACAGCCTGCTATTCCAGGCCCTTCTATATCAGACTGCAGCATTCATACCATCCTCTTCTCCTGGCAGGCCAGATCAATTCTCATACTATAAACACTACTCATAATCAACTCCTCATAATACCACGTGCAAGTCAACCCCCAATTCCCGCCTTCTCCAGCTCCTCGTTCGCGTGTCACCACCCCTTCGCTTGGCCCGTGACAGCCCCCATGTCCTTCTCCATCCCACACAAGGCAGCGCCCATCGTCACCTGCCTTGCAGACCTTGGAACCCGTTCCCTGTAATTCTCTTCCTGAATGCCTAATTCTGCATCCGACACTCTCGTGATATTCTTCTCCGTCTTTACAAACCCATTGATCATCCTCTCCTCACGACCTTGATAATTCTGCGCTGCTCCTCTTTCAAGCCTCTTTGTTCCCCTCAAACCCGCCCAAATCGACCCCGGATCGCACTTCGCGCACGTGCCGCTTATCGCAGCGACAGCCTCAGATCAAACCCACTCGGCGATCAATTACACCTACAATTTGCGACAACCTGTACAAGAACCCTTCAACACCAAGCCATTAATACTCTTCAACTTCATCGAAGCTCCATAGCCTCCTATATCTGTCTTCTACATCCCGCTCCTCTCTCCTATAAAAAGAAATCTCGATCGCTTCTCTGAATCTCGTGGCGCATCCCACACCTCTCCCCTCCTCCCACATGTCCTCCTCAGCTCCGTGGGACTACATCGCCAAGCTCGTCTGCATCGGCGACTCAGGATGCGGCAAATCTAGCCTCACCATCCGCCTCTGCGAAGGCCGCTTCTCCGCCCACCACGACGTCACCATCGGCGTCGAATTCGGCTCCCGCATCGTCCCCGTCGGCCCCCCTCACACGCCCATCGCCGCTCCTCCTCTCCCCTGCTCCTCTCCCGACCAAGACCAGCAGCCGCCGGCGCCCGAAGGCCTCCCGGAGCCCCGGCGCGACACCAGCGGCATCCCCCAGAAGCATATGAAGCTCAGCCTGTGGGACACGGCCGGCCAGGAGACGTACAAGTCCGTCACGCGGTCCTACTTCCGCGGCGCCAGCGGCGCCCTGCTCGTCTTCGACCTCAGCCGCAAGGCCACCTTCCAGCACGTCACCGACTGGCTCAACGACCTCCGCCAGATCGCCGAGCCGGACATCGTCATCGTCCTCGTCGGCAACAAGGCCGACCTGACGCAGCAGGAGGACAACAAGCGCGAGGTCACGCGCGAGGAGGCAGAGGAGTGGGCTAGGCGCAACGGCATACTCGAGTACGTCGAGACGAGCGCCAAGAGCGGCGAGAATGTCGAGAAGGCTTTTATGAGAGTCGCCGAAAGGATATACCAGAACATCCAGGCTGGAAAGTATAATTTGAACGACAGGAGATCGGGCGTCAAGGGGCCTAGTGCTGGTGGGAGCCGGCAGGTGAGGTTAAATGCCGATGCGAATAAGGCAGGCGGTGGATGTTGTTGAGAAGGCCAAGATTTACATATAATTTCTCCCCTTTTCTGGATTCTGTATAACGCGGCACCATATAAGCAGGAGCCCATATTTGTCGCCAAGCAAGAATGAGGAGGAAAAAGACTTTCTGGCAAAGACATGATACCCGATGGGCTTCATCACTTACACGACACTCTGGTCTGTTGAAGGAACCCCTGGATGAGCATCCTCTACTGGCTCAACTGGAAGCATAGTCATCTTAGTAATACATGCAAACCAACAAAGGCGAACAGGCATACGTGAGGTTTCAAACCAGGTTTGTGGACGAGAAAAGGTAGGTAGAGATATGTCTTGCATTACAAGTAAATGCGGCTGTATAGCGATTTTCCGCCAACCACTTCACCCGTCATCATCTGGTTTTTATATAATTTGAGAAATTCCATCCTACCTACCTAGCCCATGGTCTTTTTTTGTTCTTCATTAACGTGCGAAAATATCCCATACACGTCCTACACCCTTAAATAGGTTGAAACAAATCTTACAGGGTCTGTACCTCTCTTGTGGACAGATACGCCGGCCAGCCTTCATTTGCCTTCTTCCTCTTCATCTACCGCCATGATACAATATGAAAAAGTGGCGCTATGACGAGAACACGAGCTGAACAGCCTGTTCCATCACCGGCCTGTTGAAAGTGGGCGAGCTGAGATACTCGGACAAAGAAGCCGAGTTCAGTCGCTGATGCGCCAGTTGTCGAACCACTTCAGGTACGAATACTGCTTGCTGCTTCCAGTCATACCCCAGCAGATGGGCATGAATAGGATGTAAAGTCCAATCACAACGGTGTACAGGATGCCGTAGGCGACGCCCTGCACAACAGCGGCGCGGTTCCTCAGGACCCAGTCGACCAGGAAGCCCAGGGAGAGGATGGCAAAGTACAGCGCGGGATAGTAGTGGTGCACGTACGTGACACGCGCCATGATGACAAAGGGCAGGTAGTGCAGGAACCAGCCGATGACGGGGTAGATGCCGGCGTAGTGAATCTGGTCAACCTCGGAGTTGCTGAGCTCCTTGAATCCGCGCTGCCATCGCACGACATACCATGCAATGACAAGAGCGACGGCTCCCAGAGAAGCAGTGGAGGCCCAGTAAACAAAGGGGTTGCCCAGCAGGAAGTACTTGACAATGTTGTCGTCCCATGAGCACATGCGGAGTCCGACGTGTAGGATCGGCCACTGCCACCACTGAGAGGCCAGATCATCCTGCTTGTCGGGATCCGGAACCAGGGCGTTGTTCGATGTCATCATTGCAACATTGAGGTGGATGAAGTCGTGAATAAAGGGCGACTTGTAAACACCGGGGTCGCTAGGGGGCACTAGAAGATGAGAGAGTCAGCATCGGTGTTACGGGGAGGGACAGTCGTTTCACTCACGCCTATCGTTCCAGTGAGCTTCAACGTTCCAGTGGGTGTACGTGTCGCGAGGGTTGTTCTGCTTGTCGCAAGTGACCTCGATCTGCTTGAAGCCCCACTGAGGAAGGTTGACATTTCCAGCCCGCAGGTAGCAACCCAGTACGGTGTGCTTCAGGCGGAAGGCAGTGGTAAGGGTGCGGATTCGGCTGCGGTCGCGGGATGCGGCATCTCGCACGACCTCGATCTTCCAGTGATCCTTTTCGTCACCAACGGTGAGGTTACCATAGCTTGAGACTTCGCGGTGGGACTTAGTGATGGGGGCGTCGATGTCGTGAGAGTGCAAGTTGCGGCCGGTCTGGGCGTGAATCAGACGGATGACTGACCCATCGCCGATGAATCGAAGCTCGCCTTCGGGATCGTAGTCGGGCTCGTGGCGGTTGGGGTAGAAGAACCAGTCATTGTTGGCATCCTTGTGATGGTAGCAAGTAACTTGCTGCTGGCCAGAGCCCTCGGGATAGGTCTGAACGTGAGAGTGAAGAAGGCCACCGCCATAGCCCATGTTCTTGATGGTGGCGCGAGATCCCAGGGCAATTTCCAGGGGGCTGTTCTTGCCAACCTCGGTTCCCTTGAGGTTGGCCTGGAAGAGGGAGCTCATCTGGGCATCGCCGGGGCCGGAGTGGTCGAGAATGGCAAAGTGCAGGGCGAAGGAGAGCATGTAGATGAGGAAGGGGACGATGATGAGTCCCACAACACGCGCAGAGAAGTGGGCGGCAAGGACGGGCTGGTCAAAGTGTAAGCGAATGGCAGCACGGACATGTTTCAGGAAAGAAAAAAAGCACTCACAATAGGCATCTTCCGGTCACCATACTTTCTCCAGAGATCCTCAATCGTGTACAGGCCTACCAGAGCAGTGACGAAGAGACCAACAAGCTTGACGCTGCAGACGCATCCGATGCTGAGGCCCGTCATGAAGAGCCAGAAGAACCACTCTGGCTCGAAGCTGTTGTGTCGCTGGTTGTGGAACTTGGCCCAGCAGAGAGTGGTAGCGAAGGTTCCGCAGAGCAGCATGGAGTCGAGGAGAATGAAGCGGCTGATGGTGGTGTAGGAGTTTTCGCAGAGAACCATCAGAGTAACAAACCAGACAGCAGGTCGGGTCAGCTTCAGCTCCTTGGCCGTGAAGTAAGCCATGGGGATACAGGCAATGCCGAAGGCGGCGTTAAAGGCGCGCATAAAGGTATAGTTGACGTCTTCGGGATACTGTTCGCCAGACTTGAACTCGAAGGAACCGTTGTAGCCGGCGAGGACACCGGAGAGGCCGACCAGCATCTTTCCGAGGGGAGGGTGGACGTCGAAGTAGTATTCATGCTTGATGTAGTAGCTTCCAAACTTGCCAAAGCTGCAGAAAGGCCGCAATCAGCAAACTCGTTCGACTTCTCGCATCTCTCCAGCGCAAACAAGGGTAGATGGACATACTGAGCCTCGTCCCAAGTGACGATGTTGCTGAGACCAATCTTATACAATCGAGTGAAGATGGCAACGGCCGTGAAGATCAGCGGGGCAAGGACGGATTCCCAGTCTGCAAGCACTTGAACAAAGGTCTTGTCCTGCAGGCGCTGCTGTTAGCCGGCTCTTGCGCGCGCAATTGAGGGCCGTTGCTCTCGCTGCTGGATATACTCATACCTTCTTTGCCAGCTTCTTGGTGTCTTCCGTCTGGGCCGGGATGAACGAGGGCACGGCTTGCGAAGCTGCCTGTCGCTTCCTCAAGCCGTCCCCCAGATCAGCGCCGGAGGCGAGGGCGGCCTTGTCGGCAGCCATGGTCTCAGAGACAGCCTTCTGATTCCTCCCCCAGATCTGCGAATGGAAACGAGGAGAGAAAGACTCAATTGAGGTGGTCGCGAGATTTTTCGAAGCACGACACGTCGAAGGAAGAAAAGGGGAGTGGCAACCAGCTGTGGCTCCGGCTGAAGCAGGCTGCGGGACAAATTTGTAAAGACCGGACGAGCTGGAGAGACTCAAAAGGCGAAGACGAACATCAGCGACGACGAGAAGAAAAAGGGAGAACCAGTCCTGAAGGCCAAGCCCGGCTCAGGAGAAGGGACACGAAATGGAAATGGCAAAGGAGGTGTTTGCGTGGGAGGATAAATGCTGCTTGCGTCGGATATTCAAGAATACGCCAGCTTCCTAAAACCCCCCCTGGTTCAGCTCCGAGAATATTAGGCCACCTTGCAATCCGTCGACAATACTAAGCCAAGGCTCAGCCGCGTGGCTAGTGGCTGCTTCTAGCGCCAACCTGTCCAGGGCCGCGATACGTACCTGGACCGTGCAGGTGCACCAGCCACAGCAGCGTCGAGAGCAGCTTGCCCAGCCACAGCGAGCACCCTTTCAGCGCTCCAGAGCCCTGTCGGGGCGCTAAAACACGCTAGAAGCGGCGCTGGAGCTGGGACTGGAGGTGCTGTTGCTCATTGAGACCCGACTGGGATGAGACGATGGCCCAGATTTGCTGGAGCAATCACATGCAAGCGTCCAAGACAAGGCAAGACAGTTCAACCTTAAAGCCAGTCAGCGCTGATGCGCAGTGGCGCGCTTTTGCTGCGATACAGGACGACTAATCCCTGACTTATGTCATCCTTGCCGAAGAGTCGCTGGTCAGTTGTCAAGCTGTCCAGTCTCTTGAATTCCTCATCAGTCCCTACTTGATTCTTTTCCTGTCATCCAAGCTGATGGAAACACTCAAGAGCTGAATATCTCTTGCTCTCACTGAAGCTTTTTTTTTTTGCCTGGGGAAACCCCCCCTCCCTTCTCGAGCCTCTTTCCTTCGACTTCTTGTCATAAATCAGCTCCCGAACATCACCGCCTTTCGGCATCTGCCACCTCCTACTCCGTATGAGCTGGGTCGCCTCATCAAATTTAAACACATCCCCAGTCTTCAGCTGCGCCTCAGCGGCAGGCGCTGCGGTTGCGCCCGTCAACAGCAATCCAAATGCCGTCCCTTGTCTCCGAGTTCATCATCAACCCTGTGCTGCGACAGGCCCGCCGCTTTTCCGAGATCTCCCGTGCGACGCTGGGTGGCGAGGACGAGGCGCCCGTCGCGCCATCGGACGCTGCCCAAGACATTGACGATGCCAATAGAGATGGGCAGCAGGGCCCTGATGCGACGCTCGAACGACGCCCGCCGCGGCCCCTGAGCTCCTCGACGCAGGAGACAATTCTCGAAGAGGCACCGGCAGTTGTGGAAGAAGTCTCGGCCGGTCCAGTCGCTGACCCCGGACCTCTGCTCGACCACCTCGGCTTTCCGATAACACCGCCCAGGACTGCGTCGACCAAGGATGGGCCCATCCCCGAGGACGATGGCATGCGGAAGCTGCGCACGCGCATTCAGGAGATCAACGCCCGGGAGATATCAGCCGGCGAAAAGGCAAGGCTCATGCACGACACCCTACTGGAAGGCTATCGCGCCTCCGTGTTCACGGGCTCTCCTCTTGCGAAGAGCGATTCCGATGACGGATCCATCGGCCCGGGTCAGGCATGGGAGATTGCCACCCCGGCCGGAGCCCTGGAGTCGCTCAAGTACTGGCAGAACCAGTTGATTGGGGAGCCCTCGGTCAAGGAGGTGTTTGTCCTCAGCGAGAGCGACAAGGCCCCGACCTACGCCCCTGTCCGACATTCGAGAACACCAAGCGCAGCAACGCCAACGCACTCGGCGGCCTCGCTTCATGAAACCCGGGGTCCGCTGGGATGTGAGCACTACGAGCGGAACGTCAAGCTGCAGTGTTCCACCTGCAAGAAGTGGTATACTTGTCGATTCTGCCATGATGCACATGAGGACCACACGCTCATCCGTAAGGACACCAAGAATATGCTCTGTATGATTTGTGCTACACCCCAGAAGGCGTCTGAAGTTTGCAACAACTGCGGCGAAGTAGCGGCGCAGTACTACTGCAATATCTGTAAGCTTTGGGAGAACCGCACCCACAAGCCCATCTATCACTGCAATGACTGCGGGATATGTCGCCGGGGCATGGGGCTTGGCAAGGATTTCTTCCATTGCAAGGTATGTCGATTAGCATTCCGGCCCCCCTCCCTATACCCCTTAAACAGCGTGGCTGAGCTTGATCATAGACATGTCGGACATGCATCACGACGTCCATCGAGAGCTCGCACAAGTGTATCGAGCGATCAACAGACTGTGACTGCCCTATCTGCGGTGAATACATGTTCACATCGCCCAAACGAGTCGTCTTTATGAACTGCGGCCACAGCATTCATAAGAAGTGCTACGATCAGCATCTGAGGACCTCGTACAAATGCCCAATATGCAATAAGAGCCTCGTGAACATGGAGCCGCAGTTTCGCAACCTGGATCTGGCCATCCTCAGCCAGCCGATGCCCCCAGACTTTCGTGATACGAAAGCCAAGATCCTGTGCAACGATTGCTCGGCGAGAAGCACGGTGGCATACCACTGGCTCGGACTCAAGTGCTCGATATGTCGATCCTATAATACTGTAGAGTTGCAAATCCTGGGGCGGAATGTTGAGGCCCTGCAGCCTGCCGCGGGCGAGCAGCCTCAGCTCGCACGCGAGGCCGGCTCGGAAGACGCGGGGCCTGGAAGTCGACGGATTTCCATTACGACGGGCTCGCGGGGCCCCAACAGGAGGAGGCACTCCTCCAACGCACCAGAGGCACCATCTCGGTTCCTCGAGAGATACGCGCGGTCCATGTCGCCTTCTCACATGATGATGGATATACCGCAGGCCGCCGTTCAGGAAGTGGACGAAGAGTCTGATGAAGACATTCTTGGATTTTGGAGAAGTGGTGAGGATGACGACGAGGACGACGACGAATACGATTCGGACGAGTCTAGCGAGGATGACCATCCAGAGGCGGACGATGAGGACGATGACGAAGACGAAGATGATTTCAACTTGATTGGACATAGGTAACGGGCCGGTCCGAGAGCAGAAACCGGAAGCCCTGGTCACGGGGGAGTGTGATGATGAGGCATGACGAAGTATGAAACGTTGCATCACTGGGTATCTCGGAAGGAGTTTGGTGTCTGCTTTCTTGTTCCTCTTTTCTTTTTGCTTTCTATTTCCCGTCCTTTTTCTCTTCTATTTCCTTGTATGATTCCTTTCCTTCGTTCGGTTCTGGATACCATGTATTTTATCTTGATGGAGTAATGTTCGAAGTTAAGTACGACAGCATGGCGCTCAAATTTGGCATTGCATGAGACGGAAAAAAAGGGGGGACAATCAACTGAAGAAGAGGGGGGGAAAAAATCCAGAAATCGTCACTTTTGCATACATCGAAAAGCATCGTTAGGATATGCTTCGCCAAAACAACATTAGGAAATGTATGATATAGTTAGTCCTTGAATTGTTAACATATAGCAGTCATAGCAGTAGTCTTTGTCCACGCTCCCAAGCGCCATGAATACAACTGAAAATCCCAGCTCAAAATCAATCAAAGACCAATCGACATTCCAAGAAAAAAAAAAGATGACAGGAAAAGCAGCATTAGGAGAATTCCATTGCGGTAACAGCCATTAAAGGGGGTGCAGTTCACCGACTATTCGCCGCCGCAGCCTCCTGCTGCTCCCGCCTCGTCTCGTCGGCAATCTCACGCAGCTCCTTGATGACTTGCTAGAAAGGAACACAGCACAAGTCAATACTCAAGCAAACAAACGATGCCACGAGCAGAGTGAAACCATGGAGGAAGAAACGTGACGTACGACGAGAGATTCCGGATGGACGCCCTGCTCGATTAATGAGATGCAAGTGGAAAGCATGCGGCGATCCATATGGCAGTTCTACAATGTAACAAAAACATGTTAGCGATTTCCCACGCAAGATGAGATGAGATGAGATGCGGGGGTGATGAAAGTACCAGCATGGCAGAAATTTCCTCGAGAATGTCGACGGCTTGAGATGCCGCGGCGTGTTTATCGGGCTTGGGCATGGCTGATATGGTGTTGATGTGTGTTGTAGCTGCAGGGCTTTGGTGGTTTGACGGAGGGATGTCAAGAGTCGAGGTCGGGCGTGTTGTTCGAGGGTTGGTGGGGCTTGGACGCGGCACAAGGGACTTTAGTTGTGCAAGGTTGTGGCTGGTGAGGAATCGGAGGGCGTCAAGGCGTCGCGACATGAGCGAGATGCGCAGCATTTCCCTTCGTTTTCCTCTATCTAGAATTCAGAAGGAATTGCCGCATTGGATTTGGGTAGACTGTGGAAATTGTGTTTATCGCTTTGTGAAGGGGGCTAAGCCGTAGTGACTTGGTTGGACACAGAACAGGACAGTTCAAGATTCATAGCCAAAGATATACATGCTATATTGGGTACATCATCATGCGGGTATCTAGCATACATGGTATCAAAGATTGAAAAAAACAAAACGTGCTCCTGTTTCTGCTCCTCAAGACTTGATGGCCTCGACAAACAGCTCCCTCATCCCCTTCAGCAACACCACCAGCTCCCTCGTCTCATTCACCTTCTCCAACACCCTCTCAACGCTCGCCCGCTCCAGTTTCGGCCGACAATGCTTCACATCATAGTTTCTCGAGCTCGTCACCAGCTCGAACCACGCCTCGCGCTCCCAGTTCTTCTCGTCAATATGCGTGTACACAAACTTGAGCCGGTCGTCCTTGCCCGCGCCCTCGATCCGCAGACACAGGTTCGTGATCCAAAAGTCCAGCTCGGGCACGTTGTACCGCGACTGCGCCTCCTTCTGCTTCATGTACGCGCGCTGCGCCGCCAGCCGGGCGTCGATCTCGGCCTGCGTCTCGGCGATCTGCGCCTTGAGGTGGTCGCGGGCGGCGATGTGGCTGTCGCGCTGGGCGGCGAGGGAGGCGATTGCGCTCTCCATCTCGCGCTTCTCGGCTTCTTCCTTTTCAATGGTCTGCTGGTACGTCGACATCTTGACTTGGGCGATTTCAATGTCTCTGCGCTTCATTCGTTCGTCCTCTGCAGAATAAAACAAAAGGGTGACGGGTTAGAAAGTCATCCTGGTAAATATATAGCATATGATTCCCCCTCTCTCCAGGAAAGCGCATACCTTGAAGCTCAGCCATGTTGACGCGGAACTGGTTGCGCTCTTCCAACACGCGCTTGCGGCCCTGCTCAATAAAGGCATCAAACTTGGCCGTGAACTTTGCCATGCGCTCGCGCAAATCGTCGAAGCCAAAGTCGATGCTGGGCAGCGTGTCGGCGGCGGAGGGCCCGGCGGGGGCCAATGTTTGACGGCTGTGGCCGATGGACATTGACGGATCGAACGCGGTCGACATTTCGTTTGCCGTATCTTCGTGTCTTCTGTCTCATAGAAGCTGGTTACAGCAATCGGGCGTATCGCGAATATTATGTTGAAGCAACTGAACGTCCTCGAGAGGCGGTTTGTAGGTGCGCAAGTGTTTACCCAAAAAAGCAGGTTGCTGGGTCGACACCCAAAGTGTGGCGCAGAAGTTACCTTGCATGTAGGTACCTTGAAGTGCAAAAGTCGTGTCACGTGGCTTGACTTTTACCAAAGAACTCTATCACGGTTCAAGCCGAATCATATCGCGATACATATTTTTTGATTTGTGATATGAGATGATCTTTACTTGCTGAAACCGCAAAGAAGGTTTTTTTGTGGCTTTGGAAAACAGCAATTTTGATTATGCACCTCTGAGCCACACCGTCTCCCCCATGTGACCGTGAATAGGCTTGCTTCTTCTCAGGTGAACTCGAGATGAAGAACCCTCGTCTTTTCAACAGTTCTCATACGATCATTGGCCTCAAATGGCAGACTGGTGGCCACACCCGCTCATGGGCCTGGGAACTCCAGGAGTGTTAAACTATACACCTAGCGAGCGTTCCGGAGAGGGACTTGGGCTATTGGAGACATCCAGGTTCACTTCACGATGTAAGTAAGAGCTGGGAAGGGGAAGATGTTCAAACAGCCGTAGAGTCAAGACCAGAGACTAATCCCCCCCTTTCAGGCCCTCATTTCAGGATTATCGGCGCTTCAGTTGAGACTTACTCAGCTTCGAAAAGTCAGCTTCCCGAAACTTCCACCAGGCTCTGGGAAGAGCGCCAGACCCAGCAGCGATGGCTATTCAAATCTCATCCAGATATTGCGTTTGGCAATACGGCATATCAGGATGTCCTGAAAGAAGACATGGCGGCACTCAACCTCTCAGACGAAACCCCGAACACGAGACCTCTCTTAGCTATCGGACATGTCCCGGATCCAAGTGATAAATCAGGCATCCGAAAGCTCCCTATTGCGGCTGTTGCCTGTGGAGAGGCGGGCGAGCTATTGCGACTTGCTCGCATGGATGATGTGCAGTTGCAGTGGGGAGACGATGCGGATGCCTTTCTGAACATTGAGACCATCGACCCAACTCAGAGAGACGCAGAAGCGATCTGGACCAATGACGGGTTGCCCATTCGGCAGATCAAATTTCTCGGGAACCGTCTACAAGACGACACACTCAGGTGGCTGTTGCTCCAGAAAGAAACAGCGACAACAATCCTCAGACCAGAAATCCGCCAGGTCCCTACTACGTCAAGTCAGCCCGGGAGCAGTTTGATTCGGGAGCGACCGTCGCTAATAAGCCCAAATCCCTTGCTCACCATCTCGCATGACAAAACAGGGGGCAGTCCTCACTCGGACGTCGCTCTTCTTACCACGACACATGGGCGATCTCATCAACTTGCCATCATAGATGAGGGCGGTTATTGGAGCATATGGGATCTCACAGGAGCTTGGCAGGTCCAGCGGAAGGGCGCTCCTCAATTCTCACTCAGCAAATGCGGACATATTTCTGATGGTCTATTGGACGAGCTACCGTCGAGGCCTTCTTTTCCGAGGGAAAGGCACGGTCTTCTCCTCCTAGAAGGCGTGTGGCATGGGAAGTTGGAGAGCTCGCCGTCCGCTTCCGCCCGCAAGGCAACAGATCCTACTGCGCGATATCTACTGATGTGGAACCACGAGAGGATGGAGGTGCTCAATCTGGATACAAACATATTCCTTCCGAGGCTGGGGCGCATTATGCGGCAGAGGGGAAAGTTGGATTGGATTTTGGATATTCATCGCAGCCCAGTCAGACAAAACCACGTTTTCATCCTCACGCAATATCATATCACCTGGGTCGATGTGTTCAACCGCGACGAATCAGGTCCAGGACCTTTGAAGCCGTCCATATTGCTCTCATGCCCACACTTGGGTACGAAAAAGGACGATTCGAGAATGTTCGTTTGTCGAGCGTCAGACGATGACCCAGACACATCACTGGTCTTTATCTACTACCCGCGAATGGGTCAGCTCTGCATATTCTGGTTCACATATTCGCCCGTGAGCAGAATGCCGCAATGGCATCGCGACATCGTTTCACTTCCGGGAAGCGAGGACAGGGAATTTCCGACAAAGAATGTAATTGAGTATCTAAGAGTTGACCCTGTGCGGCTAGCCGTCTCGGTCAAGGAGAAGGTGTCGAGCCCTGGCATAGACTACCACCGAAGAGGTGCTCGGTTCTATCACCTCACCTTTTTGGGCAAAGATTTTAGCTTGCAGCGCTGTCTATGCGCCACCACGGACGATCCGACACTGGATATCCAAGAGCCGACATCCGCTGTTGCGTGGGCTGAAGCTAAGCAACAGAAGCAGAGAGAGAAGAGGAGAAGGGCGATTATGAATCAAGTTTCTAGCTCGTTCATTCTCCCAGACGAGATGACGATGGACGACATGGAGGCGTTGTTAAACGGCGAAGAAGTGGAGGATGAAGAAGACTTTGACGGGAATATTCCGAGCTCGGCTCTTGCACAGCCGACTCGCATCAAGCTGGATCAAATTTATCAGACTCTCCAGGGCTCACTTGAAGCATCAATAAGCCAAGGAGAAAGCGGCCTTCCTTCTCAGTTGTTTGAGGCTCTTCGACAGTGTCTCAGCGACGGATTCGACGAAGGGAGGCTGCCGCTGCACACGTGGTAAGTAGCTCATCTGTTGCTGGTGCTCTCAATCAAGCAGGCACTAACTGGAATATCTCTAATAGGGGCGAAGTCGCTGAGATGATGTTGCGAGACCCAACGTTCGAACCCCCTGATGAGCCCCTGAAAGACGAAATGGAGAGGTTGCTCGATGAGAACAATGAGAAAACCATCGTCACACCACTTCATCAATACAATCGCGACGAAATGCTCCCCTCTCTAGTCAGCCTACAGTATTTCCAGCGAAACTTTGCCGAACTATGGATTGACCCAGTCAAGGGCATCCTCAGTGAGGACATGCACCAAGTCCGACGAATATGGGTCACGGAACTGGCTCGGGACGTCTTCCTGGCCAGTTATGGCATCATGTACCAGGATATATCATTACTCGGACCAGCCAGCTCTGAGTTGCCAGAGGAGGACAGGCAGAGATCGCGGACAGGGCCTCAATTTGGCAGCTCCCAAATCGCCACATCATCAAGATCAAGTTCCCGAGACTGGGCGTCTTCACCAGCACAATCTCCCACTGCTTCAACAACAACTTTCACGGGACCCGACGAGGCAGTCCAGCGACTCCGACTATTGGCCAAGTCTATCGATACCGACAAGCCGAATGCGTCCAGGAGATCGAATGTTCTCGCTTACTGGCCCACGGAACGGGGCGTCGATCTGAACGAATACGTGTCAAGCGTGGCCAGAGCAAACGAAGAGCTCTTCAGAGACGCCAAAGAAAGGCTACAAAGGATCGAGGCCAAGCGAAAGGCCCGCTCCGAAAAGTTTAGACGGCCCGCATTCATGAGACAAGGGCTTCCAGATATTAATCCTACGAGTTCCATGGCGCCGACACGACCTGTGCCCATGCAGATCATGTCAAGCCAGGGAGGTCCGGAGGCGACTCAGACGCAGGTGCCCGTCATGACGACGATGAGCCAGCCTGTTTCTGGGCTGTTTGGCGACAGGAAGAAGGTGAAGAAGAAGCAGAAGAGAAAGCTCGGGTTTAGATGAGTTTGCTGCAGTGTCCTGGAAAGGGGGCTTGAAGGGTCTCATATCATGTTGAGGGTTGTTGGATCAGGATTCGGTGACTTTTTTGATACTTGATACCCACCATTCGTTAGAGATTAGATGGAGTCTTATAGCTATTACAAATTATATCCAACCATTTAATGGCAGGTCTACGGCATCTCATGTCACTTGCGGGCTGGCTCATCAGGGTTGTGGTCTTCTCTTGGTCAGCGTCGGAGTCGAGCCGATTCGACGGCTATCTGCGGGGCCTCTTGTTGTGCAGCATCAATACCAAACAAAAAAGCATCTACATCATCCAGACCAACAACTCACTCCATCGTCCTCTTTATCAACCCAAAGAAATCGTAATCAATTCCATCCACATCTTCTCAAAACTCACCAAACTCACACACAACTCTCTCTCTCTCGTCGTGATACAATGTCTCATCACTGCCACGACGAATACGACCACCACGGCCACAGCCACCACGACGGCGAGCACGACCACTCAGACGACATCACGCCGGCGCTGCAGTCGTCGCTGTACGAGCAAATCAACTTTGACGAGATCACAACGCTCAACGAGGCGCGCAGGGACGCGGGCAAGGCGATTGTCAAGAAGACGTGGGCGGAGAGGCTGAGTCCGCAGCCGGAGCTGGAGAGCGATGCCGATGAGCAGCTTCTCATGACGGTGCCGTAAGTTTATCATTGCATTGCACTCTCATCACCATCATGTCACCTTGTATCTATATATATATATATATATATATATATACGCTCTGTCCACAGAGAATGACAATCACTTGGCATATTGAGATGAAAAGACAAGACGCTGACACTCCATCCAACAGGTTCTCAGCACAAGTCAAGCTACACTCCATCCTCATCCGCACATCACCCTCCCCCTCGGCCCCCAAGACGCTGCACCTCTTCGTCAACCGCGACAACATGGACTTTTCCGCCGCCGAGGAGGAAACGCCCGTGCAGGTCATTGAGCTCTCGCAGACGTCCGAGGTTCAGGAGATTCCCGTCAAGCGCGCCCTCTTTGGCAGCGTGCAGCGCCTCGTGCTCTTTTTCGTGGACAACTTTGGGGACGGGGACGAAGATGTGTCGAGGATTAGCTATTTGGGGTTCAAGGGCGAGTGGACGAGGCTGGGAAAGGCGCCGACGAATATCATCTATGAGGCGGCTGCGCAGCCGGGGGATCACAAGGTCAAGGGGACGAGCGTGAATGAGATGGGGAGCGGCATTGGGGGGAGGGGGCCGGGGATGTGATGTGTGATGCCACCTTTTTGTTGGCTAAGGGCCATGAGATGAATATGGTGATTCTCATATTTAGACAGATACGTGACAAGAGGCCTGCAATCGATACCATCACCATACAGTGCAAGACACAAGATGCCCTTCTTCATGAGAGACGAATCTAAGCAATGAAAAGGTACGTACCCCGCAAGGCTGAAGACTTCACACACCCCGCCCGCAGAATACCCGGGCCGCCAATTCCCAGAGCTAAACTCCAAAATTTCCATATCATCCAACCAAGTCAGGCTGCCCTTTTCGAACCGAAAGCAAATCTGCCCCGAGGGCACTCTCGCAACAACACAAACCCGCCCGAGACCCCGAGACGCCGATGCCACCTTCATAAAGAGTCAGCCCACACAAACACACACACACACGCAGACACACACAGAAACCACCGCTTCCTCAATGCCTCCCAGGATACCCATCCGGGTGGCGCTGCCACGCCTCGCCGCGGTCAACCGCCCGGCCCTCCTCCTCCCACACATCCCCCAGCGAGGCATCAAGTACGGCTGGTCGACGGCGCCGCCGCGGTCCAAGCACAAGCGCTTCAACCAGCCAAACTCGGGGCTGCCCGCGCTGACGACGGGCCCGGCGGCGGCGCTCAAGCGGCGCGAGAACACGACGCCGCTGCGGACGGGCGTGCTGGCCATCAAGAAGGGCATGACGAGCATCTTCCAGGGCAAGACGCGGGTGGCGTGCACGGTGCTGCAGCTGGACCAGGTGCAGGTGGTCGCCAACAAGACGCGCGAGAAGCACGGCTACTGGGCGGTGCAGGTCGGGCTGGGCGCCAGGCAGGGCCGCAACGTGACGAGCCCGATGCTGGGCTACTACGAGGCCAAGGGCATCGCGCCCAAGGCCGAGCTGGCCGAGTTCAAGGTGCGCGGCGAGGAAGGGCTGTTGCCCGTCGGCGCGCAGCTGCTGCCGGACTGGTTCCAGCTGGGCCAGCACGTCGACGTGCGCGCGCGGTCGAGGGGCATGGGCTTCGCCGGAGGCATGAAGCGCCACGGCTTCGCGGGCCAGGAGGCGTCGCACGGAAACTCCAAGAACCACCGGACGATTGGCTCGACGGGCCCCTCGCAGGGCAGCGGAAGCCGTGTGCTGCCCGGCAAGAAGATGCCCGGGCGCATGGGCAACGAGTTCCGGACGGTGCAGAACCTCAAGGTGCTCAAGGTGGACAACGAGCTGGGCGTCGTGCTCGTCAGCGGGCCGATCCCGGGCCCCAAGGGCCGCATTGTGCGGCTGCAGGACGCCAAGAAGAGGAAGGCTCCTGCGCTGCAGCACAGGGACAAGGCGCGCGAGGAGTTGAGTCAGAGACAGCCTGATTTGCAGCAGAGGTTGGAGCAGGCGAGGTTGAGGCATCTGGATATGCAGGCCCAGCGGAGGGCGCACATGGCGGAGTTGTAAATTAGCATACATGCTGGTGTGTGTCATGAATGTTCATGGCGAGGATCTGTAATGAGTAACGCAGGAGGCAAAGGGGAACACACAAAAGGGTCAGAAGAGAAAAAAAAAAGCGGACTTTTTCATGTATTTATATCAGTACACTATACACATCATGGCAAGGAACTCGGTCCAAAGACTGCCATGAAACAACGGAATCAACCCAGACTCTTACTTGTACAAGACGCGAGAATCCTTCTCCCCTTCTCGTCATCAACACCATTGTTCTCCTGCTCCCAATGCGACACCGCGGCTCCAGCTCAAGCATCACCTGTTCAGCGCACCCTGCTGCCTGAACCCCTTCGTCTGCCCATCCCCAGCCATGTCCCCCAACACAAGCACATCATCATCCTCCGCCTCATCCCCTCCGAGCAAACCCCTAAACGGATCCCCGCCATCCAGCAGATCCACCACCGTCCCGTCATCCATCGTCAAGCTCCAGACCGTCGTTTCGAAAAAGGCCTTGGGCGACGGCCGATGGCTCGCGAACCGCATCACGCCCGAGGCCTTTTTCCCGCGCACGGCGAAGCTCACGTCGATGCGGCCCTTGACCTGGTTCATCTCGCCCGAGATCCAGGGGATCTGGTGCTTGAAGTAGATCTCGCCGCCGAGCAGCCGGTTGGCCTCGGGGTTGGTGCGCAGCGCGTAGAGCGTCGACGATATGATGGGCGACGAGGACTTTTGGTAGTTGAAGATTGTGACGGAGCAGGCGGCGACGACGATGAGGAAGATGGGCAGGGTGCGGCGCCAGCCGTGGGAGACTTGGCCGACGTCTGTTGTTGTTTTCATCCTTGTCTCAGCTTGAGTGCCACACGATTGAGGGAAAAGTTATATCGGATAGAGAGGGAGGGAGGAGGGGGGATCGATCGTACCGGGAAGCTCGCGATCAGCTCGCCTCGACATGAGCGGCCCATCGCCTGGTTTCGGCGCCGGCGTCATCCAGCGCCTCTGCATTGCTCTGATGCTCGAATTCGGGTTCGTAGGTTGGCTGTTTCTGCAGCTGGCCTGCCGAGAGGCCGCAGCCACCAGTCTCCGTCTCGCAATTCCGGATATCATGGCTGTTGAGATATGTGTCTGATCTTGCTCGGGTCAGGTTTGTCTTGCACTTGGCGGCATCCCGATCACAAGGGTCAGACCATGTTTAGCACGAGGCTGAAGACATTTTAAGTGGGGAGGGGCCAATGGTGGGGGAAACGTGTGTGTGGGCGCAAGGGTACGTACCTTATCGTGTGCTTGCTTGTGGCGTCATAAGGCTGAGGGAGCTGCAGCTGGTTGCCATCAAGGTAATGCTGTCACTTCTAAACTTCTTAACAGCAACATCGTCACATCTTGAACAAGTCCTCAACTCTCCTTTTGAAAACAAGGCATCGCAACTCACTTCTTGTTTTGCTTCAGTGGAGATCACTTCAAGAAACAATTTCCCATCTCTCTCCAACAAAGCAAACAGCCAAAATGCCCTCCCCCCTCTCCCTCTCCGACCAAACAACCCGTCTCCGGCGAACATTCCACTACCCGCACGACTCCGACTCCGACTCCCCCGAGGCCATGGACGAGCAAGGTAAATCTGTTTCCCCGCCTACCCACTCTATACTATCCATCATCCCGCAAAACCCCTCGTGCTATCAACACAGTAGGTAGCTGACAAGGGCCAAAACATTCAACAGAACAAGACAACCTCATCCAAACCCTCACAACCCAAAACGCCTCCCAAAACAAATCCACAGCACGCACCCTCCTCCTCCTCCCCCTTCTCTCAACAATAGCCTACATCCGCCCGCTCTTCGACCCCGCGACCGCTTCCTTTGCGATATTCTGTCTCACGTCCCTCCTCGCTACCGCGTTCCTCTTGTACCGCCTTCCGCCGACCGAGACGGGTATAATCATCGTCGATGACTGGGCGCACAGACGAACTGCTTCTTCTTCTTCTTCTTCGTCGTCGTCTGTCAATGCTTCTCTACGACAGCATAATCAGTCGCTGAGGGGCCTTTTGGGAAGGGCGCAGGTGGAATGGCGGTCTCCCTTGGAGAGGACGCTGCCGTATCTGAATCTCGGTTTGGTTGTGCTCTTGAGTCTCATGGGGCTGGTAAGGGGCGACCATCGAGCAGGTGGCTTTGGGTGGGTGAGCATGGGCAACGTACCAGGCCTGGTTTACTCTGTCGCCATCACGGCAAAAGTCGTCATGGCGGGCGTTGACCCCGAAAGGGAGCTGTCGGGCCTCAAGTACGGCTACAAAGGCGCTTGAGGAAAAGACGACTCGTTATATTACTTCTCATTGACATAAATCACGTATTATGCAATACCGCAAGAGACAAGAGACAAGATTGGTCCTTCAGGCTACCAATTTGCTACACTGGAGAAAAAAGGCAGTACAATGCTTTGATTTCACTCTTCTGCAATATTCCGCACACAGTTTCCCTTCAAAGCCAACATCCAGTCATCTGTTTTGACGGTTCGTTTAGCCACGCCCAAATGTCCACGCCGCATCCCATATGTGAAAACAGAAAGAAAACACGATTACCCCACATCAGTCTACATATCTATAGAATCATTAAAGCGTAAAATACCATGACTTCTCAGAATTCCGTCGACGCCCTTGGGCGGCCGGGGGAAGGGATCCACGAGAGGGCTTGCTTCAGGGGTATCAGAAGACTTGTCCATCACGAGGGCAAGCCCGTGCGACTTGACAGCATCCACCAGCGCCGGCACCATTTCCTGGTCGAGAGCGTTAGATAAGAGGAAGGGGATGGGATGAATGATGGCGAAAACACTTACCAGCAACTTTGCGTAGCAGATCAGACCCATCAGGTTATTCGTCTGCGCAATCCGTACCGCCTCCTTAATCGACGTCGTCCGCCGTCCGTTGACCTGCGCCGTGTTCTCTTCACGACCCAAGTCATTGCACAAGAAGACGGGGAAGTTGGGCTGCTTCCAGTTGAGAGCGGTGCACAGTCGCGCGTTGTAGCTGCTAAACACCATGGAGCGCACAACATGCGACGAGTGCGACTGGGCCCTCTGGGCTCGGGCGTGGTCAAAGACAATCGTCAGGATCGAGTCGACGTAGTCGTTGACGTCGAGGGCCGGGCCCAAGGCCAGCGTCCTTTCCTCTTCTGCGTTCGGATATACAATTTGCAGGTTGACGTGGATACCAGGAGGAAGAATGGCCAGCGCCTCCTTTAGAGTAATACCAGCTGTCGCCAGGATCTGGTAAATCTCAGCAATGTCATCCGACGTCTTGGACATCAGGCCTGCGAGTTGGGCGCGGCCGGTGCCCCGAGACGTGATGGCGTCGAACTGTGCAAACGATAGCCTGCAGACGGGAATGTCGAGCCCGCCACACGAAATCGTCCACTGCGGCCAGATGATGGGCACTCCGTCACTCGTGTACTGGACAAACACCCGGACGTAGTCACCAGACAAACTTGACCCGGTGATGATGGCAGTTGTGGGCTGGTTGAACTGGCTCGTTGCCTTCCAGTAAGTCTCAAAGTCCGTAATCTCGAGCGGCTGTCCCCTGAAGGGCTTGATGACCTGCGTGTTGAAGCTGATCTGGCCGATAGCTCGTAACCGCGGGTCAAACAGCGGCAGGCAAGACCTCGAGCCGCCAGACTGGTTCAGGAACACCGATGGCAGCACCACCGTCTTTGCAATCGTCTTGGCGCCGTACGCTGGGAACACGTCAAAGTCGAGTGAAAACGTCTCCAGGTTGTCGACTTGGAAGGAAACGGTGCGGGTATCTTCCTGGAAAGGCAGAATGATGTTCTTGGGAATGAGATCAGAGACCTTGGAGGAAATGGTCAACCGAGCAGCCGGATACTTTCCATCCTGGAAGAAGACGAGCGGCTGTTCGCCCGACTCCTGGAAGTTAATCTGCACCACCGTCTTTGTATCGAGGAAGTTGTGGCCATATCGTCGAAGAGGAATGATGGGCGGGGGCAGCTCCAAGATCGGAATAGCATCCGGATCCAACGACATGGGCAGGGGGGCATTACTGCTGCCCATGACATCAATCGTGGGCTGGCCACCCAAGGGACTTGCTCGGGGGCGCTTGTTGTACGGGGTGAGCAGCTGCATGCATTCCAGATGGCCTTCCCAGGCGGCGTAGTACATGGCAGGGAGGTCCTTTTCGTCCCGGATAGTCGCGTCGACGCCAAGCTTGAGCAGCGCTTGAAGACATTCAACGTTGCCTTCGCTGGCGGCATGCAGCAAGGGTGTCCATCCGTACAGCTTGTCGATTTGGTCAAGGTCGGCTCCGTACTGCTTCAGGAGCAACAGCAGATCCGACGTCCGGCCACATCGCGCCACCAGGTGCTGGGGGTACAATCCTTCAGCATCGGGGAGGATCTTGGCGCCGTGCTTCAGCAAAATCTCGACGATCGCGACGGAGCCGTGCTCGCAGGCGAGGTTCAGGGGCACATGGTCAGCCTCTGATACCGGATCGATACGGGCTGATCTGGCAAGAAGACGCTCGACACATTCGACATGCCCATGTATGATGGCGTGTATCAGGGGGGTAAAGTTGTCGTGATCAATAAGATCAATGGTGCTTGGGTTGGCTATTCGCGGTGGAGAAGAAGAGAGAGACACAAATGTTAGCACCGTAGCCTAGCAGGTGAACAGCCCTAGAATGTCAACTTACCATTCAACAATGTTTCCAGCATATCCAGACGCCCGTGCAGACTAGCATAGTGCAGTGGCACACGGCCGTAGACATCGGTGCGATCCACGGCCACCTTGGCCTCAAGAGCCCATTCCAAGACATGCTGTCGGCCATAGATGGCGGCCTGGTGCAGGCAGTTCCGCTCGTTGATGTCGTCGTAGGAATGCAAGTCCACCATTCCCGTGTCCAGGAGGGCCTGCAGCGCACTCTTGGGTGCTTCATTGATCGCGGCCAGGAAGGTCCGTGTCAGCCGTTCCATCAGAGAACTGTCGCCGTCGCCAGCCTGGGCCGCCGACTGCATCTTGGCGAGAAGGTCCTTTATCGATTCGAGGTTCCCGGCAATGACAGTATCCAGGAGTAGCGTATCGGCATCTCCTTCATCAGTTCCCACGAAATGCTGGCTTGTGACTACATGCCCAGCCGGCGACGAGTCGAAGTTGACCTGGATTCCATCTGACCAAGCACCGAGTTCCTGAAGGCTGGTGGTGGCCTGATCCGATAGCTCGCTAATGACCGTCGCATTGAAGAACGGCTGAACCTCGACGGCTCGCGAGAGATACAGCTCCTTTGTCTTGGACTTGGATGTCTTGTCCCACTTCTTAAGAATCTTTGAAAAGGCGGTACCATTGATCTCGACGAACTGCTGAAGCTTGTTCAGATCGGTAGCGAACTGTTGAAAGCCCTCTTCGAGAGTCGTGAACTTGGCTGATCGCCTCGAGATGCCCTGGCGTGACTGAAGGACCTTTTTCTTATCGAGCAGCGTCTTGAGCCGGATTTTGAGCTATGTCAAGGTTGGCAAATGGCACTCTTTGCGCGACTGGGTTTTCGTGGGTGGCGACATACCTCGGCTTCCTTTTGAAGGTAGAAGGCATTCACCTTGTCCAACTCTCTTTCCTGCTCGGTGGTCAGCAATCCTGGCGGAATGTTCATCATGGTGGCTACACAGAGTTTGACCTACCAATTGGAAGAAGAAGGTAGCCTTGTTTGCTTGCAGAGCAGCCTGCGAGTCCGCAAGAGGGGGTAGGCGGCGGCCGTCATTTTGTGCAGCAAGGGTCGGAGTAGCTGAAAGCTTCTTGATGAGCTGAATGGCAAATAAAAAAACAGGTATTAGCCTAAGGTGGTACGAGACATAGCAGTTGGAGGTGTACAAGGTGTGTCATGTAAGTATGTCAATGGTTGGGGTGAGAGCCAGAGGGTGCGGCCATGCAAGTACAAGGATTGCCTGGGCTGGCGTTTCCCCCCTCCCTGAAGCATCCCACCTTTATGCTGCGTTCGCGAGTTCTCGAGCAGCACATCGGAGGCGGCAAGATGAAGGCATGGAGGGCAAAAGAGAGTGGGAGTCGACAGCCCTATATGACAAAAGACGGATGTAGGGATGGGCGAATACCTTCTTCAGCGCCTTGTAGTTGACAAAACTGGCAGCATATTCGGGAACCTCAAGCTGGCGCTTCTGAATCTGCTTGCCAAATTTCCTGCGGCATATATCTTTGTAAGCTTTCTGAGGGTGCTAATTCCGGGGAATACAACGGTTGCGTCACGACGCAGCGGCCATCTGACTTACATATTGCGACACAGAACCCCCGGGCGAACGGGAGTCGCGGGGGCAGAGGAGTTGAGGAAGCAGAAAAGGGCAAGCCGGGGAGGACAAGACGCGATATACTAGCCAACGCAGAACGAGCTTCGATCTCACGGCCTATAAAGTCTCTCTGTGACGGCGGGCAGGTTGGTGGTAAGACGCGGGCAGCGGCGCCTGCAAAGAACGACAGCTGCTGTGGACAGTTAGCTGTGTGTGCGACAGGACAAGGCATGGTAAGCAACATTGGCTTCTTTCAAGAGCCAGCGATATCGACGGGAAAGCTCGGAGGTACCCCAGAGCAAACAGAGCAGGGGTCGTCGAGTACTGTACAGAGTCCTCCAGACACTTGTCCGCGTGGGGGAACGATTGACTGATGGATGTCGGCAGCCCACTGACTTGGCCAACAGAGCCCGTCATAATACAGCAGCTCCGGTACGGATCGCACCTCGAGGCCCTTGTCCCGCAACGGCAACAAGCGAAGGTCGGTGCTCTGCTTCCGGGATGGTCTGAGATGCAGGTTGAAGCCGAGAGGAGCAGGGAAAGCCAGGATTGCAGCGAACCAAGTGTGCAGACAAAGCAACGGTGTGGTGAACAGGGTTTGATTGCAGCACTTGGCAAGACCCGTGATGCTGGGAGGATGACGAATGCTCAAAAGGATGATTCGGTCACGTACATACAAGATGAGAATGAGCCGACGGGTGTCAACCACTTGCTCCGTGTAAACTCTTTCTTACTCCTGAGTGAGATACTCAACTTCCCACGAGAGCAAGTCCAGCGGCAGGAGGTCTCCAGCAGTCGGCCTACCGGGCTAGATGGGAGATGCTTGGTGGATAGAAGAGGCTGGTGAGTTCCGAAGAAGCCCCAGGCAGAGGCGATGAGGCTGGCTACCAAGGGGGGGATGACTTTGCGTCTGAGCAGACTGTCTGCTCTCTGCTGTCGGGCCTCGAATGTTAGTCAGATGGTGTCTGGCCGGGCCAATTGGCGAGAGTAGGAGGGAGGAAGGCCGCGTGCTCGGTGAGGTCAATGGCAGAGACTGAGAATCGACTGACTAGCCCTCCTAATAAAGGCGTCGTCGCAGCGGGCTCGCTGTGGCCGTCGCCCGGACTGTGAGCCCGGTGGAGAGGCACAAGCAGGTGCTCCGTCCCGTCCTCGTGAAGCGTGGCCTTGTCCTGTGCTGGTCAAGTGAAGCGGGGGCGACTCATCAGAGCCCTCGACCTGTCTCGAGCATGTCGATGGATCTTCAGCCCGGGGCAGCGGCGCAAGTACATACACTTCCAACGCCGGTCTGGCAGCTTGGAGGTGGTCGCTCTGCAGCATCGACAAGGGTTGCTCATGCGGCGTCGAGCCTTGCTGCGGGCCGCGGGACCGACTGGCGACTTGCGCGCCACGTGCCGGCAATTAGCCGCGCCGCTGCCAGAGCAGCGCATCGGCCTAACAGCGCCCCCATGCCTCGCACACTTTTGCGGCCAAACGCATCTGCTGAGGGCCCCTCCAATTGGGCTGCGTCTGTAGGGGTTTTTTCTGCCGGATCTGCTGCTAACATCGTCCCGTGGATCCAATCGCCGTCCAGCATTGCACCTCGTGCGTGAGCGATAGGCGCAAGTCTCGACATGTGCAAGCTCGTCTGTAGTCGACTTTGCAGCTCGTGCCCGCGATGCAGCCACTCGGCGCCAAATGCTCCGGCTATTTTTTGTATGTGGGAGTCGGTACTTGCCCAGTAACAGAGTGCCCCAACAACATGGTGGGAACATGATGGGCTCGGTGATGCAGACATGAATGGTAGCAGTTGGGGTCGGGACGCATTGTGTTAGGTACTGTGCTGCTTCGATTTGATGCAAGAGGGCTTTGTTCATCGTGGATAAGGCCAATATGCCTAAGGTAACTGTTGTCACGACGCAAAGAAACTGCTTCAGCCTGGGCCTTATTGAGCCATATATACATGCTCTACGTCAAGCTCACATGTCCCTCGCAGCACCACCCAGATTGTGCTCAGGCGATGTAACACTACATGTAAGGTACCTACAGGTATGGCAGCAGATTTGAGGTGTCCAAGTTACCAAGTCCATTATTGCATTCTTTCCAGCCCGGGGGCTCTACTACATACCTACCTACTACTAAGTAGCATCTGGAGCCGGCGCAAAGAACAACGCAGGACTTTGAAAATACACAGAAACAGCAACGCGCCATTGGATATTACGTCAGGTATTGATTTGCCCCCATCCCATCCTCATGTCCACCCGTTTAGCTCTTCTTCGCACTCGAGTCCCCGCCTTTGGCTGGATCGACCAGGCTGTCTGCCATTGCCTCGGCCGCAGCCTTCTTCAGCCGCTCAGCGTCGTCCAACTTGGCATCTTTGGGCTTCTCCTTCGTCTCTCGCTCATCCTCGCTGTCACCAAGGCTGAAGGGGTCGTTGTCCGTGATCGGGTCCGGATCTACACTGGAGAGCGGCTGCCACTTGCTGGCCTTGCCTGCCGGTGCTGCCGCACTCTCGCCCTTGGGAGAAAGCTTGGGTGAGGCATCATACATCTTGATCTCTTCGGGCTCATCCTTGAATCCCACTCTCCGGCCATCTGCCCGCGGCGAGGTGGAGGGGGGTGGTCTGTAGACACCGGTATTGGCCATCGGCCGGTTGTTATAAGCGGGAGCTAAAGAAGGATACCGTCAGCCATGCTCAGTTGGTCATTGTTTGGGGAGATCCAATAGATACGTACTCCCGTCTGCCGAAAACTTCATGCCAGCAAAGTCATCGCTGAGAACCTGCGGGTCGGCATCATAGTCGGTGCTCCTGCTGCTGGGCCCGCCATGCCGATACTGAGGCCCGTCTCTGCGCTCATGATCGTCGCTCTCGTCAAAGTTCTCCTCAATCTTCTTCTTCAACGTGCTGATCCAGCCGTTGACCTTGGTCTGGGTTTCGAGGAATCCCTGTCGGAGGTTTTCGCGGATGACGGGAAGTTCGTCATCCAGAAAGTTGCGCTCCCGCTCGTCTCCGAATCCTGGCTGTCCTCTTGTTCGCCCACTGCCTCCACGATTGGAGGTGCGAGCTTCGTAAGCGCCGACGTTGTCGTACTGCTCCGCCAACTGACGCGCATATCGCTCATCTTCTTCGATCTGAGACCGCGAGGGCCTCGGCGGCTGCTGAGGAGGGATGTTTTGCGGCTCGTTCTTGGCAGCGTCCGGGTCGGTCATTTCTAGTTACAGCATTAGCATGCAATCCCCTAGAAGCTGCGAGCAGGCTCTTGCTGCGCGCATCGGCGCAACAAGTCGCAACGGCGAATCGCTTCGACATACCAAGCAGGGCATTAAAGGCAGGCTCCACGCGCCCTCCGCTCGCGGTCAGAACCGCCTTGATTACGCCATCCTCGACGGTTGGAAACGCTTCCTTCAATATGAGCTGGTTCTTCTGTGCCTCGGTCATCGGGCGCGGCGGCTTGGGCGGAGGGGTTGGGCCGTCCGAGTCCTGTCTCGAGCTGAGCATTGGTGATACGGTGCCGTCGCCTGTGATTCCAGTCTCTTGCATGTCATCATCTGACATGTCAAGCGGTTGTGCGGTCGTGGGCGATTCGGCGCCTGAATCCGTCACTTTGTTCTGCCAAGTCGCATCAGCATCAACTTCCGCGCAAGCTGTCGCCACTATTATCTCGACAAGCAACAGCCCGGCTTTCCGGGAGGTGGATTCCTATATACCGTCTCTGCAGGGGCCGACATTGTCTGTTCGTGCCGTGTATTATTGTTCTTTTTCTGGCCGGGCGCGCGCACTATGAAGGGTCAAGGTTATCGATATGCCGTGATTTCGCTTATTGGTGAAGGCTTCTGGAATATGATTTCGCTTCAGGATCGGGCTCGCCGTTGCGATTATGACGGAGGGGTCGAGAGCAAGCCACGACAGCTGATGACGCGCCCCACCCCTAAATAAAGGAGCTCAGTCTGGTATCAGCCACGGTGCCACACGAGGTAGCTGCCTGCCTTACTGTGGCTAGGTACGTACTGTAAGTATCCGCCACAATGTGGCTGAGCTCTTTTTCCTCGATGATCTAGGGTAGGTAGCTGGAGTTTGACCACTTGCCAAAGCGCTGGAATGCCTTCAAATTTGGTGATGAGAAGGCGGGAACCCTACTGATTCTGGATTCATATCGCGTCTTTCCATATTGATATTCATAAAAAGCCCTCTCATAATGATTGTATGAGATGTATAGCTGAAACCAGCCTCAAACAAATTCAATCACCCCAGACTGGCTTCATACATGCACCCAACTCGGGCTTGAAACACTACAATGGCCGAAAACGACCTCGACTCGTCCTTCATCCCAGCCTTACACAAGCCCTCGTCATTGCTCCCGATAGCAAAACACCGCGAGAGCTTACTCTATGTCATTGAGACGTATCCAGTCACCATAGTCATCGGCCAGACGGGATCCGGCAAAAGCACGCAAATCCCCCAGTTCCTCGAAAAGGCCGGATGGTGCTCAGACGGGAAGATCATCGGGGTCACCCAGGTGCGTTTGGAAATCTCCAACAACAGGCCATGGCTGAAACATCCTTTTCGCTGACGTTACGTGCTAGCCGCGTCGTGTGGCTGCCACCACGGTTGCCCTACGCGTTGCTGACGAGGTCGGCTGTGAGATTGGTAAAGAAGTCGGATACTCCATCCGCTTCGAAGATGTCACCTCGTCGGCGACCAAGATCAAGTTCTTGACCGACGCACTTCTCATCCGGGAAGCGTTGGCGGATCCTCTGCTGAGCCGGTACTCTGTCATCATGGTTGACGAGGCTCACGAGCGGTCTATCAGCACCGACATCTTGCTGGGCCTGTTGAAGAAGATTCGCAAGAAGCGGCCCGAGCTCCGCATCATCGTCAGCAGCGCGACCATCCAGGCCGAGGAGTTTTTCGATTTCTTCACGAGGGGCTCTGGGCAAGAGTCGCAAAAGGAGCAAGACGGCCGGCGGTCAAGTGACATCGCAACCATTGTTAGTCTCGAGGGACGGACATATCCAATCGATGTTCTATATCTTGAGTCTCCAACGGAAGACTACGTCGAGAAAGCCGTCAGCACCGTCTTTGACATCCACACCCAGGAAGGAGAGGGGGACATACTAGTCTTCTTAACGGGCCGTGAAGAGATTGACAATGCGATCCAAGCAGTGGCCGACAGAGCCCTTGAGCTAGATAGCCGGCACGGCCCTCTGCAGCCGCTCCCGCTCTATGCAGGGCTTTCGACAGAGCAGCAAATGTACGTGTTCGACAAGCCACCAGAGGGAACGAGAAAGGTCGTCTTCTCGACAAACATTGCCGAGGCTTCGGTCACAATCGACGGCATCGTGCATGTCATAGATTGCGGCTTCGTCAAGCTGCGTGCTTACAACCCCAAGACGGGCATCGAGACGCTCACCACCACGCCCATATCCAAAGCATCCGCCTCTCAACGAGCCGGCCGAGCAGGCCGCACAAAAGCCGGAAAATGCTACCGCCTCTACACGGAAGATGCCTACCAGACGCTGCCAGAGACCAACCCCCCAGAAATACAGAGGTCGAACCTCGCTTCAACCGTCCTGCAGCTGAAAGCTCTTGGCATCGATAATGTCGTTCGATTCGACTTCCTTTCTGCGCCCCCGGCAGAGCTCATGTCCAAGGCGCTCGAACTGCTCTACTCGCTCGGCGCCCTAGACGACTACGCAAAGCTAACACACCCGCTTGGATCTCGCATGGCAGAACTCGCCGTTGAGCCCATGATGGCTAAGACGCTCCTTTCGGCGCCCCAATTCAACTGCTTGAGCGAAATGCTCACCATTGCCGCCATGACGAGCCTCGGCGGGAATGTGTGGTTCTATCACGACGGTGAACGCAACAGGATGGAGTCTTCTAGGCGCAAGTTTGCCGCGGAGGAAGGAGACCATTTGACGCTGCTTAACGTTTACCAGACGTTCATCACGAAGGGGAAGAAGGAGGCGAGGTTTTGCCACGAGCATCATCTCAATTACAAGTCCATGACTCGGGCGATTAGCATCCGAGCTCAGCTCAAACGCTACCTTGAGCGATTCAATATCAAGGTTGATGAGACGCTTTCTTCTAATCACCCTTCATCAACAGTTGATAATAGCAAGAAAGCAGAGAACATCAGACGTTGCCTCACGTCTGGCTACTTCGCCCACGCAGCGCGTATGCAGCCGGATGGAACTTACCGCAACGTCGAAGGCGGCACGGTTCTGCACGCGCATCCCAACTCGCTCATGTTCAACCGCAAGGCTGATTGGGTCATATTCCATGAGGTCATGGAGACGGGCGAGAAGACGTATATCCGCGACATCACCAAGATTGAGAAGAACTGGCTGGTTGAATATGCGCCCGAGTTTTATAAACTCTCTAACACAACTGCTCGACCTTGACCAGCCACGATGGGGTTCCGATTAGCATACCAGGGCTCTTGTGCTCCCATTTGAGGACAAAAGCACGACAAGTATGGTGCCTATCCAATGGACAATACATAGCTCCTTCGCCCCTTCACGAAATTCGGCCGGGACACAGAATACAAGTCCCTTGCTTCCGTACGAGCCCGGTTCTTCTATCTTTAGATGGCTCCATGGATTGTTCTGGAATGGCCCCCCTTTTGCAACTACAATTCAATTACAGAACCGTCGTTGCGATTGTAGCGATTGTAGCGATTTGACTCTTCGACATTAGCTCTTATACATCAAGATTAGGACAAATAGCCGAAAGTAAGAAGACTCTGAAGGGATCCACGCTTGCAGGCCAGTGCCGAGGGTATTTGAATCCCACGTCTCTTGGCGCGTGATTTCCACAAAGCGAGTGATCGGTGGGCATCCGGTGCTGATGACCAGCCGGGATGCCACGCCCGTCGCGATCGACTGAGTTGCCGCCGTGCGTTGGTCACCTTATCTCAAGAAGCGGCCTTGTTGTTTCCCTGGTTTCGGCTGCAGAGGCAGTGAGCCGGAGCCCCAGGTTACCCAGGTTACACGAGATAGTTCTGCCTGAGGTGGTCATGCTGTGTACTTGCTAGCATCATCTCCCTGGATCTAGCCGTGTTCACCTGCTTTTCCAGCAGCAGATCATGAGGGAGCCTGAAGCACCTGGCCGTGGTGCACTCCCCGAGCCAACACACCGAATCTGCTTCTTCGATCGAGAATAACGAGTGTTGATCGGATGGCCATGTTTCAGCGCACCAACGCCGATGCGGATGTTGGAGAAAGGCTGCTGACCTGGCAGGCAGGTTGCCATAGGAAACATCATAATAGTGCGCAGTCAAACCAAGGTAGAAAGTCTCTGCCAAGACAGTGGTTTCAGCATCAGCTCAAAGCCTGTCTCATTGGCACAGAAAGACGCGGAGACTGAGACTCTTCAGCCCTCGACAAAGGCCCATGCATGTCTCGCCAGGTCAGAAACAGCGGCCTGTTCAAGCTTTTGCCCTTCCTTCGACAGTGCTGAGTGGTATTACTACGGGTACTAGTACAGTACTCCCTATGCATGCGAGACCCGTTTCTCCTGTTTCGTCTGAATTGCTGTCCTGACCGCTCACCGACTGTAGCATCATGCGGCAGGGGGATGATGGAACATAACAAAAGCTGGTGATGGGGTTGACATGGGGGGGCTGTATGTAATTCATGTCCCAGCGGCCGGCTTAGCATCCGAGCGTGATGCCTGGCCCTCCGTAATAAGACGACAACCTGGTACCGGTCGCCGTGTCACGGAGCACACTCGGTGGTGTCGACTCAGTGCTTTCTGAAGAGAGAGAGAGAGAGGGAGAGAGAGGATTCGTCGGCATGCTCCGTATTCCGTGCCACTGCTGCATGTGACTCCTGCTCTGCTTCTGATAAGGATTCCCTAGATTGCTGCTAGTAACAGTGGCGATATCAAAGTCGGTTCCGCATGCCAACGCCTCACCGGCCGGCCAGGGGCCAAGTTCATATCGGAACAGCGGCGGCCCTTCTCCCACGAGCCGGACAGCGGCCCGGATCTCCATGTAACGCAACAAGCGGGAGTCCTCATGGTGATGAAAGGCATCTATAAAAAGAGCATTTCGCTGAAGGGATTAGATTGTGTTTGGCTTCTACCTACTACTTGTCATACAGTATAGGGGCTGATTTGGCGTGGAATTAAGAATGGCGCCTGGCGGAGGCGGCGAGTTGAAGATGATGGAGACAAATCCAGGAGGAGGAGAAGAAGCGGCATTGGCACGGAGTCATGGTGGTGCAGGTACCTTGACATTGCGTGCATTGGGGGTGGATATGCCTTTAATGAGGGTTGATTGGCAACTGCTCCTATTGGATAGGGCGGTTTGAAGGCACAAGGCGCGGAGAGGTACAGGTACAAAGGACAGGGACTTCGGCTGCTGCCCCCCCCTCCCCCCAGCTGCGAGAGTGAGAAAAGATGAGGACGAACTCGCTTCTCGAATGCGCCATTTCCTTCCAAATTTACCAATCTCTGGCCTTTCTTTCTTTTTTTCCCTTGTTGTCGGACCTTTTGGATGTGGTGCCAACAGTCCTTTCAACTGCAGGTTGGCAGATGTGAAAGGCCAGCTTTGGCGTCTTGGCCAGCACCAACAGCCATGACACAAAGCACAGTCCGCCAGGGAACCACTGCTCGAGTAGGTGCGCAAATTTGGTCGCGACAGCAGAGAGTCGCATCGGATGGATGCCTGCGGCGATAAGCCACAGGTGCTACCTTGCAATACAGCAGGTAGGTACCTAGGTAGGTATCAAGCCATCGAGGTTACTTTGGGACCATGGTGATGAAGCAATGGGAGGGAAAATACGTGGTGCATACATACATATACGCTCTTCAAGTGCCTGGCGGTAGGTAGGTACCTAAGGTAGTGCTGGCGCTATTGGCCGAGTGCCTGTCGCTAACACGCCCATGCTGCGATATTGGCCATGGCTCTATTTGACACGCCGGTGCGGCCGTTTCTCACGATTCCTCTTGACCCTGTCCGAGTCTGGACTGCTCCGTGCTCCGTCAGGTCTGGTGTGTGGTGATGGTGCCATTTGCGGAGCTTGTAAGACAAAGGGGAGCTTGTTGTTGAGTTCACAAGCCAGGAGCTGCATCTCTTTCTACATGTACCTGCCCTGTACTTGCTGGTATTACCAGGTACTCGTCGTGATTCATCTTCCCCGGAGGAAATGTTCAACCTAGTCGGTACAATTGACGCATCTACTAATGGACAATTCTCATGTCAAAATATTACTGAGGAGTCCAGGTTCCATCGAAGTCTGCAGACCTCTGCTTACGGCTCGAAGGCGCATGTAGCACCAGAGCAACAAGCCGGTCCTTTTGCATTGATATGGATGGCAACTTGAAGCTCGCAGCAATTTCAATGGCAAAGCTCTGCTCTGCCCAGGGGACTCGCCGGTACGCGCGCAGGCGGGACGGCTAGGGCTTTCCTGGGCTAGCGTCAGGGGCTGGAGGGCAAAACACAGTGCCAACTGAGAGAACTAGTAGTAGTATCATTGCTATCTCACAGTACCTAGTAAGGCCCCGGAAGCTACAGTAGCCCAGACTGTGCGGGCCGCCCTGATTGGACTCGCCTGCGGTACCTGCGTCAGACCCCTGCTAGGCGCAACTCGCCAGACGTTTGTTTTCCTCTTTCGACCAACTGGGCTGCTGGCAAAGGACCGCCTGACGCTGCCAGTGGCTGCTGGAGCTGGCCATTGAGTGCTGGAGGGCGGCGAAGCAGCGTGTACGGGTACCTGTGCGACCGCGACCTCCATCGGGCATCGCGGCGCAACCAAGCTGTGCAACGAGGTACCAGATACATCCCACGCCTGCGATCCAAGCATCTCGCGCGGCGGCCCGGCGCTAGCAACTGCTCAAATTAAACGTGCTCCCTACGACCCTGGCGGCTCCTCACTGACCGACCACATACGGATGGATTGGACAACAGAGACGAGCACCAGCACCAGCACCAGCTTCTGGTACCTGCGACCTGCGACCTGGCCCGACCCCTGCTGGTTCCTGGGTACGCCCTGGCCCCCCCTGCCCTGCTCTGTCTCATTCGCTACAGCAAGGGGGAGGGGGATTTTGTCCGCCGGAGACCTGCTGGGCTTCCCTGCCATCGCTTGCTGCTCGCTGTGGGCGAGGTGCCGCGGCGGGCTATACCTAGATCCATGGATGCCAAGTCGCCCGAGCTGCTGCGGTACCTGCGCTGCAGCAGCTCCGGCACCAGCACCTGCAGTCGTCCCTGCATCTGCATCTGTACCTGCACCGGGCCCTGTACCAGCGCCTCCCTGTACCGGTACATTGGATCAGAACCAGAACCTGAAGCTGTCCCGCCGAGGCCAACCAGGGCCTGACCTTCTGGCCTTTCCGTGCTAACCCGCTTGGTGCCTCGCTCGTCCAGTCGCTCCTCCATCTCCTCCTTTGCCCAGTGCGTCTCTCGTCGCTCACCTCTTCCCTCTTCTTTTCTCCTCTCCCCATCGCCAGTTCCCTCCTTCTGTCGACCATTGCGATTCCATCGTGACAAACCGCCTGCCAGCGGGCCTTTCACTCATTTGTCTTGCTTTGCTTGTCAAGCTCTCAGTCATTCCTTTTTCTTGCGTGCTGCTTCTGCGAATCAGCAGCAACAGTCGTTCCTTGTCTCTGCCCGCCTGGTTGGCACTGCATTCCTACCCGCTTTTCTGCTGCTTTGCTGCGACCTCGTCTTCCTATACCAAATCGTCGATCGACAAACGCCATCTGGGCCAGCCTCTCGTTTGCGGGTGATCCGTTCGGTGGTGGCTGAACGACAACAATCAGAACAGACCGCACATTCACGCGACATACCTTTCATGGCGATTAGCACATCGCTTCGAGTTTGATTCGCAAACCGTCATTCGTAATATCTATTTCTTCCTCTCCCGCCGTCGTTATCAACCAGTCTTTTTTTTCTTTTGAATAGGAGGAAGTCGACAAGATGAGCATAATACGAGCTCGCGGGGTGAACCTCGCCGCCGCCGGGGCGAATACACGCGATGGAGATGTGTACAGGATGGGCTCGCGGATCAACCTTCGCCGCAGCTTGGGGTCGATTGGCTCTCTGCTGCGCAGAAGTGATTGTGTTGCTACCGATGCCTCCAACACTTGCGAGAAGCCTGTTGGGCCATCGGACTCGACGCTCGCCATTGTGCTGGGTATTATGTGAGTCCTCTCATTGTGTTTCGAAAACCAGATAAGGGGGAGTAATTGGGAGGAAGAAGAGGGGGGAGAGAAAGAAGGAAGCAAGCTGTTGCTGGTCCAGGAATGGTCATGCTAATAGAAGCAGAATCCCCGTCATTTTGGCCATCGTGGTTCTCTTCATCCTGCACCGCCGGAACATGCGCCGCGACAAGCTCGAGGAGCTCAACGACCCGACCAAGGACTTGGATTTCGGCATGGGAGATGCCCCCGCCAAGTCGCGAAAGAGCCTGCTGGGATTAGGGGGAGAGAAGCCGATGCACAAGGGCGGACTCTCCATGGACATGAACCTCACGTCGCCGTACCTGCTTCCTCCGGGCCACCAAGGATCGCGCGAATCAATTCACTCGTATGCTCGAACCCTCACAACCGAAGATGACCCCTATAGAACCGTCAACCAATATGCAGCTAGTGATGTTGGTTCGATCCGATCCTTCAACCCCAACGACAACTCTGGTGCGCGCCCTCCCAAGTCCAGCGGTCTCTCCAAGCCTCCTATGCAGCCAAACCCGTCGACGCCACGCTCCCCGTCTCCGGATGAGAAGGACGACCCCTTTGCCACTCCCACCGCTCCCAAGCCTACGCATCAGCCTTCCGCCAACGCCGCCCAGGTCCACGATGTCAGGCTTCCTGTCCAGCCAATCGTCCCGGAAATCGAAACGGTCCCTGCAGTCGACGTCTTCAACGCCGACGAATTTGTGATGCCCGACATCCCGGCTCCCGCTCCCGCTGCTCTGAAGCTCCGCCAACAGGACGGTTCCTATGAGCAGCCCAACTCGGCGCGTTCATCTGCCTACACTGATAATGGCCGTGCCTCCACGGCCAACCCTGCTGATGGAAACGTTCCCCAGATCCACTCTCCCGGACAAGACTCTCATGAACGCGCTTCTGAAGACGAACCCCGTGGTCGACCTCTCTCAAGGCCTCCTGCCCCTGGCGGTCTCGGTGTTCCGCAAAACGGCAACAACAAGCGACTCTCTGTTGGTTTCCGGCCACTGCCTCCTAATGACTTGATGGAGTCTGATGATCCCGAAATCCGTGCCAACCGTATCCGTTCCTTCTACAAGGAGTACTTTGATGATTCTAATGAAGCACCCCCTCCCATGCCCGCTCTGCCACCCCAGCAGCAGCAACAGCAACAGCATCAACAGCAGCCCCAGCAACAGCCCCAGCACCAGGCACACGGCGGTCCCGACTACTATGAAGACTACGACCAGGGCTACCTGGAGGCCGCTGCTTACTACGATGCCGATTCCAACGCCTTTGTCATGCCGTATGCCCAGCCTGTTACCCGTCGTGCCATGACGCCGCCTCCCAGCGGACGCCAGGGTGGCCCAATGGGCGGCCCCCGCGGTCCCGGCCCTCGTGGCCCAGGCTTCCGCGGACCCAATGGCAACGGAGGCACCTTCTCTCCCGGCCCCGGACACGGACGACCTCGTGCCGGCTCGGCATTTGGACCTCGACCTGATTCATCCGCCTCCAACGCATGGGCTCGCCAGCAGCAGCCCAAGAAGAACCTGCCTCCTCCCGCGCCCCTGAACACGCTCCCCACGCCCTCCAAGCTGGCTGATGATTCATTCGCCATCTTCAACGCGGCCGACTTTGCCCCTCCGACCAGCATCAGGGACAATGTCGCAGGCCGAAGCCAGAGCCCCTTTGGTGAGAGGAAAGCTTTCTTGCAGCCACCGACTGCCGGCTCACAGCTGGCTGGTGCGTTTGAAGACCTAGCACCTCTGCCAAGCCCGTAAGTATTTCCTTGTCGTCTGAGCCAGTATCGACGGTGTTGGCTAACTCTTGCAAATCCAGGCACTTGCTCCGAAAGTCGGGAACCTTCACAGGGCTGGACTTTGCCCCTCCCAAGAAGTTCAGAGACCCCGAGGTTGCCAGCGACGCAGGCAGCATCAGGAGTAACAAGAGCGGCATGTCCCAGGCGCAACTTCAGGCCATCCGAAGCGGCGCCGGCCGCGTCAGCCGCCTTCCAGGCGACGTGGTGTTCACACCAGCCGCCATGGACGACCAGCTGAAGCCTCAATGGAATGTGCGACCTTGATATGGGGGCAGAGTAGGCGAGCTGCCATCGGATGACATTATTTAAAGTACCAGCGTCGTCATTTCTTGCTTACGGCATTTGCATGATCTTGCCAACAGATAGCGGCATCGAAGCGCTCTCTCCGACAAAAAGGGGGGCTTTTGTTTATTTTGTTCACTTCCACAGGAGTAATTAGGGATTACGACGGACTTTTTATCTTCCAACTTTTTCTTTTGGGCTTTGCGATGTTTGCATATAGATGGACTGGAACCTAACCAACACACATGAAGAACATCTCAGGTGACGACTTCGGGCCTCTCTGGGGGCATCTGAAGGAATACTGTACATAGGCAATATAGGTCAATCAGATGCACTCACCCGTTAATATTCTATATGTTTGTCTTTTTATTTTCCCCTTTGGTTTTCGTGTCGTATGTGTGGTGATTGCTGTCTCGACTAATTGTGTAATACTAGTAGTAGTATGCTGGGTATTAATTGCTGTCTCAGCTCTTCCGGAATTTGAGTGTTGCAATTGAGTGAGACGACGTGTTGCTGTTTCACCTTCACGTCTCCTCATTCAAACAATTCCAATTGATTGCATGGACCCAATCCATCGAACCACTGCCATGAGTTGTCAATCTCGGCAATGCTGTCATTCTCGAGTGATTCCCTTTGATGAAGTCGGCATCACGTGCAGTGCTGATATCACTACCTGAGTACCTAGGTACCTATGTATGCAAGAAATTTTAATAAAAACAAGGCTGATCCTTTGTTGAAGATCAACGGGCTGGGCTTGAATTCTGTGGAGAAGATGCTGCTTTGTTTTCATTGGCGGTTTGAAGGTTGTCAATTTCGGGATCTTTGGGATAGTGACTCCTCTTCTTTTCAGAAGGCGTTTTTGTTCTCGTCTTGATTGGGTGGGGCTGGGAGTGAAGCGTTCTGATGCTATAGCTGGCTACTTACCTGCTTTACCCAGGTACCTATGGAAATAGACGATGCAGAAGCCTCGGCCCAGATAGGTAGAGAATACGTTCTTGATTCATAGGAAAAGCAACCTAGGTAGTATATAATAATGCCCCAAGGATGACAACGCGAAAGGTCCAGCTTCTAATACGGTACCAGGAGGTTCTTTGTTTAGTAGTAGTTTATTTATTTAGTAACAAGCTCCATTTACCTCGTTCACGGACCAACTTGGGAGGGGCTTGTGGCAGTGAAAATTGGCGTGTGAGACGGGCAGTGCAGATTTCATGTTCAGGGTCTTTTTTTTTTTTTTTTTTCCAAGATTGTTATCTACCTTAGGTTCCAAAGGGTTGGGCATTTGAGGGTGTCCGACGGATGAATGAGGGGCTTATTATACGTGGTCGTTCTCTTGAGAGACGGACGGATATAGAGAGATATGGAAACAATAGCTGTAGTATTAACACTGCAGAGCAAACCCGCCCTTTTTTTAGAGCCTGTAATAATACAGTCTCAAGAACAAGCCATATGCCTTGATTCGCGACATATGTAGAATACTCCATACTCCCGTTTTGAACGTGCATATCCCCCCTGCTTCTTTTATTGCATCCTCGTAAGACGAACGGGGTCCGCGATGGTCGATTTTGCACCAGGGGTCTCTCTCTCTCTCTCTCTCTCTCTTGGTTGGATTCTCCGTGGTAATACAGTGTCTCACTGGCAACGGTCACTGCGGACGGAAAAAAACAAGAATGAAGATTCGGATCTTATGCCTTGTACGCGATACGACTGGAGAGACAATCATACGTAACAATACTCTCCTCTTTTCTCATGTTTTTCTGTGAAATGTCAAGTAAGACATGTGACAATGGGCAAATACTACTACCTGTAGTACTAGTAGTAGTACGTACCCAAGGTAAGCAACTGAGACGGCGGACTTTCAAAGCGTAAACGTTCAAAACGGGACGGCGGCCTCCTTTGGCTCTCCTTTGGCTAGGTAGCTACTACTACTTAGGTACGTAGTAGTAGCTGAAGAGCTTCCCGTGGCGCGTGGCTGGACCTGGAGGAGTGTGAGAACCAAAGGCAAGCCGCGTCTCCTCCGTCCCCCCCAAAGTTGATCCTAGCTTTTAGGCGAAATTAGTTCTTGTGGTCACCAACCGCTAGGACAACCCGTTTTGGAGGTCAGCGTCAGCGGCGATGCTACTAGTATTACGGTACATGCAGTGCTGAGATGGGACCTGGAGGTCAGTGTTCCCGTTTGCCCCCTGGAACAGGTGCTGTCAGGTAGCACTGTAGGAGGTATCTTGGGGGGATGAGGGACAAGAGCACATTGTCAGTGTGTCTGTTTTGCGTTGATGGTGCTTTAGGTACCTAGTAGGTAGGTACCTTTGGGGGAATGAGTGAGGCATTCGCTGGGAGAAAAAACAAAGGGGAAAGATACAGGCTGTTTGGGGAGGGGGGAAAGCAACGGTTTCAGCCAGTCCGAGTGTCTGCATCAATGATGTAGGTACCTATCCGGCAAAAGAAGCGACACTTTTGCATGTAGTAAGAAGAAGAAGAAGAAGAAGAAGAGGAAGAGAGGGGGGGTCGAGACTTGCAGGAACGGGCACAGATGGACAGTCTGCATTGTACGAAACCGCACATGCAGGCGCCGTAGAGATTCGACGGGACGATACGGTGCCCGCTACAGTGCGAGTGGCAGCGTTCCGGCGTTGCTTGTTGTGGTTTTGGCTCGGGCGCGGGTGCGTCAGAACTCTACGTCTCTGGTCGGCCTCGTATTGTCGTTCCCCTAGATGGCTGATTTTTTGCCTTTCCGTCCCTGTTCTTTTCTGTTCCTTTGCCTCTTTTCTTCTCTCTCTTTCTCGCTCTCTCGCTCTCACAGTCTCTCTCCCCAACTCACTCGCCATCAAACGAGTCCTTGACTACCTTTTTCCTCCACCCCCCCTGGCGCGGCTTGTGCTCGTCTCTTGTCTCTTGTCCCTGTCCTCTCTGTTTCCTCTTCCCCCCCTGTCGCTGCGGCTGTCCATTCCATTCCTTAATAAGCGCCTCACTTCCCATTTGTTCCTCTCATCAGCACCACCAGAGACAGAAGCACCTCGTACCGCGCCCCACGGCCCACTCTCTCGTGCAGCTGCTTGCGTCCATTCGCTGCGTCTTTTCTTTTTTTGTGTGCGAAGCCGGGCAGGCTAATAAGTAGCAAGTAGCCCAAGGCCAAGGCTAAGCTGCCGTCAGAACTTCGTCGTCGCCGCCGGGATCCAGCGCTGCGGCAGGGACCGGGCTTCTGTTTCTCGTTTTTTTTTCTCTCTTCTCTTCTCTTCTCTGCCCTCTTCGTATTCCTTCGGTCGTAACAATTTTGGGGGCGACGAAAACAAAGAAGAGAAAAAGCGGCAGGAGATACATACAAGCAACAGCGTCTGTCTGCTCAGTGACTCTGGCGCTTGCTCCAGCGCATTAATCCTACCTTATCCATTATTACATACTCGGGTCTTCATTCTCGCTTCCTCCTCCCTCCAATTGTCTGATTCGTCTGGCGCGCACGTTTCCTTCCGGATTGTCTCTGGAACGCTGGACTGTTGAGGTACGTTTGCGGATCTCCGTATTGTCTCTGCCGTCTGCTTTGTCTGGCCTTTCTCCCCGACCCGGTCTGCGGTCGATCCATCCTGTGTCTCTCTTGCTCTTCTCTTCTCGCGCTGTCGTGCCGCCTGATTGTCTTCGACTGGCAAGGACGCACTTCGTGACAGCGCTTCGGCTGGCTTTCTGCGCTGCTCCTGCGTTCGGCCTAGGTGCCATTGCATTGCGCGACCTGTTGTCCTGTTGGGCGCCTTCGCCTCTTCTGCGCAAGTCCTGGCGCCTGGCGACTGCTGCTGATCCAGTTGAGATCATGATCATCGCCTATTTATCCATTCTCCACACTGCGCTGCATCTCATCTGTGCTGCTTGACGTCGGCCAAGCGACGCCATCCTCGTCCTCATGCTGACACGCGCATCTCGACACAGTCAATCCCAGTCCTCGGCCACCCTCATCGCCGCCGTCGCCATGTCCAGCGGCACAACCGCTCCCCCGCGAGGCTCGCCGCCCGCGCAGACCAACGACGCAGGGCCTTCAGACACTCCCACGTCTCCGGGACGGCCCTCGTCAACGCCAGAGCCGCCGGCATCCCAAACAACGCCGCCGCCGCCGCCTCCTGACACAACGTCTTCCACGCCTAACCCTCCGCAGAAGACGTCCACCTCGGAGACGCCCGACCCTCCGCCATCGTCGACTTCCACTCCGCCGCCGCCTCCTGACACGACGACACAGCCGCCTCCGTCCAGCACCGAATCACCGCCCTCGAGTACGGCAGAGCCGCCATCCTCCACTTCGTCGTCCTCCCAGTCTTCTTCTTCCTCCTCGACGACCCCGGAGCAGACCACCACCACCCCGGACTCTACAACGCCGCCACCATCAAGTACTACGCCCCCTCCATCCTCGACGACTTCTGATGACACAACCGTCTCTGTCACGGGAAGCGGGACTGTTACCAGCTTTGTTGTTGTGACGCAGACCAGGACGCCCACCAACAGCCTGCCAAGCGGCACCACCTCCACCTCCACCTCCACGGCAACCCCCAACGGCGTCGCCGGCAAGGACAACAACGGCGGTCTTGATTCCAAGGCAAAGGTGGCCATTGGCGTTGTTGTGCCCATTGTTGCTATTGCCATCTTGGCCGTCATTGGCCTTTTCCTGTGGAAGAAGCGTCGCGCGCGCAGGGCAGCAGAGGCCGAGCGTCGCAAGGAGGTCGAGGACTATGCCTACAACCCGAATGCAGATCCGACCATCCCGACGGTGGGCATGGCGGGGGGAGACTCGTACGAGATGAGGGAGGAAGGGCCTGCCGGCTATCGCGGCTGGGGATCAACCACGCTTGGTGGCTCAACCGGCCGCAAGGCTTCGACGACCATTTCTGGCGCCACCAATGGGTATTCCGACATTGGCCCTTCCCGGGGTAACATGTCCGAGTCGGCACTGCTGGATAACCCAGAGGGCGAGATCCTCGGCGCCATGGGCCCGTCAGCCGCCAACAACCGCGGCGATGTTCGACGAGGGGCTTCCAATGCCTCCTCCTCATACAGCGCAACCGGCAGATCGGACGGCTCCGACGTGGGTGCGGGCATGGCCTACAGCTCCAACGGCGGCGGCTACTACGATTCGTATGGCCAGAACCCGTACGACGCCGGCTTCGGTGGTGCTGGCGAGATGCCCGGTCCCCCCATTATCCGCGATAATCCCGCGCGACGCAGCACGCGTGTCGAGAGCCCTGGTCACTTTCCTCAGCAGAGCGCTGGCATTTCCCAGAACTTTTAGATGCCGCCTCCCGACGAGGCTTGAGGTGTTGTTAACGCTCGGTGCGCTCACACGATAGATACCCCGTTTCTTACCAGGTGTCTTGGGGGGGTTGGGGAAGACGCCCGAAGGAACATGAGGCGTTTTGGGAATTTTGACATCACTCTGTTTAATACTGCTTTTGCCCACCATGGCCCTTTTGCATCGTTTGTTTACGCTCTTTCACTCGAATAGTCTGGATTTTGCACATTACGGTACATTTCTGCACGCTTCCATGTCGGCTTTTTGGCACGTTTCTTTTTCTCTTTCTTGACTCGATAGGAGTGAGAGGTGGTTTAATATGGGCTGAACGAGGGAAGAATGATGAGGACGAGGACTGCGCACTTTTTTTTTTTTTTTTGCCTGTTTCTCCTCTTTTAGAAGGAGGAGGTAGCGAAATGGAGTGCGGCGTGAACTATAAAAGATGCTTGCTTCTCGAACTCGAGCACGTACCGGTCATGACAAGCGATGTGGAACAAGGGGAGAGAATCATCAAGGGGAAGGGAGAGAGGGCGCTTGTACATACCTACAGAAGAGGGGGGTGTGAAAAAAAGTACTTGTATGCATCTGCATCTTTGCATTTGCGGGCGTAGCGAGTCGAAATCTTTTTTCTCTTCTTCTTCTTTTCCTCTTTTACTGACTAATCCTCTTTGTCTTATTCCTGCTGCTCTAGTTTGGCTGGTCAAAGGTGATTTGGTTTTGTGCAGCCTGTGTTGCCCTGTTTCTCCTAGTAGTCTCTGTCAATTCTGGTCTTCCCCCCCCCCCTTTTTTTTTATTTGAATTGAATAGCAAAGCGTTCTTATATATACATACCATGCCGGCTCTCCCCCACCCTTTTTTATAACATTATGTGTTTTGGAGAATTGTGTCTGTCAGTGTGTGAAACAGTTAAAAGTCATGTACTGGATGAGATGGACAACTCGATAAGAAACGTTTCCAGAGCAAATGCGTATGCGATGACATATTCCATCTTTGATTTATATCATATCCCTCTGGTTACTGCTTGCTTGGATTCGACTCAGCTTCTGGCGTTACATGAAATTGTATGCGGACAGCATTGTGCCTCCCTTTTGCCCCGACTTGTCTGAGAGTCTGTTGATTTGACATCAGGTCATCCGTTAAGACTTGTCACTTGGGTTTGAACTCCATTCTCATGATGCCTAATTCTCATGACTGTTATCTGGTATACAGTAGCCCTATACTTGGCATGGATCTCCAACTGCCTGACAGACGGCTTTGGCCTAGGTGTGACACGTAGATATCTTCCATCAACCGCTAAGCAACGCTCCCATGGGGCCATGCATAGCCAAGGCCCCAAGGCCAAAAGGCTTCCTCTCCGTTCCTCTTTCCTTCTCTCCTTTGCACTTCTGTCGAGACCAAACCCTCGTCATGCCTTTAGCCAAGCCGACGCAGTGCCTCGCTCACCCATCCCCTGGCTCAACTCCATGCGGTCCCACCAGAAGCGGCACTGCTCCAGCTCCCTGTCTGTGAGTTTCCTCGTCTTGACCGGCGTGCCTAGACTTTTCCCTCCAGCTGCTTCGTCGTTGCCCTCTCCAAAGACGAGCAGTTCACCAATCCCTGCTCCAGACAGAGCTGCGGCAGAGCCATCGTCTCCCAGAGGGCTTCGAAACACTGGCCAGGCTTCCTGCTCATCATCTCCATTGAGTGTCCCAGTGGGCGATGCACAGAATGATGTCCAGCGGTAGTTCATCTCCTTGGCCATGGCCTTTAGGCCTGGCGTCGCCTCCAGTGCGTTCATTTCAAGCGTTACGGCGGATGTCTGGTCGCCATGAGAGGCCGCAGTGAATGGCGCCGAAAGAGGAGCGTACTCGTAGAGATACACGCGGGCACCTGCTCGAGATAATGTGTGTGCCGTGTGAAGGACAGGGCAAATATACGCGTAGTGGCCGTAAGCTTGGTGGATGCGGCGGAACTGTGCGCCGTAAGACCGCTTCTGAGGACCGCCTATGCCGGGGGGCTGGCGATAGGGCGAGTCTGGGTGGATGTGGGGATCCGGATACAGCAGCTCGAGGGCGTCCAGGTCGTCTGCTGAAAGTGAAGGGATGAGCTTTTGGAAAAAGGCGCGAAATTCGGCGCTGGTGGAAGCATGCTGGGGGGCAAATGTTGTGCCCTCGTGGGAGCAGAAGCCGGTGATGATAGACATGTCTTTTGCTCGGCCCGAGTCGACGAACTGGCGCCACAGATTCAGGGGCAGATCGGGAATGACGCCGTTGGGGCCATCAATGACAGGCTGGAAGGGCCATGTCACAGCTGTATGATTCATGGCGTAGAGAGCAAAACTAGCATCGATGACGGAATCGACAGGGAGAGACTCAAGCGGCTGGTTCAAGGCATATGCTTGAAGCTGGAGCATTTGGCTCACTGTGCGAGCATGTAGAGGTGAAAGGACGGAGCGTGCGGTCGGTGAACCAGACTCGAGGATAGCCTTGTGAAAGGGAAACGGAGAAGGATTGAGCATGTGATGGCCGACCTGAAGAGGGGGGGCGAGGAAATATGTCAGTACTCTTCTGCTCTGTAAGTAGTGGACCGTTATGATATCCCCCATTGGATGAATGGATATTCTTTTCTTCCCAAGATCTGCACGTAGATACTCACTGAATGTGCACCAGCACTCGCTCCCAATAGCGTGATGTTATCAGCATCCCCCCCAAAGTAACCAATATTCTCCCTCAACCACTCCAGGGCCAGCCTCTGGTCCTTGAGCCCCAGGTTGAGCTCTTGCGTTTCCGAGGCCCCAGCCAAGAATCCCAGCGCCCCCAGACGGTACGAGATGCTAGCAACAATAATCGGCTGCCGGCTCCAGGCCATAAACGACGCCAGATCCCTCTCCAGCGGGTAGCCAAAGTTAAAGGCTCCGCCGTGAACGTACACCACCACGGGTAAGTTCTTCAAGGCCTGGCGTTCAGCATCGTCCACCTGGTACCTCAACGGCGACGTCGATCCCGAAGGCCGAAAGACGTTGAGCGTCAGCGGGCTCTCCGCCGTCGGGAACTGAGCCATGGGAATGGGCTGTATATGCGCCGGCAGCGAGGCGCTGTATACGCCCAAGGCCTCGGACGGCGGCAGCGGCTCGGCGGGGCGGAAGCGCTGGGCGGTGGCATAGGGGATTCCGTAGAAGAACTCCAGGGCCCGAGGGTACTTTGCCGATTCGTGCTGGAAGGTGCCCACGAAGGTGCAGCCGTTGATGGCGACGGTTGGGCTGTCGCTCGTGTCCATGGCGATGTATATATTCGAGATGAGAATGTGGTGATTGACGTCAGACGATGAACTTGGATGGAGTGACGTCGAGCGTGGACGAAGGAGAATCGCGGTAATGGATATCTTGGAAATTCAAAAATAGCGAGACTAAACAAATGATGGTGAAGGAAGAGAAGATGGTGGTGAGCTGAGCTGAGACGCAAGAAACGAAAAAGGATGAGCTGCTGTTTTTGTGAAATCGTTGTCGAGGTCTTTCCCTATTCTGGCTCTTGCCTCATCCCTCAGCAGCCCATTGAACCTTCCTTCTTCTGGCTGTGACAGCTGCAGAGGCGGCAGGCAGGGACACCAAGCTAAGGCGGGTTGCTCCTGCTCTGGCAGAGTCAGATGGGCGGTTTCTTACTAAGAGGTCATGCTGCCTCTCTCATAATATAAGGTACTAGGAACGTAAGTATCTTACCTTCGATTGTGTGTAAGTCGTACGCAGAGCAATCATTCATGAGATGGATTGTTTCAACAAAATGAGATAGAGCAGAGCAACAGTGCGGGAAATAAAAAAAAAAACTTGCACGCAAGCGAGGATGCAACGATATCGTCTACTAGACATATTTTAGCCTCGTGTTATCAATAAAATTGATCACCAGAAATCCGCTGAGCCAACAAACTGCAGCGCATTCCTCTTTTGGCCCGATCAAGCACGGCATATGATAGCTCAAGTCTTTGGATTGTTCCAACTCATCTGTTGCAAACAGTCTGGCCTCGATTGTCTATCTATGTAGCTACCTAGTCGTAGGTAGGTAGGCAATAAGGTGTGCCTTGCCTGAGTCAGTAGGTGATAGCAGTATCAACCTAATTCTATTCTCCCAGCTCTGCAGCTCAATGTAGTGCATCATTATGCATGCAGCCATCCAGGCTCGGGAGCAGATCCCTTTAGCCTCACCCACTTCATCCACACCGTCCCCAAAAACAGCCGCCCAATTACTGGCTGCGAAATTGTCAGCCCAGTCTCCCACCTCGGTACTCTGCAGTAACACCGAGCCTCGTAGCAGTGCGCCTCTCGATTGCCTCGCGGCTGCAGCCGTGGGATTGCTCCCCAGAAACGCAAAAGGGCCTTGTATCCCCAAGTGTCGGAAAAACGTGCGACACGCCACCTCAATAGCCCAAAACTCCAGCCCGCTCCCAATTATACAGCGAACTCAAAGCAGAAGCCGATGCACTCGTCGCCCGTCTATTCACCTGCTTCGTCGATGAACTCGCTGTTCGCCTGACGCCTCTCAGCCAGAAAGGAGAAGAGCAAGGAAAGAAAGCAATGCCGCCCTGGAAAGAGACAATAAACATGGAAAACGAAACAGACGAGAAAACAAACGCAAAAACAAGGGTATGATGCAAACAATAGTGAAATAGAAACAATCAACAGCAGTGCCTAGGTAGTCCTAGCAGCGTCATGTCCGCCAGGCTCAATGACCCGCTGCCTGCTTCATGGACGCCGCCTCCTTGCGACGCTTCTTCTCCGCCCACTCTCGACTCGCTATTCTAGAGCGCTCAGCAGCCTCGTCTCGGGCAGCCTTGGCTGTCATCGGCCTGTCAAGCTTGTCGTGGCTCTTCTTCTCCTTGAGGCTGGGAGAATCCTGGATTTCCTTGGGCCGGGGCCGCAGCCGTGTCACCATGCTGTCAACCGACAGAGGGTTCTTACTCCTAGCAGCGCTGACCATCGACGACAGTATCGATCGGTTGATAGATTCGGCAGCCGCCATCATGGAGCCTCGGAAACGCGACTTCTCCGCCTTGCTTACGGTGGGCGTCGTGGGCTCGTCGCGCACGAGGCCCAGCGAAAGCCGCTTCACCTTCTTCTGGGACGAGGCAGCCTGTCTCTCGGCCGCCTCCTCCTGTATCTTGGCTTGACGAGCCCGGCTTGCCACCGTATCTCGCGGAAGGGTGCTTGGCGTAGAAGCTAGCTTCGCGGGGCGCGCCTTGAACTCGCGCCTCTTGCGCTGCTCCTCTTCCTCGGCCCGCAGCTTGGCCTCCATTTCCTCCCTTTTGCGGCGGGAAATGGTATCTCCGGGCAGCTCAAAGGTAGGCTTGGAGGGACAGTTGTTGCTTCTCGGCTTTGGAGGGGCATCTAGCGCCTTTTGAGCTGCTGTATGATGCGCCTCGCGGGTGTCGCGACCAGCTTCCTTCAATCGTCGAGCTACAGCCTTACCTGGTAGCTCGTAACTGGGGATCGTGGGCGCTTTCGAAGACCGGAGGGAAGACTTGGCCACCGTCGCCAGGGTGTTTCCGGCCTTAGACATAAAGACACCGAGGCCCGACCGGTGGCTCGAGGATCCCTTGATGGGCTCCTCTGGGTTCTTCTCCCGTACCGTTAGAGATATAGATCGACGCGGTGGTGCGCTGACCTTTTCGGCAGGCTTGATGCGGACCGTGGCTGGCGTACATGCTGCCATTGATCTCTTCATTGCCCTCATTGCCTCCTCTGGACTTGGCTGGGATGCAACGGCCTTGGGTTGTGGAGTTCTCGTCGCCAGGGCCAGCTGCCGAGGACTCGTAAACTCGTTGAGTGCCTCAAGCTGGTCTTCGAGCCGATCCAGCTCCTCCAGCGAGTCTTCTATGCGCGGTAGAGAAAATGATGTGGCCCGTGACGAGCTTTCTCCAAAGCTTCTGTCGCTCACTGCGGTGAATGTTGGTGACACTGCACTTTCGACGGCTAGAACAATCTCGGGCACCTTCATGGGCGGCGTTCCCGGACAGCTGTTGTCGACCCAGGTGACGGAGTCGTCATCGCCGGCAATCCGAGGTTCGTGCATCTCCACGGTCCAATTGGCGCTGTACTGCAGCGGCGTGGCCAGTAAATAGTATGAATTGAGCGGGCACTCGCTGTCGCTATGCGGTCCCCTTTTCTTCTGCAAGACCAGGTTGCAGACGTAGACTTTGTCGTCCCCTCCGTGTTCAGCAGCGTATTCTTCCGAGGAGCTGTCGTGAATGGAAGAGTTATTGGACGGCAGATGGGTCATCAGCCATTCAAACTGGCCCGCCGAGTGTCTCTTGACTTGCTCCCAGAGAGAGCCCTCGGCAACCGTGTCCTTGAGGAGATCGTAGACTTCGGCAAAGCGCTCTAGCAGAGTGGCAAAGTATGTCAATGACTGGTTGCAAAGGAGGAAAAGAAGAGAGTAGGCGATTGCGAGCGACTGCCAACACACCTTGAGATGCACGAGTGGAGGGTGGCCCCGTGTTCTCATAATGGTGCTTGTTGATGAACGGATCAGATGCTTCTCGAACGCAATCGAGAGGCTGAAACGTCTCAGAATCAACGGCCGGTCGACGTCGCAATTTGGATGAAGCTTGTCTGGCTGCTCGATGGGGAGCCGAAGGAGTGGTCGTCATGGCATGTTTCTTCCGCCCGCTGGCCAAAGCAACATCTGATGGCCGGTAATGACCCTGGCCGTGACGTTGGCCCGGGCAGGGACCCTGGGCAACGCTATCACCCGCTAGATGCCGCTTGCGCGTGGTGATTTGCCTTGGCTTGAAATGAGGCGGCAGTTTTTCGAAAGTGTCACGAGAGCCGGCTGCCGGTGCCGCGGCTCGCTGAAAGATGTCTGCGCCAAAGCGGACGTCAAAGGTGCCTCCGTTGTGCACGGCGTCGAAGCCATCGCCCTCTGCCACCACCGAAGTCGCCATATTGCGTCGGCCCATTGTCTCAGTGGTTGCCTCGAGCGTATTGAGGGCGAAATTAGACTGAAAACTCCGCAAGCAGGGGGGGTTCTACCAGGTCCGATGGAAATGAATCGCCACGACTCCGTATCCAGAAGCGTAGCTAATTTCGCGGACAGCCCGGAATCCGTTGGTCGCCAGGCGCAAACGGGGGCCGGCTCCAGTTGTTCGCGAAGCCTTCTAGCTCGGGCTAATAGAGGTGTAATGAACCAAGTCTGCTGTGATGATGCTGATTTGGGGATAGCAGTAGTAGCGTAAGGCAAATGATCTCTGGGGTAATTCAGCTGCAGCTGCTCTGTGCCGTAGGATGCTATTTCGGAGCCAATGTTGATTGTGGGTGACGAGTTGCCATGGTCAAATGGTGGAGCCGAAACGAAATGAATCCGATCGCTTTGCACCTCCCTCCCTGCTGCGCCTTGGCCCGCGCTTCTTGCTTCGACCTTGCCGGCCCATCGTCATTTCGCCTTCCCAGAGTCGCCGTTCTTATCACTCCCTATCACACCCTGCCTTCGAGCATGGTTTCTTTTTGCAGTGGCGAGCGGCATCAGGGCCAGGGTCAGAGGCAGGTTCATCGCTGGAACCGCGGCATTCACCGGCGTTAAGGATGGGAAGTTGCCAGCCAGTCGGTATCCGTCCATCGTGCGTCGTACCCCGTCAGCGAATGACGGAGGTGGCCTCTTCTCCAGGTTTTCCGATCGTCAGCTCCATATGCTGGTATGGGAGGAGGGACATCCTCCAGGTTGAGATGCTTGCATGCCGGCAGGCCATGTCAACAAAAGTCAAGAGCTGCCTGTCAAGCTTGCAGCAGCAGTGGCGGCGGCATGCGTGCATTGATAGAATACGCGCCGTGGCTGCTGTGACGACGACCCTTGCTTGGTACATCCCCATAACAGCCCACTGATGCCAATGACCTCGTGACGAGGCTCCCAACCTAAGCATTCGCGCATAAGCAACCGGCATTACGCGGTGCTTCATAGGTAAGGTACTTCGGACCAGCAGTAAGTTCGATGCCTTCAAATGACGAGCGTCATGCTTGCCACCCTTAGCCTAGATATCTGACATCGACTCCTCGGTTGCTGCTTCTACCGCTTCGGCCTGCGCTTGCAATGTCGGTGCGTGCTCCGTAGGAATGCGAACCAGCGTTTGTGGCAGCGGTTCGATGCTTGTTGAAGCGTCTTCCGTGGCACCGCCAGCGGCTGTCTTTGCCAGTTTCGCTATGCTTTGGTTAGGTGGCTACACGTTGGTAGGAGAGGAACGATACCTAGACTTACATGAAGCCATGTTGATGGCACGTAGCACATTATGCCAGTTGCCAACCACAGCAGCAATCACTGCCCGTATCGTCAGCTCCAGACTCATGCAGGCGCATACAGTAGTTGATAACCAGTCTCTCTTACCCTCTGTTCCATCCGACAGAGTCGAGAGCTTCTGCTCCAGGGCCTCCATCTGAGTTGCCACGTTCGCGCTCAAGTCTCGCAGCTCCTTGAGGTTCTCAAGCTCTGCCTTTTTCTCCTCGATTCGGGCCACCAAGGCCGGTGACTGTGGAGCTGAAGCGCTGCTTGGTGCTCGGATATGCGATGAGAAGGATCTGGTGGGATACGACATGTTGCGTTATTGGGTGTACGTATAGCCCAGGCGACACTGTAGATGTAGTTCTTCAAGTAAGAAATCCGTGTTCAGTACCTATGGATCAAAATGAATTGGCAGGAGAAGCAAGTGTTTTGCCATCTCACAAATAGGATAGTACTATCATGAGCTTCACCAATAGAAAAGCATCGCGTTCTTTCCTGGGCTAATCGCGGGGGTCCTCCGAGAGCTACAGCTCACGTGCTTTTCGCCCTGGCAACCAGATTCCAGTTGTGTACAAAAATGGTCCTGCATCCTGACAGTAAGAACCGCGCTAGGCCCAAACCGGTCGCGGAGTAAATAATGACACAATCAAAATTATCCCGCCTGAAAGGACCTCCTGCAGACCGACTTGTCAACCATTTTCGACACCTAGAAAAGCACCTCAGACGACCTGAAGGACAGACTCTCCCTCGCCAGGATTTGCGCCGCGGACTCGCGCGTCTTGTGAGCAGCCATGGCCAGGCTCAATGAAGTGCCGGTGCCGACAGAGAGCCTCGAAACGCGTATGTGGCCTCGGGCATCAAAAATCTGACTCTGCCGCGTGTTTGCTAACAAACATGCGCCCTTTGTGTGCCGTTCAGTCCGCAAAAAGATGCTTCGCCAGAATAGAGAACTCGCAAAGACAAACAACATCCGAGCTCTTCGCATCCGAGAATTGGAAAACGAATGCGCCTGCATGCTCTCCGAGAATCTCGAGCTCCGCAGTCGCATCCTGGAACTGGAGAAGCAAGTCGAGGACAATGAGGCGCGGAGGATAGCCGATCACGCGATGGCCATCAAGGCCAAGCTGGAAGCGCAGCTCACGGAATGGGGCACCCTCATTGCTGGACTGGGCCTGGAGCCGCCCGCGAAGAGGCACTCTCCCATGATTAGGCGGAGGGCGAAACAAACAATGAGCTTCAGCGCGAGTCGGCCCAGTCCATCCCAAAGGCGGTTACGCGACATTGCGAGAGAGATTGAGGAACTAGGCCACATTCCCGAAGCTAGGGGCAATTCTCGGAGGTCAATGAAGTACGGCTGCTTACTATCTGTTACAGCTATTTATTTGCTGACAGACACACAGTCCTGAACAAATCATGGCACTCCGATCAGAAGCCGATATAGAGGCCGAATCGCCCGAACTGGGCCCTCCACCAATGTCTAAATACATTGAGGAAGAGCCGGTAAAGGTTGACTCTCCAAGCAGATCAAGGCCAGTCGCATCAAGCGATGACACCTTGAAGAGTGGTGCAAAGACCAGGAGGCTGGAGCCACCAATCGCTCTGACGTCGTCGAGACCATATATCGATGGCCGTGCCCCATCTGTGATTGTAGAAGCTGATGAACAGGAAGGCCGTGAAGAGCTGGCGACAGGAGAGAGGCGCGAACGAGCGCATAAGCCCAGGAGCACTGTCGAGACTGCGCCGGAGCAGCCCATTAAGGCCGGGTCAAAACGGAAATTTGAAGCTCGAGACGACAGCGAAAACATACAGCCCCAGAAGACAACGGATGAGAACAGCCTTGAAAAGGGAGCGGCTGGAAAGTCGCTGCTTCCTGACAAGGGCAATTTGAGGACCGCGAGGGACTTTGCCAAGATGAGGAAGAAGTCGCAGCTGGAGCTCTCAGAAAATGTTCGGAAGCCGTTGGCAGCAAAGTGTACGAACGACGACATCATCAACTCTCCGAAGAAACTTTTAAAGACGAAGCCCTCAGTGGATGATGAGATAGCAACAGCAAAGCTCAACGCAGCGAAACCGAAGGCGCCAGTTGGTCGACCGAGACTAAAGCCGAAGAACCCCTTGCCTGCTGTGACCGAAGCTGTTCCTGTTCTCACTATTGAGCCTCAGGAGACGATTGTTGAGGTGTGTGACTTGGCGGCGCCTATCAGAGAACCAGCACTGTTATTGCCGAGTTCTCCGGTTACCACTGATGGGCCGGAGGGCTCTCGTGTTGGGGACACGCCTCCTCCCGCTGATATCTCGTCCAATGGAGAAACTTCGCGGCCTAGCAGGCGGAATCGGACGACTATCAGCTATACCGAGCCCAACCTGCGAGCAAAAATGCGACGGCCTACTAAAGAGTTGTTTGATGCGGTGACAGGAGAAGGAAAATATGCTCGGCGCGTCAGCAACTACGATCCCGCCATGCCTGAGTCGACCAAGAGCAGACGAGAGACGACAATCTCGGACATTGCGGGAGTGACGGAAGAAAAAAATCATCTGGCCAGCCCTTTGGCGGCGAAGGATCTGAATACAGGCATCTTCCTCGGCAGCGTCGTGACCGAGCGGCGCAAACGCTCGTCGAGCATAGCACCGAAGGCGATGGGGGTAGCGAGCGGCAGCCTAATGGACGTGGACTCCTCCGAAAGCAGCAAGGATGCTAGCATCAGCCTCGACAGCAGTGGCCTGGCAGAGGGCGACGTTTATGAGTTTACGAGCGAGTCACCACCGCCTCCACCCGAGAAGGAAGAAGTCAAAGAGCCGAAGAAGCGAGGTCGAAGACGGACAACTACGTCCAGGCAATCTTCCCTGGCTCCCGACGATGATTATGAAGACGGGCTATTAGCCAGAGAGAGGATAGGCTCCAGACGAAGGAGCATGATGATATGATAATCGTCCAGAAGCGACAAAGGTGCAGAGGGGCGAGCAACAACATGGTGTTTCTGGCAATGGATATGCTTGGGCGTTTCTGGATTATTACGACTGTCGTTTTGGGATGCATTTCTAGGCGAACTCGAACCTTGTTTCATGCTCGAGATACCAAGCGATGGCGATTTTTGAATGATATTGAATTTATCGTTATGGCCCTCTTTTGCCTTGACTATCTTGTAACAAGTCCCTGTCCAGCTGAGAGGGAGATTTCTTACACCGCGCTAAGTTGAGAGCTTTCCTCTCGACTTGTCCCCATCTCTTGGAAACTGTGTGCCTGTACACCGACAAGCGCTACAGTCTTTCGTGTGATTAGGTCGGCGAGCGTGGTGGCTTCGTTCCGACTCTGCCGTTGCTAAACGCAATGACTTCTGTCAAGGCTGCGCGGTCCTCTGTCTACTCCATTCATGTATGTCATGATGAGCCCGTCGTTGGCTCCACGGGCTTTGTATAAGTAACCTTCTCTACTGCCACATTTTCGTTGCCTTTCTCATCCGTCCTCAATTGGTAAACATAGAGCGTCAATGAGATGCCTTGGACCTGTGACAAAGTAAGTTCCACTGCCAGCGCGATTTTAACATGCCACGGCGTATCTCACATCCATCAAACAGAAGCTCGGCGTCGGAGCCTCCGCATTCAAGCTCGCCCCCGGCAGAAACGCTCCCGTGGCGCTTCCCGGGTTGACAAAGAACTTGTCCATGTACTCGAACGCATCGAAACGGTGGGTGCCGCCCCAGCACAGGACGTCGACGTCCAGCCGGTTCGCCTCGGCAAGCAACAGGTCGGGCTCGTTGGAAACAAGAGTGAAGCCCTCGAGGAAGCCGATGCGGATGCCGCCGTGGGTGACGACCTGCGTCAGGGGAAGAGACGTGGCTTCGACATCGGTGCGGCCCTTGACGATCTTGAGGTCCGGTGACAGGGAGCGGAGGTACTCGTAGGTGTGCTTGTCGGTGAGGTTGCCGAGACACAGCGTCTGGCCAATCTTACCCGGCGCGAGCAGCTTCTTGAACTACAACCCATCCAAGCAGAGCAGTCAGCCAAAACCAGCCCCGGTGACAACATCGTCTTTCTCTAGGCCCCTCTAGGGTAAAAGGCCATAGCTCCTCATGCGGTTCTCCAGCGTACCTTGGCGGGAATGTCCAGCGCCCTGTCCGGGATGTGCAGGTCCCCAATCACGAGAATGAGGAACGTCATGGTTCCTCGCCCGAGGCTGCGAAGTCGGTGGTCCGGAGCGGGAAGTTGGAACACTTTTGGGGAGCTGCTGGCGAACCAATGACTTCAGCTTGGAGCGAGGCTTGGAGGGGCGCGCAGGTACATACGTCGACAGCTCGGATACAGTAATGGCGAGGTCCGTCCAAGTGCTGGATATTGGCATAACGGTGCCCCCCCAGCCACAGCTCCACTTGGCCCGCAAGCCACAGACGGCATTCTGTAGCTTATCGGCTTATCGTTATCGGCTGGCGGGGACTGGCGATAAGGAATTTTTTGTGCCTTTTGCGCTTGGGTTCCTGCATTTGCCTCGAATTTTTGCAGCCGGCGATGCGGACGGTTTCTGCTCACGCCTAGAGGTTTGGACGATACCGACAGCAAAGATGGCGACTCCGACTCCGACTCTGGCTGAGAAGCTGGACAAGATCAAGTCCCCGGGCCTTCAGAGTCAGCAGAAGGTAACAAAGCATCCACGAGTCTCTCCTCGACTTACACGGCCTCTCTCTGGACGTCTGAAATGCTGATATTCTTGCGTTAGACTGTCGTTGTCTTGCAGGCGGTCGAATCAACACTGAAAGAGCAGAACACGCCTCCGACCCCCACTGGATATTTTGCCGCTCTCCTCGCTCTTCTCCAGCAGGCAGAGAACAATGGCAGCGTCAACATCGAATTGGCCACTCCCGTGGTCTATCTTCTCGACGTGGTCACCCCGTTCGCTCCGCAAGCCTTGCTCCGATCCAAGTTCACCCAGATCCTTACGCTGCTTGCGCCAGTTCTGTTGGCGCAAGATGCGGAACCAATCCTGCTGAGAACCTCAATTGGATGTCTGGAGTCCCTTCTTTTGGCTCAGGATGCCGCTTCTTGGGAGTTGTCTGTCACCCAGATCGGACCGCGACGTGCCGTTGCTGGTCTGCTGAACTTGGCCCTGGATCAGAGGCCCAAGGTGCGAAGACGAGCCCAAGATGCGCTCAAGAAGGTGCTGAAAAATCCACCTCCCACCCCGTCTCTGGACCACCCGGCCGCGGACATGTGCGCCCACACCGCGCTGAAGAACCTGGAGGACCTGGCCGCCCAGGCTGTGCAGGCACGAAAGGGCAAGAAGGCGCCCAGCACGACACACGACCCGGCATTGATCCACGCCCTTCAGCTGATCAAGACAGTTGCCTCCGCGAGCGGTGGCTGGCCGAGCACCAAGATCGAATCTCTCTGCGAGCTCCTCCTCAACATTGCCAAGACGGGCAATGAGTACATGACCATGGCGGCCTTTGAGATTTTCGAGTTGATCTTTGAAGGAATGACGGACGAACTCACTTCAGCAAAGCTCCCTCGCTTGATGGAAATCATTTCCGAGCTGCGACCGGCTGCGAACGATACTTCACTTGTCCCTCCGTGGCTTGCGATTCTCTCTCGAGGATACGATGTGTCGGCGCAGGTCGAACCCGACGAAACTTTCCAAAACCTCCCGGAGCTCTTCACCATGGTGGCGCAGTTCCTCCAGTCTGACTCTGAGAACATTCGAATCTCAGCTTCCGAGTGTCTGGTGTCATTCATGGCGAACTGCATCCCGCCGCGTGTGATTGTTGAGCCTTCAATATACGATGAGAAGGTCCTGGATAAGATCGCAAAAGCCGCCGAGTCTCTGCTCAGCGTTCAGTACCAAGCCGCTTGGCTGCAGACCTTCAACGTGCTGGAGGCCATCTTCACCGCCCTGCGATGGAGGGCAAACCCGATCATGCTCAACGTCACCCGCACTATCGGGGAGATTCGAGAAAACCCGTCTTTCCGCAACAAGAAGGAGGCGGATGAGGTTCTGGGCCAGGCCGTTCGAGCCATGGGCCCCGAGGCAGTCCTCTCCATTCTCCCCCTAAACATCATCAAGCCGGTCAAGGGCCAGGCCGGACGAGCATGGCTGTTCCCGATTCTCCGAGACTACACTAGCAACACAAACCTGGCCCACTTCAAGAGCGAGATGGTGCCTCTCAGCGAAGTCATGTTCCAGAAGGTCTTGGACCATGGCGAAGCCGAGAAGACGATGGAGATCAAGATCTACGAGACGCTGGTGCAGCAAATCTGGTCTACTCTGCCGGGTTACTGCGACTTGCCCCTCGATCTGATGGAGTCTTTCGACCAGGCTTTCGCCGAGATTCTGGCTAACCTTCTTTACAAGCAAGTCGACTTGAGGCTGGATATCTGCCGAGCTCTGAGGACCTTGATCGAATCCAATCAAGCTATTGCGAACATTGAGGAGGAGGAAGATGATCTTCTTTTGCAAAGCCGGGTGACCAAGGATGCCGCTCGCAAGAACCTGGCTTATCTTGGCCAGTTTGCCGGCAACATGCTCGCTGTCCTGTTCAACGTCTACACCCAGACCCTGCCTCAGAGCCGAGGCCCCATTCTCCAGACCGTGAATGCTTTCCTCAGCATCACCCCTAGCCAGGAGCTCATGGCAACGTTTGAGCGTGTCAGCCAGATGCTTGCTGGAGAGCTCCAAAACGCGCCAGCTCCAGAGAAGAAGGCTCAGGGGCAAAAGTCCCAGGATCACATGCCATCCACCGCACAGACTCTCATGGATCTCGTCATCACAATCTCGGCGTACCTCCCACGCGAGAGCTTTGCTGCTCTGTTTGAGATTGCCACAGTCATCATCAACAGAGAAGAAGAGCCCCAGCTGCAGAAGAAGGCTTACAAGCTGATACCCCGACTGGCAACTTCCGAGCTCGGCAAGGCTGCTCTGAAAGAGCGCAATGCCGAGTTGCAGACTCTCATCCTCTCCAGCTCGGAGAAGGTGTCCGCCCCAGCCAGACGTGAGCGAATTGCCGCCATCGCTGCGCTGTTGCCCTTTATCCCCGACGACTGTCTTCACTTCATCCCCTCTGTGCTGAGTGAGATTGTCATCTGCTGCAAGGAGAACAACGAGCGAGCGCGTGAAAGCGCATACGACCTGCTGGTTCAGATGGGACACAAGATGGCCGCGGCTAACGGCGCCGTCATCGACAACAGCAAGGTGCCTCACATGCCCAGCGACGCGCCGCCCGCCACGGCCAGCATCGAGGAGTTCTTCACCATGGTGAGCGCCGGTCTGGCGGGAAGCACCCCCCACATGATCTCCGCCTCCGTCACCGCCATCAGCCGCCTCCTCTACGAATTCCGGTCATCGCTGAGCGACCAGACCCTGTCCGACCTGGTGCAGACCATGGATCTCTTCCTGACCTCGAACAACCGCGAGATCGTCAAGAGCTGCCTGGGCTTCGTCAAAGTCTGCGTCATCAGCCTGCCGGTCGAGCTGATGATGCCGCGCCTGGACACGCTCGTGCCCAACCTCATCATCTGGAGCAACGAGCACAAGGGTCACTTCAAGGCCAAGGTCAAGCACATCCTCGAGCGCATGGTCCGCCGCTTCGGCTTCGACGCCATCAACAAGAGCTGCCCCGAGTCCGACAGGAAACTCCTCGCCAACATCCGCAAGACCAAGGAGCGCGCCAAGAGAAAGAAGGACGCCTCCAAGAGCGCCCACGACGACGACGACGCCAGCGACGATGACGATGAGCACGACGGCAAGCGGCAGTACGAAAACGAGTACGACCGCGCCCTGTACAGCAGCGACTCAGACGACTCCGCGGCCTCAGACGACGAAGACAACGCCCAGAAGCCCAGGAAGAAGGCTCAAAAGGGCGGCAAGACGTACATTGTCGAAGACGACGACGAACCCCTCGACCTCCTCGACAAGAAGGCCCTCGCCAGGATATCAACCACCAAGCCCGTCAAGCTGCGCAAGCCGCAAAAGACAAAAGCAAAGACGGACCTCGACGGCAAGCTCATCCTCGGCAAGGACAGCGACGACGACGAGGACGGCATGGACGTCGACCAGCCCGCCGGAGGCGAGGACTCGGGCGTCGGCGCGTACGTCGCCGCCATCAAGGGCCGCGACGCCGGCAAGCGCGGCCGCGGCGGCAAGCTCAAGTTCTCCAACAGGCGCTCCAAGGACGGCGACGACGGCGACGAGATGGACGACGACACTGCCGTGGCCGTCAAGAACGGCATCAGCCCCGGCCGCGATCGCGGTGGCCGAGGCCGTGCCGGAAACGGGCGAGGCGGCCCGATGCGTGGCGGACGGGGAGGAGGCCGCGGGGGAAACTCCTTTGGGGGAGGAGGCGGCGCGAGGAGCGGAAAGGGCGGCATCGCGGCTGGTCGGAGGGGACTCGGCTCGGAGAAGAGACATGGCCCGCCGATGGGTGCGGGAGTGGGCAAGGGGAAGAGGGGGGGCCGAAACTAGTTGCTTTTGTGGGAGGAAAGAAAGAAAGAAAGAAAGAATAGAAGAGAGTCATGTCCTTGGTTGGAGAAGGGAAAAGATAACATGGCATGAGTTGGGGTTGAAATAGTAGTAGCCATCGTATGCATCAGGTGAATACCCACGAGTCATCAAAAGGAGGCGGGAGAGCTACGAGTTCACTTTTCATGTGAGCATATGTGGGTTGCATGGTCACTTTGCGTATATTCTTTAGAAAATACATTTTTGTTTGTTCGAGTGCTTGCTTATATTGTGACAACAAGACATACTCAACTACCTCACCAAACGTGGTATAGTCATCCATTCTCGTCTTGCCACAAAAGCCCTTCTGTAGCGGAGAATGCATCATGTCATGTAATCGTGCATGTCCATACATACAAGTTTGTCCCGGGCCACCCGGTGCTTCAGACCAACAATGACAGAATACACGGAATAAGTCTCCCTCCCTTTGGGTATCTAACGCGGTGCTTCTCCGTGGCCAAATCCGGCCGTAGGACAGCGTTGGGGTATAATAACATAATTTCCATCAAACAGAATCCCTCCTTACCATGCCCCTTCATCTCCTATCCCGAATGCGGGAAAGGAACGAAAAGAAAACAAGAGAGCATGACTTTCTCTCTCTGAGCAGGCTCTTCGTCATTAGATGCTGTGCAATGCTCGGTGCTCGAAAGTTCATACAATGAAGAAACAAAGAACAGAGGGCAAGCTGACATGCCGTCCAAGACCAGGTAAAACCAACATGATCTAGTCGATAACAATTACGTTCGACGTTGGGTGACCGACGTTTCGGGTTTCTCGCCTGGCCTCGTATCGTTCGTCTACCCCAACAGCGCGCGAGCTGACAGGCCGATAGACGGGCTCGAGCTGAGGTCGCGGGGCTTGCCGGTCGCCATGTTGTCGTCTGATGTGAATTAGTATCGGAGCAAAGCGATACACAGCGCTGTATGACTTACATGACCCAATAGCCCTCTGGTGGTGGTGCAGCATACTGTTCGCCGGGCACTTGCCGGGCCGGTGGAACTCTATAGTCCGACTCTCTCTCCAGCGATCCGAACCTCGGTGCCTCGTAGTAGTTGCGAGAAGGATAGGGGTAAGTCATGGGTGCATGTGGTGCGTTGGGCGGACGGGTGCGGGGGTCGAGTCGAGCATCGATCTCAATTTCTGCAACGCCGCGCCGTTCGCCTCTCTGCCTCATGCGTTCTCCCCAGGAGAGCATCGTCGTGGGAGATCTGTTGATACCCTGGGCCTCAGCCTGTGCTTGTGACTGGGACGGGTGGCTGGCTCGCAGTTGAATGCGCGAGCTGCGCTCCGGTAGATGATTGATCCTTTCATAGTATCCGCCCCTGTCCTCCATGAGGATGGGGTTTGACCGCTCTCCGGGACGGGTTGCGTTGAGAACAATCCTGCGTGACTCCGGAAGCCTGGTAGAGTTGCCAGTTACCGGATGATACGGTGATGATGCTGGCTGTGCTCCATAGTCAGTGGAAGGCGGGTATATGTGACCCCGAAAATCATGCGAATGGACGGATTCTCTACTGGGAACAGCATCGATGTCCATGGCAGCTTGCGGCCGGATAGAGCTGGCAGTTGCACGTGTAGAAAAGGGAAAGTCCATGGATTGCATTCCTTCTCCTGGATATGGAACAAGCTTGGCAGCATGTTGAAAGCCGACTGATGGTGTCGCCGGCGGTGCATAAGTACTGACAGCAAACTGACTCCGGGGAGGTAAGGTGCGTATGTATGTGGGTTGCACGCTTGGAGATGCCGGCTCGATGGAGCGCACCAACACGTCCTGGAATTGACCAGAGGCCAAAGAGGCCGGCTCGCGAGAAGAGGTGCTGCTGGGGAATGGAACGACAGACATTACCTTTTCATGTGAAGTCCGAGCATCGAGGGGTTGACCACGGTAGGGTGATGAAACCAGGGAAGACGACACCTCGTAGAATGGCTGCTGAATCCCATTGCCATTCAAGCTTGTGGAAGCTCCAGGGGCTCCACCGGGATGAACCATTGGACCTGCGTTGTCATACAGCCGGGCATGAGCGTCATAAGAAGGCCCATTGGGCTTGGATGGTTGATATGCGTCACCACCAATAGCGACATCCGGGGAGGGTCGCTCAACCAATGGCGTTTCCCCTCGATTACGTCTGATCGCCTCTTCCCACGCGCGGTATCTTCTGAAACCCCGCTGGGCTCTCCTATCCTCTCTGTGGCAACGGTCCGTGTGCCTCGATTCCACCACGCTGGGAGGACAAGAAAACACCGGAGCGAAATCTCGCGTGGGCGACCTGGGAGGGGAGCGATCTGGCTGATCCATGGGACGACGCAACGGCTGTGCTGACTGATACTCGGGCATGGGTGTGAGCCCGGCATCGTCAGCAGCATCTTCCTCCGACGTGAAATCGGTCGACTCCTCGTCTTCGTCTTCATCGTCCTCATTGTCATCGTCCTCAGAATCAGAGATGACTACCACCTCACGCAGAATCTCATCCAGCTGGTCGCGGCCGGTTTCCTCATCTCCCCGCCACTTGACGAGGATGTCGAGACACAGCGACTCTACAGTTTTGCGAGCGTTCTGCCAAGTTGTCTCCTTCAGCAGCGCGTCATACCGCGTATGGACATGCCTGATGTGGGCAAGAACGGCCAGCTGAACCCTGCGAGAAAGGGTCAAGTCCTGAGAAAAGCCAACAAGATTTTTTTCGGACCGATCGTTTGATCCCTAAGAAAGACATTATTGTTCGCCATAGGTCTTTATATATTGTGTGGGGGGGGGGGGGGAAACGGGGAAAGAAAGGAGAGGAGACAAACCCGAGTGAAAGAGTGCTCGATAATCATCTGACGGTCAGTATTGGGAACCCGCGGAAACAGGTCTCTAATGGCGGCATCAACTTGAGCGTGATAAACCGCTTGGGACTTGGGGATGGGCTCAGGGCCTGCATCTGTTACCGGGCCCAGACGGTGAGGCATATCGCCAAGGCTTGCCTTGGCCTCTTCAACAATGACTTGCCTGATATGATGGCCTATTCGATGCATCTGGTGGGCAAGAACATTTCCATCAGAACATTTGGCATTCTAAAAGTCCTTGGTTAGAACAAACGAATCCCATCAAGATATGGCCCAAAGGCTTCGACACACCGAAACAATGAAGATCATGGCATCTTTCTCGCGGGATAGTTCTTTGCAGGCCGCCGTCAGCTCGGGGTTGCCGATGGGGACAAATTCGAATCCCGGTGGCGGGGTGCTCTCCGTTGTGACCTGACATGGTGAGTGAGCGCCTTTCAGCAAGGATCAACAGCGAAGAGATGGTTATGATCCCGTGGCATCCAACGTCGGCGTACCTGATACTCGAGCTTCTTCTTCTTCTCCTTGTTCTCAACTAGCTCGAAGTAAGAGTGGTGCTTTGACTTTGGTATCGGCGGCTTGGCGACAAGATTATCACGAGGCGGCGAGTAGGGATCACGATACTGGGATCTCTGCGATCTCTTGTGCCGCTCCTTGGGTCCAGATGCGGCCCCTGGGACCAGGGCTCGTCGTGTTCTTCCCATGTTCAGCGGCTATCAGACGAGCATATCATGACACGACGTTCATCCAGGATATTGGGAGCAGGGTTAGCATGACAGAGAGGCACAGTTCATCGGCTCGACACGCGGTCAAGGTTGCATTCACGAGCCGACGAGATCCTGCCTGCAGTTCTCAATCAACAGGGCCGCTGCAGAAACGTGAGGCGCCCTTTTTCTTTGGCTCAGGAAAATGCAACGCAAGGAAACAAATCAAGAACAGAGGCTTGGGTCCGGCGCGGCTGGACGAGAAGAGCCTGAACGGCTGGTCTTTGGTCTCTGTCGAGGTTGCCCGATGCCAGCGAGCGAGAAGCGGGCTGAGGCAAACTGGAGCAGCCGCGTTCAGAGGCTCTGGCCTGAAGCTGGTTGGGCTTCGACTGATGAGGCGCTGGAAGCTGGAAGCTGGCAAGATGCGTGATCCAGTGGCAGTTTGGACGCGAGATACTCTCATGATTTTGGGCACCTTGATGCGTTTTATTACATAATCACGTGAAGTGCTGGAACAATGATATTGCCCTTTCCGACGAGCGTTCGCAGAAACGGCGGGGCAAGAGGCGACCAAGCGGCAAGTTGGGGGATGGAAGGAGGGCCTACTATTGATGATACCTACCTTCCATTGTTAATGAGACACCGCAGCCTCATATTATTATTGTTCAGCTGCAGAAAACCACCTGATTCAATTTGGGGGGCTATTGACGCATGATATGGAAGACGATCTGATGGAGCTGGATGCAAATCAGGGGGACCCAGTGACATGAATGAATCGCAGTGATGATTCCACAGTATGTATGTACATAGAACACGAAACTACAGCAAATGCTCGCCAGTCAGTCATTTCCCAAAAAGGACAACGATTCAAGGCGCCGGCATCTCGGTCCTTGAGCAAGCTGCGGATGGTTATGTCAGAGGCAAATGTTTGGCTGAATGATCCGCACACCACTTGGGATTGGCACAGCCACAGAACAGCTAGCCGAGGAATGATTGGATCAGCAGTGATTCCAAGACTGACCGAGTACAGTAAGGCATTGAGGAGGTATTACTAGTTGAAGACGGGACGCTTTGAGGGTGGACAGGTATGGAGATGCAACGGCGAACGGCAATGGACGGCCTGCTTCAATGGCCAAACAAACAGCTCTACCATGAAACCAACGCTGCTCCACGGTCTCGGCGGAACCACATCGCCTTTCGAGAAATTTACTCGTTAGAGGTAGACTGCATCATCATTGGACACTGTGAATATCGTACTTTGCACTTCCTTCCCTGTAAAAATGCATGATACATGGGAGTCAAAAATAGAAGCATCGCACGCGTTATGCCGCATAGCCTTGAGAGCCTTGGACAGTTTCAGCTGGACAGGTAGCCAGAGGAATGCTGAATCAGGGCTTTGACATTGGAACATGCTCACCAGGGCAGCAGCGGCCAGGCATTCACTCATTGATTGACGAGTTCAAGTCGAGAAAGCCGTCTACTAATACAAGACTGCAGACGAGGCACTCCGCCCAGTGGGAACTTGAGAAGCAGCAAGCTCACTGCCGACTCAGCCGCTACCCAGCCGGCAAGACGGCATGTCAATCACGGACAGCCAAGAGGAGGATTCAGACGGTGGTGGCAGGATGCAAGACCTGGCCATCGATGCGGAGCGGTGCTGGTACTTCGTACATGCCAATGCTTGGTTCGGTCTGGATGCTGTTACGTGGGCGGCGACCTCAGCCACAGTCGAAACCTGAAAACTGAGCGGTGGGAGAAATTGCTTCGACTTGGACCAGGCCTTGGCATTGTGACGAGGTGCGGCCTCAGGGTGACACCAGCGACCTTGGTTGGAAGAGCTCGAGACCCGACACCAGTGGCTCTTCAGCTCATGAAACCTAAGCTCTCATGATGAGACAGACGAGCATGTTGAGCAGATCTTGTTTCGCAATTTTTAATGGAGCCACGACTCGGCTCGCCTCATGGAAACCAGCCAAGGCAATGCTCGACAGGAGAACGAGTTCTCGCAGAAGGGGAAAATGGCCGGCATGAGCCAATCAGGGGAGCAGCGAATCGCCTCGCCAGGGACGATTGCCAGCCAATGAAGAGAAGCTCGCGGTGAAACACTGCCACCACCATCAAATCTCAACCAACGAGCGTCGGACGAGTTGGCGAGAACGAGAGCGACCATATCACGTGAGGCTTGGTTGACTCAGCAAGTCGGAGACCGAGGAGTCCATCCATCAGGATTTCGGTGCCGGTGCGAATGCTAATACCAGGTGGTTTGGATTGTGGGAAAGGGCTGCACAGCCACCAGGCCGGTGGGGAGACGGTCTGCCGAGTATTGAGGGCGACTTGGGCGCGACAAGAAATCTCTTGGAGATGCTGTGTGGCAGCTAGAGGGACATGAAGTACCGTCAAAGTAGAGCCTTGGATTTATGCTAGCCTCCTCGAGGAATGATTACGCACCGTCGGGCAGTTGAGCAGCCCGAAGGAGCGGAACAAGCTCGTTGCTCGTGCGATTATAAGGAGACTTTAACTAACACTACGATAATATTATCTGTAGATAGTCCTACAAATAATACGACCTATTGGGCTTTTGTTTGGGGATGGCTAGGGGTCTGGGTTGCAAGCGAAAGCGATGCAGCCACGGAGCCGGAGATGGAGCATTTGCACGTGGGTGACCATGTGCAGACTTCATGGCCGTGGGCCGGTTGTGGTACAGTATTGAACGCGGAGGATGGATCAGCCAGATCAGCCATATCCAGCGCCGTGTGTGTCGTTCTTTGCGCTTCCATCGAGCTGGTAGTCGTCGTAGTGATAGCATCACAATCGCCGTCTTCTTTCTGTCGTGATTGACAGCTTCCTCCCATGCGCGCGCTCGCTCGCTCGCTCTGGCGTCGTGGCTGCTTCGTCGGTTCGTTTCGTCAGCCCTGCGCATCTCCGAGCCTTTTGGCTGGCCGTTCGGTTGGCGCACCCGGGCCGGACATGGCTTTATCAGGAATGAGCTCGCGGGCGTCGAGAGCAGCAGAGACGGGGAGTGGCCGGAGCAGCAGCGAGTGGACCGCGGCAGGGCAGGCAGGCGTCGTCATCGCCCGCGGCCAAGGAGCGGGTTTGCGGGTGTCAGAGAGGAGCAGAGCAAGCAGAGGAGCAGAGGCTGCAAAAGATCCATCGCGCACTTGGGCCCAAAGCGGCCAAAGGCCTGCGCCTAGTGGTTGCGCCGTGGTGGCCGCTCACTGCATTAAATGCCCAGGGACACAAAGGCTTACGCGTCCACTGCCCGCACCCCCGCCGTATCCCTGCACTGCCAGCCGCCAAGGGGCCTCCGCGCATCCCCTAAACCCGCCCCAGCTGTGCTCAATGCTGGTAATGGGTCGGGCGTCTTCCAGGCGACGGACGGGCCTGTGCCAGCGCCTGTGCCTCGCCTGTGCCTGCTGGAGAAGTGCTCCAGTGCTGTGCTGTAACTGTACTGTAGCAGGGGAGCGCTAGCGAGGCGCCCCGGCCGAACATTGATCCCCAACCTCGAGGCACCAGCCCAGCCCGCCCATCCATAATATCGCCTCTCCCCCAAATCTGCTCCATCCCCATCGTCCGACACCTGGACTCTCTCTCTCTCTCGACTCTCCCTCCCGCATCCTCCCTGCATCTCCGTCTTGTCATCAACCAGCATCTCTCATTCCATCATTTGCATGAAGCGCGCTTCCACTCTTCACATCATCTGCTAAACCCAGCAAAGCCCTCACCATCGCCTCGAGCCGACCACGACCGCGCTTCCGCCGGCTCATCCGCCATCATGTCGGACAACAACGTTGACCTCGATTCTCTGCTCGATCTGTCCGCGTACGATGGCATGCCCAGCTTTGGCTCGCCCTCGCTGTCGCCATCCATGTCGCCGTCCTCCTCGTCCAAGCCCATCTTCGCCAGCCCAGTCACTGCCGCCGTCACGACGCCCAGCGTGATGACGACCCAGAGCCTGAGCGGGCCGAGCCACAACTACGACATGTACCGCCAGCAGACGGGCTTCGTGCCTGGCGCCATCGCCAATACGATGGCCGTCAACGAGTCGGGCAACCTCGGATACCAAGATTTCGGAAGCCTCGACTTCCTTACCAACGAAAGCGAAATGTTCGACTTCAACGTGTCGCCCTCGCAGAGCACCATGGGACCCTCGGAGGCGCTCGACTTTGCGTCGCCGCCCAACACCCAGCTCTTTGCGACCATCAACCCCAGCAACATTGAGCAGGGCTCATCCAACGTCTCTCCCTCCTCCACGAGCCAAACGAGCACCGTCGGCCGTCTGTGGCCCGGCGCACACTCCCAGGCTGCCATGGCGAAGGCCCATGCCCAGCAGAGGCAGCAACAGCACATGATGCAGCAGCAGCAGGTGCAGCGCCAGCCCGGTCAGCCCGCCCAGCAGAAGCCTCGCGCAAAGGTGCCGCCAAAGACGGACCCCATTGTCGAGCAGAAGATCAGCCAGCTGCTTCAGAAGATGCGGGCCCAGCCTGCGTCTCCGCCCTCCGACAGCTCCACGCCCTCGGCCCACCTGGCCAAGGCCAAGAAGGATGAGGAAGAAATGGACGAGGACGAGCGCCTCCTGGCTAGTGAGGAGGGCAAGAAGCTCAGCAGCAAGGAGCGCAGACAGCTTCGCAACAAGGTCTCAGCCCGAGCTTTCCGCTCAAGAAGAAAAGGTAAGATATTTCCACTGTTCGAAAATGGCCAACACGATGCAGTCATACTGACAAGGTCGCAGAATACATTACGCAGCTTGAAGCCGAAGTCTCCAGCAAAGTCACAGAAAACAATGACCTGCGTGCGCAGAACCGTGCCCTCCTCGAGGAGAACGAGCGCCTGTCTGGCCTGACTCGCATGCTTCTCGCGTCTCCTTCATTCTCCAGCTTCCTGGACAAGCTGAGCTCAGAATCATCCGTGGCTGCCCAGCCGCAGGTCAAGGCGGAGCCGCAACAGTCACCAGAGCAGCGAGCTGTCAAGGACGTCAACCCGTTTGGCTCCCAGGCTTCTCAGCAGCAGATTGGCATGGCCATGCTCCCTGAACAGAACCTCGACTTCTCCATGTTCAATGCCGTCGACCCGTTCTACCAGCCTCAGGTGTTCGTCGTCGAGACTACGGAGGTGCCCTCGTCTATCGAGTCCTCCATCCTGTCGGGCAAGACGTGCAGCTTTGTCGAGCAGGCCTTCCAGTCTGACGACGACAAGGTTGAGGTTCCCACCATTGAGCGACCGGTCGAGAAGGCCCCTGTCGCCAAGGCGGAGTCTGCACCCGTCGACGAGGAGTTTGAGGCTGATCCCGAGTTTGCCCTCTTCCACACCGAGTCTGCCTCATCCTGCCCCATATCTAATGACCTGGACACCGAAAGCCTCTCACATGTCGACATCTTTGGCGGTATTGAGCCCGAGAAGATGCTGTCAAGGATCGAGCTCGTCAACGCTACCGAAGAGGAATACACTGCCGCCTTCGCCATGGCCCGCGTACAAAGCATCAGCGCCAGCATAGGGTCAGTAGTATCAAGATTAGAGCTCTTGACTAGGGACCTCTAAAGAGCAGACACCCGGCTACGGAATGGCTCTTTAGATCTGCGACTTTTGCTTTCATTTGTATCTTTCCTCGTGGCCCTCCTTTACAACAGCAGGGCCGACATGTACAGGGCAAGGAACCGGGTAGCGGAAACGGCGCGTTGGGTTTTTTTTTTAACTTGATTTTCTTGCTTGGGATTTACATTTTTGGGACACATTGGGATTGCGACCATATTCATGGGACTGGCTTGAAGTTGCCTCTCTCCTTACTTACTGTGTATGATTCGGATTAGAGTGGAAGTGAACATAAAAACAATGCACAAGTTATTTATTCCGCTCATTAGCTCGATTAATTCTTGATGACTGTTTGACAGTGAGCAGCTAGAGTAGCAGTGATGATGAGCAACAGAATTGTTGTTCAAGGGACTGCTTTGTGTTATATATGATTACCTACTTGCTTCTACTTCTGAATTCGATACTGAAGTGATGGTGACAGTATAGACTGAGATTGAAAATGCTGGTAGGTATCTATCTTACTTTGATCAATATGGCAAGGGTTATATGCACCTTTCAGACCCAGCTCTTTGGGACAAAGGACAGCGTTGCCGGCGGTGACACCCGTGAACCATGCCAGTATTAGAGAACAAAAGATGGCTGAATAGTATCAAAGGGGCCATGTCCATTCACACATTTCTCACCCAACAAGCCACGCCATGAGTTCCATTATAATGTTTGTTCTAATATTTTTCTCTCATGTGCCCATTAAACCGTCATCACATTACGCAGGTACACATGTAGATAAGGCAACAACCTTCTCACCCCCCTGTCCTCCCATTCCCATCCCTCTACCGTATCGAAAACACCTCCTCCCTCCCGCCATCCTCCTCCCCAACCCATCCCTCCCCATCCATAAGCCCATGCACATAACACTCTCCCACAAGAACCCAGCTCCCACCACCACCACCAGCCGGAGCAGCATCATCATCATCATCCGAGCCGCGCGACACCTCACGCAGCAAGAACGGCGTCTTGCCTCCGCGCAGAATGACCACCACGTCGCCCTCCTGCAAGGCATCCGGCCCAAGCACAAAGTATCCTCCGCGCGTGATCGCAAAGCGGCGGTAGCGCGTGATGAGGGTCGCTTCGTGGCTCCATTTGAAGGGGTCGCCCGTGAGGGAGAGGGCGTGAATGGCGGGGGAGACGGAGGTCTTTTGCGCGGAGAAGGAGGTTGAGAATGATGATGCTGAGAGGGAATTTGCTTTTTCGTAAAAGGCGGACATGATGTTGTTGTTGCTGTCTTTTCCATTACCTTTATTGCCATTGCTGTTGGTGGAGGGTGAAGGGGACCTGATGCGCTGAGATGATGATGTATTACTAGGAAAGGAGGGAAATGTCTGGGAGGGGGATAATAGGGGCGAGGGAGATGGCGATGAGGAGGAGGAGGACGGGATCGCGTAGCGCACGAGGTAGGCTGCTCCGCTGGCGAGCCATTCGTTGGGGGAGACGGACGAGTAGGGCCGCGAGCGGTCCATGCCTGTGCAGGCGTTGGTGAGGGTCTGGATGAGGGCGAAGAAGGCGGATTTGCTGTGGTCCGGCTCCGACGGCTCAGGGGCAGCAGCAGGAGATGATGATGATGATGATGATGATGATGCTGACGTCGTTCGAGAAGGAGGGGATCGGGATGGTGATGAGGCGGTCGCGGTGGATCTGAGGTAAGGGGGGTATATGCGGGACAGGGTGAACGTCTGGAAGCCGCAGATTTGCTTCCAGAGGACTTCCATGGGGTGTGTCCGGGGGCTGTATTGGTCGCTTTGGCTGTTTCGGCGCTGCTGTATGACTCGGCTGTGTTGGTGATGGCTGCCTCTCGCCGTGTCTCTATTCACGGGGACAGTATTGCTGTTATAGTTGCTGCTGCTGTTGCTCCCGCTGCTAGGCGTCCGTCCATGACTGTGAGGCCGAAACCGAGGAGACCCATGATTGCCGCCTTGCTGTTGTTGCTGCTGCTGCTGTTTCCAATACTTCCTCTTGGGCCCCTGATCGTCCTGCCGGACCTGAAACGCCGTCCCGTAAATCGTCCACGAATGCCGCTCCACGACATCGACCCTGATGCCCCGGATATGCAGCACCCTCGCCTCCTCATCGATCCTCAACTCGGGCCTCGTGTCCCCAGACGCCCGATGCGGCACCGCCGGCGACCCGAGGATGTGCATCGGCAGGTCCCGCCAGTCGGGCACCCACGACGGCAGATCCAGCTCCCGCTCGTTGCCCGGCGCGCGCCTCCTGTTGTTGGGCCGGCTGTGGTGCGTCGCCGACAGCATGAGGAGGTCGTGCGCGCCCCTGAGCCCTCGCACCGCCACGTCAAAGTAGACCTCCTCAACGCTCTTGGAGTAGTCCGCCACCAGCTCGCGCAGCTCCTCGCCGCCCTTGGTCAGGGAGAAGTGGCCCAGGAAGGCGTACACGTGGTCGCGCGGGTCCTGCGCGAGGAGGTGCCGCGCGCGGTGCAGCTCGTAGGCGAAGTTGCCCCTGTTGTGGAACTGGTCGTACGCCTCGGCGGGCTCGACGAAGCGCTGGTGCAGGTAGCGGATGTTGGAGGTGCCGATGAAGAAGCGCGTGCGCAGGTGGTGGTATCGCTCGTTGAGGATGCCCGCGACGAAGGAGAGCGTGTCCCAGTCCATCTCCGTGTCGCCCCAGTAGAGCGTCGCCGGGGCCGTGGTGCCAATCTCTTGGACGATCCATATCCGGTGGAACTTGGGGGAGCTTCAGTGTCAGACGACGTTGATGAGGCTACTAGAAACGAAAGATGGTTGTATCGACAAAGGGGGAGTGAGTGCGTGTGTGTGTATCTCCTCGTATATACTCACCCACGGCAACTTGGTCAGCTTCGCCAGAGGAACCCATCTCTCCGCGCTCTGCATCGCCAGATGCTCCTCATGCGCAATCTTGAACGCCTCGTGCGCCTCCTCGTCCCTGAACACGCCATCCAGATGATGCACCATCCGCACCGCGTCCGCCGCAACGCCATCGACATCCCTGCCCAGCCACACGAGCACCTTGCTCGCGTTCTTGTACACGGCGTTCATGAGCTTCACCTGCTGGCTGCGCTCCGCCACGTCGTCCTGGTTGATGCATATCTGGTCCGCCCACAGCCGCCGCGCCCGGTCCGGCAGCCGGACCCTCACCAGCGCATCCCGGATGCTCTGCGTCAGAGGCAGGACGGCGCCGTCACAGAGGAGCGTGAAGAGCCGGTCGCTCGTGCCCCAGACGTAGGAGATTGCTTCGTAAGGGGCCAGCTCGGCGGCATTTGCTGGGTCGAGGCTCCCGAGCTGGAGGCTTCCGACTAAGGGGTCGGAGCCGGAGCCGGGCTGTAGGATGAGGAAGCGGACGGACTTGGTTCCTGCGATGGGATTGTAGACGTATCGCTGGTCTTGGGGGATGTGGAGGGACTGTTTGGGGCGAGGCGGCAGGGGGTTGTGATCCATGGATGATGGTGGTGGTGGTCTGTCGGGTCTGAAGCCACGCCGCTTGACGGGCTTCTTTGCGTGACGCGAGAAGAGAGACTGGAGCTGCGACGCTGTTGCGCGTGGCCTCAGATGCCCGCCGACGCTGTTGTCGAGAAGACCGCTTGGATCTTGCAAGCCACGCCGTCTCCTGAGCTTCACGCGTATGCCACGCCAATTCTGCAACGCAAATGGCGCCGATCGACTGCTGCTGCCCTTGTTCCCAGTGAACGAAGCCTGTCGAGGAATGCGACGCATGTTCTGACTCGAAGCATCGAGAGCTGGTCCATCTGAGAGGCAGCGATCCATCGTCTGGCAGGCATCAGTAGTGCGGCGCTATATGTACGGAGGTGGAGAGGGGATTCCGTCCAACAGCGGCTCTGCTGCTGCTGCAGCTGCATGTCATGCCGCTTGACTCACTCAGGCGCCAGTTCTGGTTGCACTTCTTACATGTTGCCGTCTTTCAAGGATTAGGCATGGCTCGCTGACGCATGGATGATAGTAGCTCACAGAGGGCGCACGAACAGGAGGGGAGTCGAGCCCTGCTGATTGGGGGACAGCATACCGGAATGGTGGAAGCAGGCAAGTCATGTTGAGGAGAGAGGCGAAGAGACGGACAAACAACAAGAATATACCCTATCAAACGATTCTGTCCTGGCTATCGCGTCATCACCGCACGGTCTGTACAGGCATACCGAGCACCTAGTAGATGATGGGAGTGCCCAATCTCACAGCTTCTCATCAAATAGCTCTAGACAGTCTCGCGGACTCTGACCGGTTCCGCCGTCACCATGGCAATGTCATCATCGTCCTCAGACCGCCGCGGATACGGATCTCCCCCCATCACCACGGCGCCGCTCGCTGTTGGCGGCCCATCTTTCAGCTCCCAGCTGCCCGTCCTTTCGTGCGCCGTCCCACGCTTCGTGACCGTCACATCAGCATCGCTGGCCATCTTACCTGTTCCTTTGAAGCCACCCGGCGAAGCGCTGCGCACGCTGGGCTTTGGTGTACGCCTTTTAAAAGTGCAGACTCCAAAGAAGTAGAGAGCGAGTGCGAGGAGGCCAGTCACGCCCAGAGTCACCATGGCGCCAATGACGCCAGCAACAGGCGCACTGAGAGACGACTTCTTTGACGGATCGGAAGAGTCAGAGATGGAGGGTGAGGATCGCGCGTCGCACCACGATGCAAAAATGGCGCGACAAGAGCTGCACCACTGCGAAGAGTCCTGGGAGAAGCGCTGAAGCTGGCCCAGGAACGTCGTGAAAGGCATGACTTGGCTATCGGAGCTGTTGGACGACAGAGGGTAGACGGAAAACGGCTCGCCAACATCGGCATTGGCTCGATACGTAAACCGGACCATGAACTCCTGCGGCGCCGGAAGCGCAGAGGTGTCGCCCGAATGATGGCCGAGCAGCTCGATGATCATGGCCGATCCGGGCTCCGGAAGAGTGGAGAACGGCCCCGAGAGCAGATTGGATCCGGAGTAGAGCCCCATGAGGGAGAAGAAGGCCATCATGGGCTCAAACGAGCCAAACATGAGCGTGAGCTTGCTGCCATCACTTCCTATGGTGGCGCCGCTGAGCGAGCTCGCAATCTGCATGCCAAGCGTCTGGCCAGCAATGGTGGTGATGTTGTTGTAAGTGAAGTTTGGGACGCCGCTCAGGGTGTCTCCGTTCATGGCCCGCTCCAGTTCAAAAGCGTTGGCCTTGAGCACGCCAACCGTGGTGTTGGCGAATCCCAACCCTGCATTGACCGTCTTGTTGTGAGTGTTCATGTAGTTGACATACTCGTAGATGTTGTAGGCATTCCAGTAGTTGACCGCGCCCTTGGGTATAGTGCCGTTGAGGGGAGGCGTGGCAAAGAGGGATCTGTATAGGCTCTCGGTTGACCTGAAGCGGCCCATGGGATCGGTCTGCTTCATGACATTTACATTTGTATCCCAGGCCCAGCAGCCGACGGTGCCTTGGATGCTTTGTGTCAAAGCAGCATGTCAGCATACACAAGGCAGATGAGGAAGACGCGGACTGAGCCACTCACGCTACTGATGCCGAGTCTGACGCGGACAGAGTCTCAATGTTGGGATATTGGTATCCCCCAAGAGGGTAGTCGACTGGGTCGGAGCCAGACACAACATCCTCTGCCATCTGAGAGCCTCCAGCAAAGCTGTTGAACGAGCTTTCGGTTGGGGGGTATAGGCCCTGGAGAAAAGCCACGGCGCCTCCAGCAACCCACTCGTCTGTCTGCGACAGGATGGTGAGCTGGTTGTTGCTAATGGCATCTCTGGCTATGCCTTGGATCGTCGTGTTCTCCGTAGAGTTTGAGAGGAGAGTAGAGTTGGCAGCGCCCAAGTAGCGATTGCGAAAGGCGCTCCCTTGCCTCCACATTTGTCGGGCTCCCATGGGCGTGAGGACGTTATCCAGGCCTCCCAAAGTCGGCGTCTTTTCGCCATGATTGATGTATGCAACGACTGCCCAGACCTTGGTGTCGAGAGGCTCATCAGACTGCGCCGAGGTACCAAGGCTCAGCACCGCTATCGCCAGCAAGATGGAGAGCCTGCATTGGCTCGGCACCGAAAAGGACGCCATGCTGCTGTGAAGTGTGAAAGGACCACTGTCTGCAGGCTGGTGGCCTATGGATCATGGAAGTGAGTCCTGCTGGGATAGAGCTCTGAGTGAAGGCGAAAAAGACACAAGAGCGAGAAGAGAGTGCTTCTGGGGCCAGAGATTATGTGCTCACGGTGAAACGGTGATGGAGGAGAGGACATCTCATATTAAACAGACCACATGTCGAACTCAAGCCTCCCCCCCGTCAAGAGAAGCCGTCAACTCCGACCCCAGAAGAGTCAAGAACCCAGTTCAAGCCCTCAGTTCGTCCCGCCAAGCTTGTCAGCCACCCATCGAATGGTGTAGTAAGAAGCTCCAAGACGCCCAGGAAAGCAGCGAGACGCAGCTGTGAGCAGCTCGTCAAGCCCGCATCAAGCTACTTTCCGCTGTTGGAGCTCCGCACCAAACAAGCTTAGAGCTGGAGCAAAGCACGACACCCTCAGCCATGGGAACCAACGAATCCCAGCGCGCTCCAGGCGGCCTCGTCTGGCCGTTTTAGCGGGTGGCTGATCCCGCGCATTCTGACGGAAGGATTCGAAGCGGCATCAAATGGGATGGAGGTCTCGAGGAGGGGAGGAGGGGCCGGTGACAGGACGTCGAAGCTGGTCGAGTGAGGGAGAGGAAGCCGTTGCTCAAAGTCAATGCCATCCTTGTCTCCGTGCTTCGGCCATGCTGGATGCGCGAGAGTTGACGGCTCGTGGCTTGCAGAAGCTGTTGTTGCTTGGACGCTTGCGGCCAAGCTTCGAGCGTTTGTGGAAGAAAGGTTCGAACTTTGACGCGCCAATGACGACTGGGGAGGTGTGGAAGTACTTTGGTGTTTGTAGCCCACGATGACGTCGGAGCCGAGTCGAACAGCGCGATATGCTGTGTTGAAACGGAGGCGTTTCAGAGAGCTTACATCGATTATTCGGAAGAATTTAAGGGGAGCGTCGTGATGATGATTTACTCGGAATCACATGTCGAGGATTTTTGTGTTCATGTTTGATTGTCTTCATTGAGAGTTTGCACGCGAGGTGGGTGTAAGTCGGGGATAAACCGCAATCCTTGAGCGCGGAGATACCACCACCACCACCCTCGTTGCTCCATAAATGAGATAGGGTCCACTAGGTATTTACGAAAATAATCACTGTGACGGAGACGAATTTTTACAGCAATTCAGGCTGGAAATAGCCATCGAACAAACAGTGTCATCTTGTACACCTATACTCCGCAGCGGCGCTGTTCATCCTCCAGAAGATAGTGACCCCGCTTGTTCTAAGCCCCTCTGTTGAACGTTTATAGGATAGGATAAGGCTACCTCCACCATCGCCCGCCCATGGGAAGCGGATCACCGCTTCAAACGGTTCCATGGTCTAACGGTTATGACTGCGGATTCTGATTCCGCCAGCGAGGGTTCGACTCCCTCTGGAACCTATTTTTGCCTTTTCTGCCATGGATTCTCTTCTTTTTGCCTCGTCGCTTTCAAACAAAATGCCTTACTGCAGGTAGACTGTCGATGTATTCGCGATGGCATCGCTTGTAACTTTTGTCTTGGTTAAGCCGTGAAGATTTACGCCGAGCGACTGTTAACAGCAGATTGGAGACAATGCTTGTTGCATAAATTTTTTTCTAGGGTTGTTTGTCATTTCCAGTTCTCTTTTCCTACGGCGTCTTCCCATGTAATGGATCTTCTCCTTTCCTTGGCTCTTCCTTTACTAGTGGCCAAACAACAACCTACCCTATGTCATAGCCAGGTATTAATCCTTGCGTGCATCGATGTGTTGACTCCTTCTTCATCAGTCCCGAGACTTCCTCTTCGAAGCATTACGAGGGCAATCATCACGGCACGATGTCTGTCCAGAAAGCGCCTACAGATCCAAAGCATACCCTCGGATGTCAAGATTGATCACCCAAGGATGACAGATGCTGGCGTGGGGGGATCTCGGCAGATTGGCCAACACCATGTGCTGATCAGCATCGAATAGACCTTGATCTTATCAATCTCTGCCCCTTCCAGGTTCCAGACAAGCGTATAATTCATATTGCCTCAGGCAGCAGCAAAAAAAGCGCGGCTCTCAGGCAAGTCGAAGGCAACTCCGTGCGAAGCTGGAGCTGGTGGCGGGTTGCCGTCATTTCCCTCCCTTGCTTGCCTTCAATGTCGCACTGCACCGTGTGCCTGATTCGCCAGATGTTGCTTTGCTACCTACATGTAGTATCGAGTCGTGATGAAGCCTTAAAGAGCGACTTTGGCTAACAGGTATTCACAAGAGACTGCGTCCGTTGATCATCAATGCTTAATCTATCAAATGATGAACGTCTCTCGCTTTGGCCTCCGTATTCAAGACGACATCGTGCATGACTGACTGCAACACAGGCGCTCAATCTCAACCAACTTTTCCGTTTTGTGTGGAGCAGATGCGGATCCACAGCCTAAGCCGCCTTTGGCCTTTCCCTTGCATTAGAGGCGCAAAGCGATTTCGATTCAGCTGATCAGAAGGAGGCAAAGCGGCCGCCAGCCACGTGCACTGAAAGGGAAAAGAAGACGAGATCTGGATGTTGCTGCACACCAGCAAGATGGGAGGAAGTAGGGAGACGAGGTACAAGGGATTTTGAAACAATATACTACCTAGGTATGTAGCAGAGGAGAGGTCGTCAATACTGAAGATGCTCGGCAAGAGCAACAAAGATGAAGAAGGCGGAAAATAACCGATGGATGCCCAGAGGCGCAAACGACGGGAGCTCAACCCAACCTGGAACTTCCAGGTTCGCCTCGGGCAGATCCCTGCTCAGTGCATGCATAGCGCTGCACCTCGCTCCGTCCAGCGCTTGGAATGGCCTGACGCTCGCGACTGGTGAGCCCACTGGCCGCTGACGCCCGCTGCGAGGTACCAAATACAGCGGCGATGGAAGCCATCGACTTTTAGCGATCGCACCTCAGAGGCTCTACCTCCTACTAGTACTAGCAGTCGTCCGGCAGCCGCAATTTCTCCGCACCATAACCTGGAACCCCTACAGGCTCGAGTTCCAGTGGACGCACTCCCTGTCTGTCGCACGGCACCAAGCACCAGACCTGGCTGCACTTGAGCACAAGCACTGCATCTCGCACACCCACACAAGAGCATCTCGGCTCTGTACGATTCGAGCACGTCGCGCGCCTTGCGAAACCACCGGGCTAAGGAAAGAAAAAAGAAAAAGAAATCAGAGACAGAGAGGCAGACTACGAAATCCTTCCGCCTGGTCGCATCGCGCCCATCGTCCCCATTCGCCGCTCGATGGCCCAGCCGCATGCTGCGTGCTGAAACTCGCCCGCCATGTCAGCCGTCGCCATCGCAGAGCCGTCCGAGGCGCTGAAGGAGCCGCAGCAGCAGCAGCAGGCCGACAACCACATCGACGAGCCCGCCAAACAGCCCGCCTTCCTGCACTCGCCGCCCGATAGCAACGATGCCGGCAAGTCGGAGTCGAGCGACTCGGAGCTGAGCGACCTGGACGACGAGCCGCCGATCGAGGATGCGCCGACGCTGCCCCCGGATCTCGGCCATCAGCTCGACGACGACATTGGCGATGTCGTGCCGGACCATTGGTCGTCTGGCAACGTGCCCGTCTTCCGGCCGACCATGGACCAGTTTAGGGACTTCCGCCGCTTCGTATGTCGTTCTCCCACCCCGGGCTCCCAACCGCCTCTGCCTCTGCCCTCCTCTCCGTCCGCCTTGTTCTTGTCCGCTAACCACTGACCCTTGCCCAAACAGATGACAAAGGTCGACAGCTATGGAATGAAGTCTGGGATCATCAAGGTCATCCCGCCGGCCGAGTGGTTGGATGCACAGCCACCCCTCGACGATCTCGTAAAGCAGATCCGAGTCCGCGAGCCAATCAAGCAGGACATCATGGGGTCCAACGGCACTTACCGCCAAGTCAACATCCTCCACGGACGATCCTACAACATCCCGCAATGGAGGCAGCTCTGCGAGCAGAGCGAGCATCAGCCTCCCGCCAGGCGTGGAGAGAGGCGCGCCAATGCGGACAAGCCCAAGCCCGCGCGGCGCCCTGCTGCCCCCAAACCTGCCAACACTACGACCACCACCCCGAGGACTCGCGGAAGAGGGCGGCCTCCCAAAAACAGGGCGAAGCAGAAAAAGGATGAGGAGAGCCGGCCCATGACGCCTGTCTCGCCAAAGGTCGAGGCCGACGGCGCAGGAGATGAAGTGGTGGACTCCATCGAGAAGGAGCTGGGCACCGAGGTGGACGACGAGGACGATTCTCAACCGACCGTCCGAAGAATGGGTGGTGTTCGGCCCGCCAAAGCAAAGATTCAGTCTACCTCGGCGCGCCGCAAGTACAGTCGCCGAGAAGGCTCCGCAGTCATTGACGAGGCTGCGTTCAAGGATTTCGACTACCGAATGGACATTTCCGAGTACACACCTGAGCGATGCGAAGAACTGGAGCGTGTGTACTGGAAAACCCTGACGTATGCACAGCCGCTCTACGGCGCCGATCTGATGGGCACGCTGTTCGACGACAGGACCGAGATTTGGAACCTGAACAAGCTGCCAAACCTCCTGGATGTCCTTGGCACAAAGGTACCCGGCGTCAACACGGCATACCTCTATCTCGGCATGTGGAAAGCGACCTTTGCGTGGCACCTGGAGGATGTCGATCTCTACAGCATCAACTACTTGCACTTTGGCGCTCCGAAGCAGTGGTACAGCATTTCACAGGCCGACGCTCGGAAGTTCGAGAATGCCATGAAGAGCATCTGGCCCGCCGATGCCAAGGCCTGCGACCAGTTTCTCAGACACAAGGCTTTCCTCATCTCACCGCAGCACTTGCAGCAAAACTACGGCATCAAGGTCAACAAGGTCGTTTCATATCCCGGCGAATTTGTCGTCACCTATCCTTACGGATACCATTCCGGCTACAACCTAGGATACAATTGCGCCGAAGCTGTCAACTTTGCTCTCGACTCCTGGCTCGAGATGGGAAAAATTGCCAAAAAGTGCGAGTGTGCTCAAGCACAAGACAGTGTTTGGGTCAATGTCTACGAGATCGAGCGAAAACTGCGAGGAGAAGAGACCGAATACGAAGAGACTGAGGATGAAGAAGACGACGAAGATGAGGACGATGACGATGAGCTCTCCGGGCTTCCCACTCCTCCTGCGGGCCACGCTGTGAAGTTCAAGGACGCGAGCCGCAAGAGGAAGCGCGGCAGGGCGGATAAGGGGGGCAAAGCCAAAGTCAAGAAGATCAGGCTGCGACTCAAAGTCAAGGCCGAGCCGCCCTGTTGCTTGTGCCCCAACGATGTCCCGAACCTGGAAGTTCTGCCAACCGACGACGGCAGAAAGGCTCATCGCCTGTGCGCCCTCTACATTCCCGAGACATACATCGACACGGTGGAGGGGAAAGAGATTGTCTCCAATGTCGACGCCGTGCACAAGGACCGGCTGGACCTCAAATGCTTGTTCTGTCGATCGAAGCGCGGGGCTTGTTTCCAGTGCTCTCAGAAGAAATGCGCGAGGGCATATCACGCAACGTGTGCTGCGGCCGCGGGAGTGTTCACCGAGGAACAAGAGGTTCCCGTTTTTGGTGAAGACGGAACGGAGTACAAAGAGCAAGCCTTTGAGTTCAGCTGCCGCTTCCACCGTATCAAGCGCGATAAGAAGCTGGATGGTGAGGCTCTAGAGGAAGATGCCCGCATCCTGAAGGCCGCCGAGGCCCTCCGGAAGGGAGACATCTGCCAGCTGCAATATCACAAGGGTGACATATTCGCCGGCCTGGTGGTGGAGAACAGATCGGATGAGCGCATGTTACTCGTCGACGTCCTTCCACATGGCGACCGAGTCGAGGTTGAATGGAAATGGCTTCTGCTCCCAGACCCAGCCGACTACCACCTACCCAAGGCGTCGGCCAACGCCATCCCTCTCCCATCTTCACAGAAGGCAAAGGACAAGCTCAATGCCAAGCGTCATCAGGGTGATGACAAGCCGCGCAAGGGCGATGCCTTCATCGAGGGAGACTATACCTGGGCGGAGTTTCACACCAACGAAGCCGCCAACAAGCAGCAGACCAAGGTCGATCTTAGCAAGCAAGACCAGGTCTGGTATTATCTCGGCAAGAACTCGACCGATGCCAAAGCGCAGTACACCGAAGACCCGACAAAACCACGGCACAACCCCAAGGGCAATTTCCTGGACACGCTTCCGAAGCCACCCAAGCCCGTGCCTGTGCGCCAAACATATCAGCAGAGGGCCTACGGAATACCTGGCCCATACAATCACCCGGGTGCTTTTGCAGGCCACATGACGATGCCGATGAATGGTGCGGGCGTGGAGAGGCCATACGTCTACCAGCCAAGGACCCCTGTGGGATACAACCACGCACTTCCCGGCACATACTCCTTCCAAGGAACTACGGCTCCTCCTCCTCCCACCTTCCAGCAGTATCAGCCCTACACAGTGCAGCGGTTTGACCGCATCATCGGGCCAAATGAGATGCCTCGAGCTCACGTGCCACCGCCGCCGCCGCCGCCTCCTGCTCCCCCGCAGCAGCAGCAGCAGCAGCAGCCACATTCACCAGCTTTCCCAACGACCTGGGCGGCAGGGCCCCCAGGAGCTTACCCAGGCCACAGGGGTGCTCCATCCACACACAACTCGCAACAATACAGCAAGCCAACTTGGCAGGTTCATTCCTCGGTGTATCAGAAGTACCCTTTCTTCCAAGTTAATCACAACAGGCAAGTTCTTGCGGATCGTCGCTGTTTGACGACTATTGCTAATCGTGATTTTCACAGGGAGGCAACCAGATACCGAACACCGTATATGCCATGGGGAGGGTTCACCAACGGGTACGAGGGCGATCTGAGAGCACACCTGCTAGCAAATAGACACGACGCTCTCCGACGGGCATCCTCGACGGCAATGCCCTCAGGCGGCTCCTCGGGACCGTACCAGGCGCATCCCGCTGCAGCTGTACCATATAATGGCCCAACGGCTTCAGCAGGACAGCAGACAGGGCCGCTGGCGCAGCAGTCGAGCTCAGGGCTCCCTGCACCAATTCTTGGAACTGCCAGCCACCAGTACCATCCGGCGATCAAAGCACAGTACAGGAATATGATCCAGCAACAGCCGGCTCAGCCACCACAGCCCAGCCAGCAGCAGCCCAGCCAGCAGCACCCGGCACAGCAGTACCCGGCACAGCAACAGCCTGTACAGCAACAGCCTGTACAGCAACAGCAACAGCAACAGCCCAGCCAGCAACAGCCCAGCCAGCAACAGCCCAGCCAGCAACAGCCCAGCCAGCAACAGCCCAGCCAGCAACAGCCCAGCCAGCAACAGCCCAGCCAGCAACAGCCCAGCCAGCAACAGCCTAGCAAGCCCAAGCCAACCCCTGCCCCCAAGTCGTACAAGGTTGGCTTACCCGCAGCCGTCAGTCTTTCGTTGAAGTCGACTAAATCCGCAATGCAGGTTCCAGCTAAACAATCCCCAGTGCCCCTACCAGCAAACTTCCTGGCCGCCATGACCTCTTCTCCCAGTGCTACCGCACCCTCCTCAGCCAAGCACTCGCCTCTTCGGCAGGTAAGCCCCGCGGCCGCCTCTCCCACCACAAAAGCAGCCGTGGCATCCTCTGCGCCATCTTCTCAAGAAACGGGAACCTCCACTGGCCCCACGGCAAAGCCTGCCCAACAAGCTCCAAGGATATCAACAACGCCAGTGCCGCTCCCCAAGTTTGCAATGTCATACCAAGGAAATGCGGTGGTGCCTCCGGCGTCACCAGCTGGAGTCACAACGCCGAACTTGTCGCAGCCTGCACAATCAGCCCCTTTGGCACAGCAAGGCCAAGGTGCCGTTGCGCCCCAGAGGCCGGCAGATACTCTTCGACAAGCCACAATCTCAGTCAACGAGGCTGCAAGTCATACTACCCAAAACGCGCACTTGGACAAACATACTTCTACAGCTTCGATGCCAACTTTCACGCCGTTACAGCAGGTCAAGGATGATCAGTCCAGTCCACCTCGTTCTTCGCAGCCGCTGTTTCGGCACGAGCCTGAGGGATTCCCAGATGTCCCGGGTTGCGAATCTATGGAATTTGTCGAACGGATGATGGAGAATCTGAGAAAGGCATCCCAGCGGCAGAGAACAGGCTGAATTGAGGGCTCGATGATATCAAGCGGCAATTTTCGACTCTCCTTTTTTTCAAGCAGCGGCAAACCAAGTCCGTCGCCTGTTTGTCTACGCATATACAAACTTTTTTTTTTCTTTCCCTTTCATCCCTCTGTTCCCACTTCTCACTTTGCTTTCCTCCCATGAGGAGTACTTTTTTTTCTGGTCAGATACACCATGATTTACCAAGGTTACGTAATTACGTCTTACGACCCGGTCGATGAGAATCAGGGGAATTCATTATGGACCTGTATGTTTGTGTTAACTTTCGCGCGTCTTGAAACTTTCATCCGGCGTTGGGGAGAGGAGGAGTACTGGCGAGAGGCTTAGGGGGTCAGTTAGAGGCAGTGGCATCGCTACCGTTCAAGGGGACGAGGAAGACTCAATGATTGCTGGCGGTTCTGCCTGTTGTTAGGGGGGAGTCACGGCGACATGACGAAATGTATGATTAGGGTTATTACATACCTTAGTTCCGTGGTGTAGTCACGGTAATAATGGTCTTTGACTTGAAGTGGTAATCTCTCCGTGAAGCCTCATCTTGACTTCTGGACCGAGCTGAACAAGTTTCTGAAGCTGGCTTGAAGGCTGGTGTGGAATGTTGAGGATACTAAGGCTCGCAGTGAGCCTCTCTCATTTGTTGGCATCCAATATCAGTTGGTGCGAACATGCCTCAAAATCATACCATGCCTGAACAACTCGCCGTGGCTCTCGTCGTCTCCTAAAGTCTCTAGAAACTGCCCGCTTTGATGAAAATTCTGTACACGAGCAAGTCCGGAGACCTTGTTCCAGCGCATGCTTCCACTCAACCCCCCCTTATCCTATATAAGATCTGGCTAGAAACCTACCTAGCTGGTTGTTCGATATGGTCGAGCAGCTGGCAAAAGGGGCAAAGCCTGAACTCTGTCGTGCAGTTGCAAGCCTTAGGGGCAGTGCCACCTCATGGAGAGTTTGAGGCGGGCGAGAGTCACTGCAGCTCGCGCAGGTATATGAATGTCGTCGGGTCTCTTCTATTGCTCTTTCTTTTCTTTTCTTCTCTTCTCTTCTCTTCTCTTCTCTTCTCTTCTTCTGCACACACACACACACACATGCTTTTCTCTCGACGTTCAATCACCACTCTTGTTATCAACACGGCCCTTTTCTCTCGCGCAAATCCATCTCTTTCGTGCGCTTGATTCCTCCATCTCAGCGTTCCTTTTAGTATCTGGAGCAACCATAACTTGGTCTCAATCTTTCCTTTTTACAAACAAGAGAGTCCTCCCGCCATCGAACGAAATGCCTTCCCGCAAGGTTCAAGCTCCTTCACCAGCCCCGACAAGCCCGTCCGAGCTGTCCCAAGCGAGAGACTCCTGGTCGCAATCTCCAGACTGGGACGATCCGCGCGACTGCGGCCACTGGAACAAGGAGGACGAGTCCGTCTCGATGGAGAACGTGCCGGAGGTGATTCCGGGCAAATATCTCCGGGGAACGGTCATTGGCCAGGGAGGCTGGTCGACCGTCATCAAGGTGAAGAGGACGGAGGATGGCAAGTTGTTTGCGGGAAAGAAGTCGCAGACGCCGGAGCAGCTGTACAAGGAGTCGAAGAGGCTCCGAAAGTGGGAGCACGTCAGTCATCCGCCATCTCTGTCCGAAAAGAACTGAACTGACTTATTTCTTCTTCGTCGTCCCCAGCCGAACATTGTCAAGTTTATGGAACTCTACAAGCAGGATTCGGACGAAGAAAACAACCTGCTCATCATGGAGCTTTGCGCAAAGGGAACCCTGCAGATGCGCATCGAGTGGTACTTTGAGCCCATGGGCATGCTGGACATCGTCTCCGCCATTGTTCAAGTCGCAGATGCTCTCGTCTACATGCACGGCAAAGGCTTCTTCCACGCAGACATCAAGCCGAGGAACATCTTTGTCAGGCGATTCGACCCCATTGATGTTGCCCTCGGGGACTGCAGCGACTGCAAGGTCCACGGCAAGTATGAGGGCCCGAGAACCGGCACGTCGGACTTCTGGTCGCCTGACATGGTGGCCTACAACCGGCACAGCGGCAAGAGCGACGACATCTGGGCTCTGGGGGTCACTCTGCTGGCGATGATGGGCCAGAAGCCGCGGAAGGACAAGACGGATGTGGCAAAGTTCCAGTACCCTTCACGATGCGCCAACTATGCGCAGGAGCTGACGAGGCTCAATCCCGGCAACGCACTTGTCGAACTTGTCAGCAAGATGCTCATCAAGAGAGCCAGAGAGCGGCCGACTGCCGAGAAGTGCCTGGACATGGCGACCAGAATCATGGAGGGGATGAGCGAGGATGAGAAGATGGCCGGCCGCGCGAATGGGCTGGGGCTCACTTCCCCTGAAAAGCACCGCCCGGTCGAGGCGCCTCAAGTCTACCATTGGTGATGGATGGCATTTGAGGCAGGAATTTGAGCGTTTCGTCGGTCGCTTGGATGCTGCTTAATTTGGTTTGCTTTGTCTTGGAATTTCGTTGTTTATGTTATGATACCCTCGGCATAGGTGGCGATGTTGTCGACCTCGAGTTTGCTTTGATATTCGCTATGGAGGATGCGTGATTCTGCAAGTCACCCGAGTTTCGGTTTGGCAACAACAATTTTTCGGTTTCCCTGTTGAGGGGCAGATGGTATCAGAAGGCGGCCATCTATAATTAATAGCTTCAAATATGCTCTCCCCTCAGCCTTGTCAACTCCGGCTTCAGCCTTGTGCAACTCTACTCACGAGAATTGACGCCATCGTCTAGGTCCTCCCCAGTCCCCCGCAGCGGCCTCTTATTAGTCAGCCGTCCTTGGTGCTGTTTTCAGCCAGCAATCCAATTGACTGAAAAGGCCGATGTCGCAATCGCTCTTATTCGCAAAAAGTAAGAGGCGGTTTGTGAGAAAACGCTCTGATTCATTCTACAAGGGCGTAAGAAGGCTCACTGCATCGAATCCCGTTCCTGACGTACGCTTTCACCTCTGTCTTATTGTTGACTTGCTTATTTGTTGGTGTTTATTCGTTTTTTCAATCGGCGACAGCGATTGCGATTGCATCATCGAAGCTAATTTGGAAAAGGAAAAAAAAGAGAGAAAAGGAAGCCAGCGGTTCTACTTGTTCTTTCTTAAATGTCTTTTTCTGCCTTGAGAACTTCACCTTCAGTTATTTCTACCGGTGCTCTTCGCAGTTCAGTTGCGTTTGCGGGTATTGCGAGAGGAGGAGTCAGGACGTATTCCGCTATGAGTGGGAGTTTGAAGTTGAAGCCTGCGGCGAGGGTGTCGGGGCAGAAGCAGGATGTTTGGTGAGTCAACTCCGTATAATGTTCATTCACATTCACAGACATGTACCATAACTAGGTATATATAAGTGCAGTTGTGATTGAGCACCTGGGAACTAAGCAGGGGAGAGATGCAAAAATACTCAAGCTGACGTCTGACACAGGACCATTGTCAACGAAGCGGCAGCAGCTTCGCCCAAGCAGCCCATTGTAAACATGGGCCAGGGCTTCTTCGGGTACAACCCGCCCAAGTTCATCCTCGACGCGGCCAAGGAGGCGCTGGACCGGGTGGACTGCAATCAGTACTCGCCCACCAAGGGGCGGCCGAGGTTGAAGCAGGCGATTGCGGATGCGTACGCGCCGTTTTGGGGGAGGAAGATTAACCCTGATACCGAGGTGACGATTACGACGGGGGCCAACGAGGGTGAGTTTCTTGCCTTGACTTTGACTGCTGATTTATACGAGGGTGAAAAAAGGGGAAGATTTGAGGGTAGTAACTGACGGGGAATGGTGAGCGTGGCAGGTATGCTCAGTGCGTTTATGGCTTTCATTGAGCCGGGCGACGAGGTCATCATCTTTGAGCCCTTTTTCGACCAGTATGTCAAAAAAAAAAACCTTTTTCCTACTGAGATGCTGTTACATGATGCTCACCACGAGGACAGGTACATTAGCAACATTGAGATGCCTGGCGGCAAGATTGTCTATGTGCCCATGCACCCTCCCGCCACGGGAGCCACCAAGACGTCGTCGGCAGCCGACTGGACCATTGACTTTGACGAGCTGGAGAGGGCCATTACCCCCAAGACGAAGATGATTGTTCTCAACACCCCTCGTACGTTTTTTTGCTCCTCGCCAAACGCTGTTGGAGAGCACCATGCTGATTAATCTTTGTGTGTGTGTGTGTGTGTGCATGTAGACAACCCCGTCGGCAAGGTCTTTTCTCGAGAGGAGCTGCAAAAGATTGGCGACCTCTGTGTCAAGAACGAAATCATCATCCTCAGCGACGAGGTGTATGACCGCCTGTTTTACGTGCCGTTTACGAGAATCTCGACGCTGTCTCCCGAGATTGAGAGGCTGACTCTGACTGTGGGCTCTGCGGGCAAGAACTTTTACGCCACGGGCTGGCGTGTAGGTACGTTTGCGAGATTTCTGCTTTTGGAATCATATACCGACAAGAAAAAGAGAGGCTGCTTTTTTTTTTCTTTTTTTTTTCTTTTTTTTTTTTTTTTTTTTTTTTTTTTTTTTTTTCCTTCTTTCTTTTTCTTTCTTTTTTTCCGTATGCTGACCTGACCAAATCATGTAGGCTGGCTCATGGGCCCCGAGCATCTCATCAAGTACGTTTCCGCCGCCCACACGCGCATCTGCTACTCGTCCGTCTCGCCCCTGCAAGAGGCGTGCGCCGTCGGCTTCGAAAAGGCCGAGGCCGAGGGCTTCTGGGACGACGCCATCCGGGACATGAAGGGCAAGATGGACCGCTTCAACGAGGTCTGGGACGAGCTGGGCTTGCCCTACTCGGAGCCCGAGGGCGGCTACTTTGTGCTCGTCAACATGGCCAAGGTGCAGCTGCCGGAGGACTACCCCTTCCCGCCGCACGTGGCGAGCCGGCCGCGGGACTTTAAGCTGTCGTGGTTCCTGATCCAGGAGGTTGGCGTGGCTGCGATCCCGCCGACGGAGTTTTACACGGATGGGAATGCGCACATGGCGGAGGATTACCTGCGGTTTGCGGTGTGCAAGGAGGATGCCGTTTTGGAGGAGGCGAAGAGTCGGCTGAGGGGGCTGAAGAAGTATATGAAGTAGACTGAGGCTGAGTCTTTAACGTCGCTCAGGGGAGTTAAGGTATCTACTGTAGAGAGAGTTGGATAGACTGGATGTTCCATTCCACATGGGAATGTGGAATGATCGTGCTAGTGCTACTACTTGCAATGAGCACTTTGTGTAAGCTCTAGTGCCCTCATCGGGATTATCTCGTCTTTGCCTCAGCCGTATCAGAAGCTGTACCTTGATAGTATTACCTCTTACAAGTGCCAACATGCACTCACCAAGGTACGTCAGACTTGACTGCACCCCATGTTCGGTGCCACACGTGCTCGATTCTTGGAAAAGAGTAATAGCTATTACTAGTCCACAGATTACAACGACGATTAGACTACAGCCACAACCACGGTCTATTCCTCTCTGATCGATTCTGCTTTATCAGTGTCCTTTCGCCAGCTGTGTGTGGAACTTGCCGATGGGTGGAGCGGCATCTCAGCGGCGGAGCCGGCCGAAGCGTCGTTTTCTTTACGTTGGCGGGGGGGTCGATGGGCGATCGATGGATGGGTTTGGATTTGATTGCGCTGAAGTCGATCGGAGAAGAGATTCGGACGTGACTGATAGCCTCTTTGGGCATTTTCTTAAGAGGAGGGATCTCTACAAGACGTTGGTGCTGTTGTTTAGTACAAGGGGGGGTTGTTGATATCCATCCAGTGTTTTCTCATCACGGCTTCTTGCACTGGTTCAGAGCATCAGTGATTACTTGCTCAACTATTCAGACGCTGCTGCTGTTATTATTATGACTGTTTTACTTTTCTTACACACCCATAGAAAGTAAGCTTATATGCATTATGTATTCTCTGTCTTAGAAAAAAAGGACGACCTCGACAGTTACTATCTTCAACCCGCGTAGGCAGGGAGCCAATGACAGCGCAGACAAATGCAGCCTGTGCTTATAGGATGGCGTCGGCTTAACAGCAGACGGGAGGGGGAGACGCGGACGTCCGCCACGTGCCCCAGCATCTGAACTTTCAGGGCAGGTAGTGCTTAGCATTTCCTATGGATCAAGTGTCTCCTCTCTGCTGATCTGGCACGTCCTGGCAAAGGGCCTGTCACACAATGTTGTTTCGGCTTGTGAGCGTCGGTCGGGGGTCAAACAGTGCCTTATCTTTGCCTGTTAGCAGGATCGATGCAGACTTGACAAGGTAGGCGATACCCGCTCGGCTAGTGCGTGGATACTGCGGAGAGGAGGTAGACGATACGGGGGGGCCGTTGGGCTGCTCTAGGTAAACCTGGGGCACGCGGGAGCACAGGCGATATCGCGGTACGGGGCCAGCAGGTACCTACATACTGATCTCTCCGCCTCTGCCACATGCAGCCAGCAACCTGGGCTTATTAAATGCCGTGTCGCCACTTGACCTCGTGCATTGCCTTGCCTTGCATTACCTATCAATCACTGCCTTGGGCATACACACATGCTTGGACTTGTGCTTCCTTTGCATTTCATGACTCTTCATCAGCTTCATCATCAAAAGATGCTCGTGGCTGTCTGAGTTGCAACCCTTCTCTGCGTATCGAGCCTCTCCCCTGGTACCTGTTTTGCATTCCATCCATCTTCATCCCGCATCTCCTCTTTCACGCCTTGTCATGACCTAATCATCATCATCATCATCATCATCATCTTTCTCTTCTTCATCCTCGTCTTGCTTCTTACACCCGCTTCACCATGGCCCCCATTGCCATCTCGCCAGAGCGGGACGGCCAGCTGGATTCGCTGGCGTCTCTGACTGCCAAGTTCGACGACACACTCCGCTTCTATCTCAACGGAACCAAAGTCGTCCTCGACGAGATCGACCCCGAGATCACAGTCCTCGAGTACCTCAGAGGCATTGGACTGACTGGAACCAAGCTGTATGAAGCTCCATTCCACTTCTGTGCTTATACTACCACTACCCATCCTTTTCCCATCGTGACTGACACTCATCAAACAGCGGCTGTGGCGAGGGTGGATGCGGCGCCTGCACCATCGTTGTAAGCCAGTTCAACCCTACGACCAAGCAAATCTACCACGCCAGCGTCAACGCCTGCCTGGCCCCTCTTGTAAGTCTCGACGGCAAACATGTCATCACCATCGAGGGCATCGGCAACACAAAGAGGCCCCATCCCACGCAGGAACGGGTGGCAAAGTCCCACGGAAGCCAGTGCGGCTTCTGTACGCCCGGCATTGTCATGAGCTTGTATGCCCTGCTGCGGAATAACGCAACCCCCACCACGGATGAGGTGGAGGAGGCGTTTGACGGCAACTTGTGTCGATGCACGGGCTACAGGTCTATCCTTGATGCCGCTCACACCTTTAGCAAGGAGAACTCGTGTGGCAAGGCCAAGACCAACGGTGGTGGAGGCTGCTGTATGGAAAACGGCAATGGCAAGCCCGAGGGGGGTTGCTGCATGGACAAGATGAACAATGACCAGCCCATCAAACGATTCACCCCTCCAGGCTTCATCGAGTACAACCCCGACACCGAGCTCATCTTTCCTCCTGCGTTGAAAAAGCACGAACTACGACCTCTCGCGTTTGGTAACAAGCGCAAGAAGTGGTTCCGGCCAGTCACCCTCGATCAGCTTCTACAGATCAAGAGCGTATATCCCGCGGCCAAGATCATCGGCGGAAGCACAGAGACTCAGATCGAAATCAAGTTCAAGTCGCTGCAGTACCCCGTGTCTGTCTACGTGGGAGACATTGCCGAGTTGCGGCAGTACGAGTTCACGGACGACCACCTTGAAATCGGGGGCAACGTAACTCTGACCGACTTTGAGCACATTTGCGAGGAGGCAATCAAGCGCTACGGACACGAGAGGTCGCAGGTGTTCAAGGGCATCCTCAAGCAGCTGAAGTACTTTGCTGGTCGGCAGATCCGGAACGTGGGAACCCCTGCCGGAAACCTGGTGACGGCGTCGCCCATCTCCGATCTGAATCCTGCCCTGTGGGGAGCCAACGCAGTTTTGGTGGCCAAGTCTGCGGCTCAGGAAACAGAGATCCCCCTTTCACAGTTCTTCACGGGTTACCGAAGAACAGCCCTTCCACAAGATGCCATCATCGCGTCCCTCAGAATCCCTGTCACGGCGGCCAAGGGGGAGTTCTATCGAGCGTATAAGCAGGCCAAGAGAAAGGACGACGATATTGCCATCGTGACCGCCGCACTGAGGGTAAAGCTCGACGACGATGGCCTTGTTACGGACTGCAATCTCATTTATGGCGGTATGGCTGCCATGACTGTCTCGGCAAAGACAGCAGCAGAGTACCTGGTCGGGAAACGGTTCGCCGAGCTGGAGACGCTCGAAGGAACCATGAGCGCGCTTGGGGAAGATTTCGACCTCCAGTTCAGCGTTCCAGGTGGCATGGCATCGTACCGAAAAGCGCTAGCTCTCGGTTTCTTCTACCGCTTCTACCATGACGTCCTCGCCATTCTCAACGGCCAGAGCGAGCACATTGACAAGGACGCCGTGGACGAAATCGAACGGGCCATCTCGACTGGCCAGACCGATCCTCACTCGGCGGCCGCCTACGAAAAGGAGGTCACGGGGAAATCGAATCCTCATGTTGCTGCACTGAAGCAGACGACTGGTGAGGCCCAGTACACGGATGATATCCCTCCCTTGAGAAATGAGCTGTACGGATGCTGGGTGCTGTCCACCAGGGCACATGCAAAGATCAAGTCCATCGACTACTCCGCGGCACTGGACATGCCGGGCGTGGTCGACTACGTTGACAGGCAAGATGTGACCTCTGACGCTGCTAATCGATTTGGGCCGCCAAACTTTGACGAGCTCTTCTTCGCCGACGGCGAGGTTCTCACAGCTGGCCAGGTCATTGCCATGGTCTTGGCTACATCCGCCTCAAAGGCCCAGGAAGCGGCCAAAGCCGTCAAGGTGGAATACGAGGATCTACCCGCAATCCTAACCATCGAGGAGGCCATCCAGCAAGACAGCTTCCATCCATGCTACCGCGAGATCAAGACGGGAGACGTCGAGGAAGCCTTCAAGAACAGCGACTATGTCTTTACAGGTACTGCGCGGATGGGAGGCCAAGAGCACTTCTACCTCGAGACCAACGCGTGCGTTGTCGTCCCGAGCCCAGAAGATGGAGCAATGGAGATATTTGCCAGTACCCAGAATCCAACAGAAACGTAGGTCAAACCTTTTGTTTCCACTTGACTGGTGCTTCAGCTAACACCGAGCCTGTCATAGCCAAACCTTTGCTGCTCGCATCTGCGATGTACCGGCCAACAAGGTGGTCGTACGTGTCAAGCGATTGGGTGGTGGTTTCGGCGGCAAAGAGACCCGGTCCATCGTTCTCACCGCGTCCGTAGCTCTCGCCGCGAAGAAGACGAAGAGGCCGGTACGCTGCATGTTGACGCGCGAGGAAGACATGGTCACCATGGGCCAGAGGCATCCCTTCCTCGGAAAGTACAAGGTTGCCTTTAACAAGGACGGCAAGATTCAGGCCCTGGATGTCGACATATTCAACAACGCGGGCTGGACCTTTGACCTCAGCGCGGCGGTCCTCGAGCGAGCAGCTACTCATGTCGACGGGTGCTATCGTATTCCCAACACTTGGGTCCGTGGCCGGGTCTGCAAGACCAACACCGTCTCGAATACGGCGTTCCGTGGCTTCGGCGGCCCCCAGGGCATGTTCATCATCGAGACCTGCATGGAAGAGGCCGCGGATCGACTGGGCATTCCCGTCGAGAAGCTGCGCGAAATCAACCTCTACAAGCCCCTCGAACTGACGCACTTCAACCAGCCTGTCACGGATTGGCATGTTCCGCTCATGTACAAGCAAGTGCAGGAAGAGAGCAACTACCATGAGCGCAAGGCTACGGTTGATCGGTTCAACGCGACTCACAAGTGGCGCAAGAGAGGAATCGCCCTGATCCCGACCAAGTTCGGAATCTCGTTCACGGCCCTGTTTCTCAATCAGGCGGGGGCTCTGGTGCACATATACCACGATGGTTCCATCCTGGTAGCCCATGGAGGCACGGAAATGGGCCAGGGACTGCACACCAAGATGACGCAGATTGCCGCGCAAGCTCTCCAGGTGCCCCTGGACAATGTCTTCATCTCTGAAACTGCTACCAACACAGTCGCCAACACCTCTTCGACGGCAGCGTCAGCATCGTCGGATCTGAATGGGTACGCCATCTTCAACGCCTGCCAGCAGCTCAACGAGCGGCTGGCTCCCTACCGAGAGAAGCTGGGCCCGGACGCGACCATGAAAGATCTGGCGCATGCCGCCTACTTTGATCGTGTCAACCTGTCCGCGCAGGGCTTTTATAAGACCCCGGAGATTGGGTACACATGGGGCGAGAACAAGGGCAAGATGTTCTTTTACTTTACCCAGGGAGTTGCGGCCGCAGAGGTCGAAGTCGACGTCCTCACTGGCACGTCGACCTGCCTGCGGGCAGACATCAAGATGGATATCGGCCAGTCCATCAACCCGGCCATCGACTACGGCCAGATCCAGGGGGCGTTCATGCAGGGACTGGGGCTCTTCACCATGGAAGAGTCGCTGTGGCTACGCAACGGGGCCATGGCCGGCAACCTGTTTACGCGCGGCCCCGGCGCGTACAAGATCCCCGGCTTCCGCGACATCCCGCAAGAGTTCAACGTGACGCTGCTCAAGGACGTCGAGTGGAAGGACCTGCGCACGATCCAGCGCAGCAGAGGCGTCGGCGAGCCGCCGCTGTTCATGGGCAGCTCCGTCTTCTTCGCCATCCGGCACGCGCTCAAGGCGGCGCGCAAGGACGCGGGCGTCGAGGCGCTGGTGGGGGAGAATGACGGCGAGGGCCTGCTGAGGCTGGAGAGCCCGGCGACACCTGAGAGGATCAGGTTGATGTGCGAGGATGAGATTATGAAGAAGGCCAGGGTTGTTCCGAAGGAGGGTGAGAGGGGCTTCTTTGTGGCTATATGAGGGTTGGGTGACTTGTGACTTCTTTTTTTTTTTCTGTGTTGGCTGCTTGGCCAGTTCATGTTGGTAAGGTAGTTGATGGCATTGCGCTTCATTTCAAGTTCATTGTATCAATGTCATATCACTGCATCTACCACCTACCTACCTTGTGCCTCGTCCACAGTGACCACAGCTTTGGATAATCAATGAGATCCAATACATTAAGACATGCAATGATGAAATCCGCTCCCCCGAGACCCGGTATAACAGTAGTAAGTAGTAGTAGTAGTACCTTGTCCTTTTACATCCCTTGGTCCATCATCAGGGACGTTCGCCATTGGACCCAGGCAAAGAGGTCATTTCACCAACGGTTCTTCCGAGGTTCTCCGCACGCCCAGAGACACATTAGGTAATACATACCGGCGACCGGCAACTACGCAGCGCCCCCAAAAAGGGTTGAGGCCCCCATCCCGTAATATTCCGATACATACCTAAGGTAGGTAGGTAGGTAGGTATGCGCCGCAACAAGCTAGGTACAACAACAGGGGGAGCGTTCGAGCCGGGACTCTTCTGCTTGTACCTTTGGAATTATGGGAATTCTTGCTTGTCATTATACTCTGAATAGGAAAGGAAAAGGAAAGTAGTGTGTCAAAAAGGGCGAAAAAGGAGGTGATATGATACAGAGTGCTAGGAAGGGAATATTTCCATTGGGGGCATGACGAGGTTGTTTCACGCGGGCGATTGTGCAGCCTGCCTTAACATACGCATGTACAATGAATGGTTCGGTAGGTATTAGGTATGAAATGGGAGCTGCTCTGGTTCCTTGTTCCTGACTTAGATATACATGGCGGACCGGAGGGAGTTCCCGAGGCTTTCATGCACGTCGGGACTTTGGGAGCGGCTCCCCTTGGCATCCAATCCATCCATTGATCCGTGGTTCTCGTGCTCATGTGCCTTCTCTGAGAAGACGTGGCTTAGCCGCCAATTTACTACCTAGGTAGTTCCCCGAGCGCCTTGAACACGGTATGAATGAATCCTTTGATTACTATCTGTTTAACTGTTTGTGGGGTCAATAGAGAGTACTACATGCAAGGTGTACTGCATGTTTTCTTTTTGGTGGTGGGAGGAAGAGGAGGGATGGGCGTTTGATTTTTCGCTTTTGTTGGTTCATTGTTCTTCCTCTGTGGCGGCATATTGGATGAGATTGACGACGAGTTCTAGCCGCTGGGGCTGATGAGGATGCGGAGAATAACCAGACGGACAGGGACCAACAGACTTGGACTGGAGGCCATTTACTACCTAGGGACCTTATTCTTGGTTCATGCCCCAAATTGTTTCGATTTTTCAGTTGGTTTACTTTGGTCTGGTTAAGAGTGTCCAGTGTGTTCGTGTTGTTGCGTGTGCCTTTTTAGCGAATGGGCGGGCAGATGTTGGGCGATATTATCATCCATTGAAGCCGCCCGCCACCAGACCCCCTCCCTCTCGCCCCAGCAGCCCCAGAACCGCTAAAAGAGCCCGCGGCGGTCCACTGAATCCTTCTGGCGCAGGTACCTCCATACTACTAGTACTACTGTGATGACTCGGCTTAGGTCCTCAAACTGTGCTGAACCCCAACGATGACGCTGAGAGCGCTAGCGCTGGCCCGCCAAGGCGCAAAAAGGCTTCCAAGGGCTCCTCGGGTCCAACTGTTAACACATGGATCAATAATACCTACCTAATAATAATAATAATCCATAGCTGGCAACCCACACAAGCAGCAAAGCGTGCGGCCCCCCCCCCAGCTGAACCGAAGCCGACGGCCGGGGTTGCATTTGATCCATCCAATTGCCTCGCATCAAAACCGCAGCAGCGCTTTTCTGCGGCGCATGGCCGCGTTTCTGCCCTCGTGCTCACCTCGATCCTCGCCTTGCCGGCCATCCTCTGCCTCTGCGACCCGTTTCTGCCTGCCAGAGCCCGCGCCGGGTCTTGCTGCCGCCTCTGCAAGCGATCAAGAGAACTGATACGACCAAGAGGAAGAGAAAAAACAAGAGAAAACGCCGCCGGGAAGACGGGTACCTACCTAGTCGCAAAGGAAAGGAAAGGAAAGGTTTCGAGGAGCCCTCACACGACACACGTTTCCTTGGGGCTTGCAGCGTCCTCGCTGCCGCTGGAATTGCGATAAGGAAAGGGGAGAGAAAAAGGACAGAAGGGGGAAGTATTGGATGAAGAGACACGCTGTGCTTTTTCTTCGGGAAGAAGACACAGAGACGGTTGCAACAGCTTTTCCCGTTGCTTGGGGGGGTTGCATATGCTGGGTTGCGCCATCGGCAAGCGACAAGAAGCCTGAAGCGAAGCCGGGAAGCTGAGACGTCCTCGATGATCTGCAATCTCGTCGTTTGCGTAACCCTTGCCCGAAGCAGATAGATCCAATGGGAGGCCGAGCAATCGGGTGACGAGAGATTAGAGAGAAAGAGACGAAGAAGAAGAAGAAGAAGAAGGGTGGGAGACTGAAAGAGGCCACAAGAGAAAAACCAAGCAAGAAAGATACGAAAGAGCAGACCAAGGGCACACGGACAAGGACAAGGGCAGGAAAAGGCTCAGTCCAAGAGGCCGAAGGAGAGAAGAACAAGACGGTCCATCCTGGAAAGGGGGGGGAAGACCACCAGGGTGACCGGCCTGAGCGAGCACAGCAGCAATATGAGCGAGCGGAAGGCTGCTACCGGTGCGACTACAACTACCACCACTACCACCACCGCGGCGCCGGGTGCAATGGATGCCAAGGGGAGCAAGGTGGTGGACCGAAGCAAGCTGGCCGGCAAAGGCGATGCGGCCGAGCGCGAAAAGGACCGTCCAGCCCGAGGCCTGGGCACAGCCGCTGCGACTGCGACGGTGACTGCGACGGGAGGAGTCGGCAAGAATCCTAAGAAGAGACGCAAGGTGAACCACGGTACGCACAACTTGCTTGAAAACTCCCTTTTCCCCCCTCCCCTCTCGTGTTCCCTTACTTCACTCGCGGGCACAACTCATCCAGGAGAAGAGGGAATGGCTTCGGGCACAATGGCTGCAGGCTGTTGCTTGTCCTCTGCCCTCCCTCGCTCCCTCCTCCATCTATTCTATCCACCTCAACAAACACCCCCCCTCCTTCTTCCCCTCGTTTTGCTCGGATTTTTCACTGTCTACCTACTGCTGGCCGGTGACCTTGGCACTGCAGGTGTCGAGCGTGTGCAGAAAAAAGTATGCAGATGGACTAACGAATAGCTGCGTGTCTCTCCCTCCACCGCTGCAGCGTGCGTGTACTGTCGCAGATCTGTAAGTCTGGCCCGCTTTAGAAACGAAGATGACCCCGTGATGCCATCCCAGAAAGGAGGGGAAAGGACAGCAAGAGACGGGAACGAGGACGAACTGAAGAAGGCAGAAAATGATCCTCATTACTTGGATTTTATTCTTTGCTTGCCTTCACCCCCTTGTCTGTATAAAAGAGCAAAAGACAAAAGACCTTGTGGCTGACCGATTCGTTCTCGACTGCGAGTAGCACATGACATGCGATCTCGTAAGTACATACTCGCCGCGCCCCCCCCCTACCCCAGAACATCTGTCCTGCTTTCGCCTCTGCTGCAGCCTCATGGGGTGGATGGGTCCAGACCTCCTCCATCGGCCAGCCAGCCTCTTCCCCCTTCCCTGACCAAACCCCAAACCGGGACGTGCTAATGCCGTGGACAGGAGCGGCCATGTACGAGATGCATTAAACGGAATATTGGCCATCTCTGCCACGATGAGCCCCGCGAGGCAGATCCCAAGAAGAAGACGACTGCCAGCAAAACCTCGACCGCATCCGTAGAGGACTCGGACACCATGTCCCAGTCCGACCTGGGCCACAGCTCCATCTCCAGCGCCATGGGGCCGCCGCCGACCTTTGATGGCGCGAGGCAGAGGCCAAACTCGGGCCTTGGGGCGGGAGGTGTGCTCGCGCAGGCCAATCCATTGTCCCTTGTGCAACCCGACGCTTCGTCAGGCCTGCAGGCCAACGCGTTGAACAACAATGGTAACGCGAATCAATGTAAGCTGCTGCTGAAAAGGAGACGATGTGACCCTCTGCATCGCTCCCTCCCCCCCTCCAGTTCGCTTCACACAACTCTGTGCCTGCAATCTTTCTATCTATATATTCAACCCCCGATTTGACAGATTCATGATGCTCTGGATGGCTAACGATAGAGTAGTTGCCGGCTTTTCCGACGCCTGGTTGACCGCGCAAAACTACAATGACGTGAATACTTATAACCCAAACTACATGATCGGTCCCGACGTCACCCATGAGTTCAACCTCCTCAACGACTTTCTGCACAATAGCATCCTGGACGAGAGCGGCGTCGAAGCCCAGCAGCATGCAGCCTTTAATCGGCCAGGAGGACCTTCGGAGATGCTCTCAGGCTATGGTAGCGGCAGCGGCAGCGGCAATGGCTTGCCGGGCGCCCCTATAGCTGCCGGCCGCGCGCCGGGCCCTATGCTGCCTCCTCCAAATACGGACAGCAAAGCATTGGCCCGGTCTGATAAGGAAAAGACGAGAGAATACTATCTACAGGCAGCCGATCCTTCTGGAAACGACAACCCCGAAGAACGCATGTCTCGCGTGCTCAAGGCCAAGTACGATGCCGGCCTGCTCAAGCCTTTCAACTACATCAACGGCTACGCACGGCTAGGCAAGTACTTGGACGGGCACATTGCGTCTACGTCCAAGCAGAAGATTTTGCGGACCATTAACCAGTTCCGGCCCAAGTTCAGGGAAAAGGCACAGGGCCTGACAGACATGCAGCTGGTGTACGTCGAGATGTGGTTCGAGAAACAGCTGATGGACTACGACCGGGTGTTTGCCAGCATGGCGGTGCCGGCGTGTTGCTGGAGGCGGACGGGCGAGATATTCCGGGGAAACAAGGAGATGGCGGAGCTGATCAATGTGCCGGTGGATCAACTGCGAGACGTGAGCACCCCTTTCCCTTGCCACACCATCATCATCATCTCAGCTGAAGGTATGGCGTGCTAACAAGTGCTTCTTTCTCCTGCTCAGGGCAAGATTGCGCTCCACGAGATTCTGACTGAAGAGTCCATGGTGCGGTACTGGGAGGAGTTTGGCACCATTGCGTTTGATCCGGCGCACGACACGTTGCTGACGGCGTGCTCGCTCAAGAACCCCAGCGACTCGTCAGATCACCCCATTGTCAAGTGCTGCTTTTCATTTACAATTCGCCGTGATGAGCATAAGCTGTGAGTTGGGCCCCCATCGTCTGCACCGGCTCACTCTCGTTTCCGATCAAAAGCTATCGCAGAAGCGGCAAACTGACTCTTTGAAACCTGATAGGCCCGCGTTGATTGTTGGCAACTTCTTGCCACACGATCCTCCTGTACAGTGAATTTTCTTTCATTTTGATACCAATCTTGTTGACAAGGCCGTCTTCGTTTTCTGCTGTTGATTGGTTTGTGACTTCTTAGTTGGGGGAACGAAGACGAGGAGGATTCATTTCGGTCACGGGTGCGAAACCGGTTTATACAAAACGAGCAAAGAAAAAAAAGAAGGGCGGGGGCTAGGAAAAGGGCTCGGGGCTCTCTTGGACTTGATGGGTGGCGTTATACTGTGTCGATCCTTTTTTCCACCTTGTTGTTGTTGTCTTGCGCTATCCTGTCGTGTGGTTGTCTGTGAAGCTTCTTCTTCTGTGTGTTCTTACGACCACCCCGTCTTCCTTTCGCCTTTTGTTCTTCTGCTGCAGGTCTTTCTGGATCGCAAGCTGTTGGAGGAGCAGATGATGTTGCGAGAGCTGAGTTGGGTGTCTTGATGATGCTGTGTGTTTGTTGTTCTCTTGCATATTTCGCTAGAGTTACCAGGTCCAATACCCAACTACCTACCTTAGGCTTATGATGGTACCTATTTTAGCTGCAGCATCACTGCCACGTCTTGCACTTGAGAGGGTTGATTCGCTGAATCGATTGAATGAAGCAGTTGCCTGAGGCTTGGAAGAGCAGCACTTGGTTCCTAGTTAGGTACTAAGGTAGGTAGGTAGTACTTCTGCGGGTGCCTTGTGAGGACTCGGGAGTTTGTAGGGAAGGTGCGGCAGACTGCCGCGTTAGCCTCTTTCATGAGGAATCATCAGATTTCTGTTCCTCGTTGTTCTTGTTCTTCTTCCGTCAACCATGAGTTCGGTGGCAGCAGTGCTCATGATTGCCATTGCGACGAAAAGAGCTCGGCGTATCTCCTTGTGCAATCTCCTGCTCATCTTAACCAAATTCGCCTCTTCACGATCATCGACTCGTCGACACCGCCGAGATGGCTCCTGATGATCTTGCCTCCGCTGGCAGAATCAGAAAAGCCCGATCCTTCATCGGTATCCTGCCCAATCTCTACAGTATAGGCCTCATACAATATTCTGTCTAACACCGTCGGTGATGCAGAATTCGCAGCCACTCTTCAGTCAAAGCTATCCGGCTCTCTCGACGCCAGAACCGTCGATCTACTCCTCGCAGACATCGGCCACCACATCCAGCTTATTCACAATGCAACACAGGTGGGCTCGACAGGTCCCCTGCCGCAGAAATTAGCCAAGCAGGTCGAGCGACAGGGACGGGATCTGTGGAATCTTTGCATCAGGCTAAGGAGAGAACTCGATGCTCCTGAGCCGTCTCAGAGATCCCGGTTGCTCGCCAAAGCAAGGTCGTTTGCTTTTTACATGCTGGAGCATGGCCGAAGTGCGGGCAGAGCCAAGAAGGATGAAGAAACGGAAGCCATGTACTTGATGAATATGGCGTTGGCACTCGGCAAGATTTGTGTCAGAGATGCGGACTTGGAATCAGCCAGGATGGCCTTGCAGAAGGCTGCGGAGTTTATGGAAAGACTCAAGCTGGTGCCCCCTGGTGCTTCAAATTCCCGTGATCAAAAGGAGCGGACAAGGCTTGACGCCGAATACTTGGCGATGAGAACGGCGCTGGTGAGTTTTTCATTCATGAACTTGTCGATTCGACGACCAGCTTTGTTCTGACAAATTGGAGAGTCATGGAAAGAGGATAGGCTTGACGTTGCGGAACACATGTTTGGCAAGATCGATGCCCTTCAGCCAACACTGGACTCCATCTCTGCTGAGATAATTGCCGACACCCTGCAACACATTGGGTTCGATCTCGCGTCTAAAGGAGACCATGGCATGGCGGTAAAGTGGCTTAAGCGGGCTTACAATATTATCAATCATCAAGCGCTTGATCAGCTGTCAGCAAAGGGACTGGAATTGCGACTCGCCATTTGCCAAGGGCTAGTGCGTGGGCTTCTTGATGTTGGCTCTCATGTTTGTGTTCAAGAGGCCAACGACTTGATCGGATACATAGAATCCGAGATTGGAGACAAGCCCCTCGTGCTGCACTGGCGCCTTGAACTGTTACAGAGACTACCAGGAGAGACCTTTGACGTTGACGCCTATTCCAGTATCCTACACCGTATGGTTCGCTCGTTTGACTACTCCGATGCCTCCTTCTACTTTCTTCTACATCACATTCGACGCCTGAGAGAGAAGAGTCCACGGTTGGCCCGCGGACTATTAGACGAGCTTTTGCTTCAACACATTGTCTCGTCGAGGAAGGGCGAATGGATTGGAATGATTGTTGTCAGGAGGCTCTGGATGGTTACCGTTGATTCGACAGATGCGAGCAGGGACTCGTATTCGACTGAACCTCTGACGGATCTTCAGAGTCTCTTGGACAAGGTTCATGACGGCCTTTTTGAGCCTCTCTCCTCGGACATTGCGTGTGCAGCTCACTCGGTAGGTTTCGACCACCGGAACGTTTGGATACTTGTGCTGATTGAACAGAAGGTCATATGGAGCCACGTAGAGTCGATTCTTTCTGGTAAGCTCTACAGAATTGCGGAGGCATGGTGCATGATTGCCCTGCATAGGATATTTGCTAGTAGTGGTGAGGCCAACCACGGCAAGTTTGGCAGGAAACTCATCATCTGTGCTCTGGGCAATAATGATACCGAAAAGGCTCGAAGAATTTTCCACTCCATGTCTGATACCGCCAAAGACCATATCCTAACAAGGTACTTGACGTTCAAGGTATCTCTAGTTGACTGGGACCACGACCTTGGGTGCGAAAGTATCAGGCATCTCAGTAAGCTCTCGGACAGTTCACAGGGCCGCGATGTGTTGTACGCATGCATCAGGGAAGCACAACAAGTGGGCGATAAGCTGTGTACTCTGGCGGCTCTACAAGCCATCATCGACGGTTGGAGGTCTGATCAAGCAGCCCCCAGCAACTTGACGTCGATTCTGCGGTGCTCAATTCGCCTCATACACAAGATTGAAGAGGAGGCTACCAGCGCTGATGCTGGGTCTTCGAGCATTGCATATGCCGACGACATTTGCCGATTGTTTGAGAAAGGTACAAGTCTCTGAACTGGGCATGTCTCTGAGTTGACGTACAGAGTGACTGCTAACGTTGTTTTCTAGCCGCTGAGCAAGCAGACCAGGAACCCAAGGACGATGACGGGAATATCCTGTTCACAATACCCGAGTTACATTGGTTTCGGAAGAACGCATACAACATGGGTGTTATCAGATGCGATACATGGGAGCTTCCTCACATCATACGCATCTTTCAGTCATCCCTAGCCTTTTCATCATGCTATCCCAAGGATCTGCCTTTATCCGAATTCACAGAGATAGCGCTGATGGCTCTGCGCTGCCATTTCGTCATCGCTGCAGCGCTGATATCACTCGCGCGCACAGAGGACAGAGTAGAGGAGCAGCTGCAGTACTACCTCGAGGCAAGACGGCACATCAAGGGCTTCGACGCAACCTTGGAGAACAGTTTGGATGACAATCAGGATGACGAGATACAAGCAGATTTGCTCGCAAAACTGTCAACGTTGTTCATGTTTGACTTTGAGGCTGCCACTGTGCTCAAAGACTGGGATGGGTTAAACGAGATTGTGCGCAAGGCCAAGATGTGTCGCGACGAGGTCATGTACAAGGCAATGGGAGACTGCATGCTGAGAAGCAGAGCTCCGGGTAAAGGTGAGCCCTCAGAAAGTGTCATCCTTTCCCTCCCAACCTCCTTTGGTTATGTGATGAGCGTTAACGTACATTCAGCGCTCTTCTCAACCATGCGCCTCATCATCAATGAGATGTTTGAGCTGCAGCACTTTGACTACGAGAAACTCGCAAAGTACATTCGTTGCATGTTCCAGGCGATTTTAGGGCTGGACGATGATGCCGCTCTTCAGCTTGTAGACCAAGCTATACAAATAGCCCGCGAGGGCAAGGAGGTGAGGCTTTCAACCCCCCCTTCCATTTATACTACCCATATTGATTGCTTCACGTTGAGCTTACCGCAAATAAAAAGCAATGTGCTGATGTGAAACAAAGACGGGGACCCAACCGCCGTCTGCAGAAGTCGAATGGCTCGTGGCCACGACGTTCAACCACGCCATCGACTACTACGCCCGCGGAGAGGAAGAGCCGTGCCACCGCTGGGCTCTCAAGGCGATGCATTTGGCCGAGTATCTTGGCGATGGGGGGCTGTTGAGGGATACGCTGCAGGACAAGTTTGCAAAGCTGCAGTTTGACGGGCTCAAGGCGTGAGAGGGGGCTTGATGGAAGGCGATCCATATATAAAGTGCCCCCCTTGAAGAGATGTAGATGAGTATGGAGGTTGCTGTCAGCGTTGAGTGCTATGATGCCATCTAATGTACAGAAGAGTTGCTTGATAACCTCGTCTTCAAGCAGCATCAATCAACTAATATAATCCCTCAGAAGAAACCATAGTCTCATTGCATCAGCCGCAGCATATCCATATAGATCTGTGCACGCTCAAAACGTATTGATTGATACAAGCTTGACAGCTGTAGAAAATGAGTCAAAGCCACGGCGGTCGGGCATTATCTGGCTAGACATACAGACCGAAACGTCAAGTATATAAAAGTTATTAAGGTATATCATCACAAAATTTCCAGATACAAATCACCAGGCTTGCAAGACTCGGCCTCCCAAAAGACATCACACATATGGAAACATCCGACCATAGGTAGGTATTAGGTATTAATAAGCGGAGAGAAGAACAAGAGACACGGGTCATAAGAGTTGAAGGTAACGGGAGATAAGACAAGGCAAAAGAAGAAGAAAGGAAAGAAAAGAAAAACGCAAAAAAAACCCCTAGGAAAGAGAAAATGGGCTCCGGTGGTATCTCCTACTCTTGCATCCGTAATCGACAGCGTAAATGAACTTGGAAAGCTGGGAAATAACAGAACATGGTATATAACTTGTCCTCCGTGAACCGTGTACAAATATCAAATCAATCAATGAGAAACGCATGGGGTATGTTGTGAGAGTGCGCTTGGTATCAGAATGCCGTCGCTCGACCACTTTTTTTTCCTAATCCAAAAGGAAAGAGACAGATAGTAAAGAGAGCAAATCAGTTCGCAAGAGGGAAACAAGTCGTTGAAGCCCCTGCCCTCTTCAGCAGAAAAGAGCCTGGCAACAATGATGGAATCAGAAAAGGCAGTGTAAATAGCAAAAAAAGTGAGGTTGGAGGGACCCCGGTGTCATGTCATCCCAGAATTCGTGTATCATTTCCGAGTCTTCAAATCTCCCTCTATCTTCGTCATCGTCGTCGTCGTCGTCGTTATATGATATTCGCAATGCTCAGTCTATCTCTACCAGCGGGGCTAGCAGCAGGTCGCGGCGGTTCATTGCCGTACTTGGGAACTTCCGACGTGTAACGGGGCGCATCCGAGAGACGCTGGATGCTTGGCATGCCCGGGGCCGGCGATTCCCGCTTCACCTGAGGCGGGGGAAGAGTTGTCCAGTTGCTCGTGGCATGAGTCGTCCCGAGGCCTCGAACTGCTGCTTCCAGCTGAGACCACCCGCCCCATTCTCTGCGCTCCTCGTCGCTTAGGCCGGTTCTCATCGCTGCGCTGAAAAGCGCATGCCCGAGTCCACCGGAGGCAACGGGGGCCTCGATCTTAGGCGACATATAGTCGCGATCGTGGCCTTCGGTCCAGACCCAGGATCTCGATGGCGAGGCATGAAGGTCGGAGGAGACGTAGGCCAGGAGCTCCTCGTCTCTAGCCAACGAGAACATGAGTGTCGAGTTCATCGGCGACTGAGGAGCGGAGTAAGCATGGGGCGACGTCGTTCTTGTCAGGCGGTTGGAATATTCGGCTCGCTTGACACTCAAAGTAGAAGTGAAGAAGGCAAGATACCTCCCGCAGGCAGTGGCGATGTCGCGTCTCGCATCTATGGCAGCCAGAGCGCGGATGCAGGTGATGGCGTAGTCCCAATTCTCCGTAAAAAGCAGGAATAGAGCAGAGCGGAAGATATGAGCCGTCAAGAGAGAGGTTGCACCATCAGCTGGGGAGTCTGTCCGGTTCAGCAACGAGGCCGTCTCCATGGCAATGTGCATACAGCTGTCAATGGCGCGTAGCCGCGTTTCCACGTCACAACTGGGGTTCAAGTTATGGCGGTGAAGAAGCAGTCGCGCATGGAACAGATACGTCAGGGGGGCCAGGAAATGAGGCGCCAAAGCCACGGTGCTCAAGGGGTCACAGGCCGGAGGGAAGGTGTGAAGGCACTTCTTGAAGTGAGTATCGAAGTTGGCGAGCTGCGTTGGCGGTATCGTGGGAGACTCCATTGTCTTTATAATGGACGTGTAGGACCGCACGACGTGGATGACAGCCAAGAGGGAGTGAGTCAGCGGCTCGGCTCCGCCAGGGACTCTCATCCCATCGTCTCGAATGTACTGGTCGTCCACGGCCGCAGGCAGCGCAACGCTACAGTCAGCATCGTCAATGAGAAAGGGGTGGCCCATCTCGGTGGCCATGACCCTGTCGAGGATATAGATCGCCCACCAGGTCCGGCGCCGCATCTCGCCCTCAATGACGGGCCAGGTTTCCGTGTCGATGTAGAGGCCCAGGTCCTGCCCAACACGCACTGCATTGCCCAGCCAGTTCCACGCGGCTGACTTGAGGTTCATTTCGTTGAGGCAGATGGTTATGAGAACCAAAGCCCTTGCGTCGTCGAGACTGTAATAGTTACACCAGGGATCCATGGCTTTCCGCGCCGAATCCAAAAGCTCAGCTGGCCGGAAATAGCTGGCGGCGGTTGCTGGAACCTCAACAGTAAACAAGCTGCCGGTCGCCAGCACGGCGAAGAACAGACACAAGAAAGCCGGCGGCATGCGAGGCTGGCTTGCCCGGTACAGATCCTCGACCATGGACTTGAATGTTGGTAAATGAATGATGGGGAACATCGTGTGCGCGGTACTGTAATAGGTGTTGAGCAACTGATCAGCCACCTGACGGGGCGGCAGTTCGGGAGCGGGCGTGTCAAAGACTATCGGCGCTGGCGCCCGGTACTGCGCCGGAGGCTTGAAGACGCCCTTTGAGACGCTTCGGAGGTTTGCCCGTGCTTGGGCGAGGTTGGGAACCGGCTGCTGTCTCTTGCGCGGTCTGCTCTCGGCCTCGATAGGGGGCGGTAGATGAGAACTTGGCCGGTCTCTAGGCTCGACGTCCATGTCCATGGCTCCGCCCTTCTCCTGGAGCATTCGGCGCAGGTTGCTGTTGTCCCGCTTGACCTTTTCGATCTGCTTCTCGAGATCCTGCACCTGCTTGATGGAGGACATCCTTCGATTCGTTTCCTTGGTAAACTGGCACTTGACATTTCGACTAGAACATTCGGAGCAGCTCGTCGTCTCCGTGGCATCGCACTTGACCTTCCTCTCCCGGCATGCGTCGCAGCTGGGATCTTTGCGCCTTTGACGGTAGGCCCTCTTCTGCCCTTGAGCGCCGGGAGTTCCCGCCAGTTGAGAGCTCCCAAGGCCTTGGCTGCTGACTAGAGAGTCGGTGGAAGCGACGGACTCGCGGCCCATGATGGACGTCGGCGCCATGGGCGTATAAGGCGGGAAGCCCTGGTTCACGGGGGGCAAAGAAGTCATGCCAACTGTCGGGGTTGGCCTTGCCGCCGCATTCAGCATGTTTCCAAGGTACCGCGACGTGGGCCGTGGCGACGTTGCGGACGAGACAGATGACGAGTCGTAAGACCTGGTGGAAGGATTGGGGGATCGCGGATACGGGTTGTGCGACGTTTCTGCCATGGTTGCTGAGAATCTAGGCTGGTTGCAATAATCGCCAGCTGGCAGCGCTCCGCCGATGCGTCGTTGTCGATTCACCGATGCAGAGTCAAACTGGGGCTGCGGTAGGCAGGCAGTTGAGCGACCCAACCGATCGGAGTCTCGGCACCAACGGGAAAGGCTCGCGGCTTAGGTGTGTGTGCCGCGCCCTCAAGAGGGAATCTGTATTACGCCAACGTTGGGCGCTTTCCGGAACCCAGAGGAACTGCTCTACCGGGTGCGCCGAGATGTATCTCTAGAAAGGAGGGGAGGGTGCTTTGGAGGATGGACCAGATAGAGTGGAGGAGGAAGAGATGGAGAGGCTGGCGGGGAACGAAGGGGGGGGGGGGAAGAGTGAAGAGCAGAAAGGCCAGCCAAGGAACAAGCAGTTACTTTTGTGCAAAGAAGCCAACAACGCCTGCGCTATGAGCAAAACTGCACGAGTGCTGCGGCTTGGTCAGGCCTGGTCTCGTGTCGTATCGTGGTACGGGAGTGCCGAATCAAATCTCTATACAGGTTCAGCTGCGGTGCCGAAGGTGAGATGGCCAGCTCGGGAAACCCACGGTAGCCCTCCGATTTCGTCTGCCGGTTCGTGATGCTGTCGTTGCTAGGATCGCAAGCCGGCATCTGGCATGTGCCAATTTGGGGTCACGATGGCGATGACGCGGTCTGCGTTTGAGCAGGTGAAACAGGCGGTGCAGGGCCGAGCGCTCGAGTCCAGAAAGCGGCGCGCCGTCTGCTGGACGCTGGGCTGTTGGCGATGGACACAAGACGTCAACGACACCAGACGAGGCCAGGCGGCGAGATGAGAGGGAGGGGTCTGCAGTCGGCCGTTTTGCTGGCGAGCCAGAGAAAGAAAGCCCAAGCCTGCGACTGCGACTGCGACCGTGACAGTGGCTGTGGTTGCCGAGATGCAAGCAATGCCGCACGAGAAAAAAAAAAGAGGAAGCAGGACAGGACAGGACTGGACAGGTCAGGTCAGGTCAGGTCTGGCCTGGCTCGGGGCTGGTATGGACGGGCAAGGCAAGTACAAGTAGGAGCAGCCGCCGCAAGGCAAGGCAAGACAAGGCAAGACAAGGCAGGACAAGGCAAGACAAGGTGGAGGGGTGTCCAGGAGCGAGTCGACGGCAGGCCAGGTCAGGTAGGTATACTTGTAATGTGGATGATATCGGCCCCGACCGGGCGACGGCAGCCATGTGCTCGGTACAAGTGCGAGCAGCAGTCAATGTGCTCATCCGTCATCCGCCGTCGCTCTCCGCCCATTCAATCCGATTCGGAAATATATCTGGAGTGGCAGACGTGGGGCTGGTAAGGCCACACCCTTTGCATGGCGTTTGATGGCAACGGGGCCGGCTGGCTAGGGCAAGTCCAAGTCGAGATCAACCACAGCCCGCTCATTGACTGAGGTGTGTTTCGACCACCAGCTGGGGCAGTCTGCAAGGTAGTACCGGCTAGCTGCTACAGTAGCAATGGAGGACCATCGCATTGACTCCAGGGACGGCTGGCCCCCTGTCGTGATCAATCGGGCCTGCTGCCGGGTCGCTCCCAGGTCATATGTCATGCCGCGCCGCGAACCACGAGTCTTGGTGGTTTTTTTCCCCCAAAGGGCTTGTCCTCTTGACTTGCCGTTCCCTGCCTGGTGTCTTGCTCTTTTCTGCAGAAACTTCTTCGTTTGTGCTGCTGTTGCGAGGCCCGGATTGCAAATTCAGGTACCAAGTGATAGATTAGTAGGTAATGGTACTCTGAATCCCCATTGAACACATGGTAACAGCCCAGAGGCTGGCTTGCAGCACAAACACCAGGTAGCCCTACCATCCCCTCGTAGCAACTGGGCTCTGCTCGGTAAAACATCAAGAAGGGGGGAATAGGAGGCGTAATAGAAGATGAGGAGCATCGATAAATAAGACGCGGCTTCCTCACGACGTCTGGACTGGATGCCGTTACCTTGAGAGGTCAAGACAACCCTGAAGCCCCCGCTACCCAGGTCGGTGGTAGGCGAACCGAGTCTGTATCGTATAACAGCTTCCTGGAATCACTGACAAGCGGCGAGTCCGATCCGACGAACCACTCATATCACTCGTCAGGATGGAGGTTGTATCCTGCAATATACAGTAATACGGCGCCGTCGAAGTGAAAGCCATCCACCACACACGACGACGCCTTCGTGCACTCCATACAAAGTACCGCGCATCACACCTCTTCAAAGGATGCGCTCCGCAGCGAGAGGGAAGCGAGTAGCAGCCCAAATCCTGCCAAGCCTCATACGGCATGTGGCTCCCTCTGGGGCCGAAGCCGCCTAATTCGGGACATGATGTGCACCAGTGCTCCGTCGACAGGGGATGGTAAGCTTTTTAGCCATTTCCTTTCTTCGATGCCGACTGGCTACCCTCGTCTCCAGACAAGATTTGCTCCTCCAAGCATGGCCGCACTAGCAGCATCTGGCTACTGCTCTGTGTCTGGGACGGGGCACACCGCATATCCACACACGTTTGCCTAGACACTGTGCAGGCGATGCTTGTTCGGCGGGCAATCATGTCGCTTGCATGCCGCGTGGCCCGAATCCCCTCCCAGAAAAACTGATATCTGCTCGTGGACGGTGTGCTTCGCACTTCGCATATGACCATGGCCGTCAGATAGTAATAACGGCCATGCTTGGATCTTCGTTCCATCTCCTGGGCTTCAAAGTACCTACCTTGGTATGAGGTCGGTACAGAGTACCGAGTCGTAGTGGAAAACTTGAGAACCAGCGCCAAACATGGCTGCCATGGATTGTCACGATTCATGCCCAGCTCGTCCATCGTCCAGTGCAATACCTGGTATCGACGGTGCCATGAAATCGCCATGGAGGATGTGGAAACAGAGTGCTCTAGTCGGGCTTTGGCGTGTCTGCAGCTTGTTCTGGAACATTGGGCACAAGAGGACAGTGCCCGCATGACGACCTTGAACACGATGCTCGTATGTACTAGCCTGACAACCCCGCAAAGTGAAGACGGACTCTTCCGTGGTGTTGAGCTGCCACAGCCCTTACCTTGCCTCACGCATGCGCTCCGAAGTCTGAACAAGCACATCCGAGAGGGACGAGATCTTCCCCTGTCAAGGCTCGAGCCGGGGGAGTGGTAATATGACAAACCTTGACCTTGGTTCGAAGGCCGATATGTACTCCCACATCGCCAGAGGTATCCACAGCAAGCCATCCTCGTCTGGTTAAATCGTTGGAAAAGCACACTGTGTGGCTCTGTGCTAGCCGTGAGGAGCTCGTCATGTAGAAGAGACACGACGAGAAAGTCGGGGTCCTCGCATGAGATTAGGCTTGCATTTGCACTACTCACTGGCTCTAATCATCGGGCGCGTGGCGTCAGAAGCGACCAGGTCACCACCGCGCCGGCTTCACTCCAAGATTTGCCGCCAGCAGATGGGTGGGAGATTCGAAACTTGGCCGATTTGAGAGCGTCCCCCGAACCGCCGGTTAGGATCCTCAAGGGAACGATAGAGTAGTAGCGGTAGGAAGAAAGCGAGCCAGACGAGAGATCGTAGGGCCGGTGCGCACAGGATGACGCAGGCGAATAGGACAGCCCTGTATCTTGCCGTTAGAGCAGGATGGGGCAACCCCGTCTGGAACAAGCCATGCCAAGCTGCAAAGCTTGTGCGTGTCTGGGCAGAAGCTGGTTGGCTCGAACAAATTGCAGATGCCACACCGCGCGTGGGCGCCAATGGCACGGCTGTATCCGCAGAGGGCGCCGAGAGGTGACGAGTCTTTGGAGCCATTGCTTCATCTTGTGGAGTTGAACATTCGGTTTGGAGCCGAGGGAGCCGCCGGCTGTAATACGAGTAATGTTGAAAATACTCCGTACTACCCATCATTCGCACTAGTAATTCAGTCTCCATTCCTCCGGGCTTTATCGTCCTCAACATATGCGAAAAGAATGAACAGGGGTGAGCTCCGGCTGTCGGGATCTGATGAAGCAGCCTTCCGAATACGTACTTCGCAGCACTCTCAGCTTCAGGCTGTCCGTTCGGCATGATCGCCGTCTTCTTGCCCTCACTGGCACTCTCGTGCCTCTGTATCTCCATCAAGAGCTGAATTAGGAAAGGACATTTCCTGTTTGCCCCCCCCCCTTCCCCTTTCCCGCGCAAATGAGTGATTGCTAGCCTACCAATCTGATAACGTTGACGCGACCAATAAGGTACGGACGGTGATGGAGATGGCCTAGGTCGCTGTGGACAACCCCGCATCGAGCGGCTGCAGATTGGTTTCATGACCTTCTGCATACCTTACAGAGTACTACTACTAGTAGTAGTACTCCGTAGTAGCAGTACCTAGGTATGTACCATGCTGTGTGACTTTGGAGCAGTGCCCGAGACGCCATGTTGTGAGTACCGGGTGCCGGGTCCTGGTGAACCGACCAAATCACCCGAATCGCACGCCAGCCATCCTCAGCTGCCTGTGGCGGCTCTGCAGCAATTTTCAACAGAAACGCACAGGCAGATAGGAGCGAAACAACGTGTGGCGCAAGTCCTAGCACGGCGAGAGATCGGGAGCCTCCGGGTAATTGCACAGCGGTTCGCACCTGTTTCGTGACGCAAGGACAGTCCTGTACCGTCCTTCGTGCCATGCTCCTAAACGTGCCTCTGTACAACAGCAATGGAGTGCCTGTGAGAGCCGGCTTCGTGGCGATTAGGCCCAGCCAAGCCTGATAATGACGGAGCCACAACATGGAGACTAGATGGCGACGAGAGGGAGAGAGAAAGATTAGCATCAAATCTAATGCCGCCAGTGCCAAGATCGACCCAGCATTCGTGTAGCTCTTTTCCAGAGGCCGACAAACAGCAAGAGAATGTGTGTCCTTGAGCGATTGATGTTTCATGTCTCAGTGAGCATGCCAACTTCGAACTTACACGCCTGTCAACACGTGTTGAGAAGAGGTATTTCAACAGTACGCGTATAGCGGCCATGCTCGAGATGTAGTGCGAAGTGTTCCACCAAA